CTCTCTCTATCTATCTATCTTGTTCTCTCTCTCTCCCTCTCTCTCTCTCTTCTCTCTCTCCCTCTCTCTCTCTCTCTTTTCTCTCTCCCTCTCTCTCTCTTTTACAAACTCTTACAAACCTAAATCATTTTATCATCTAAACATTTTATCATAAAATAAATTACAAACTCTTACAAACCTAAATCATGGAAATTTAAATCTAACCCAAAGACACAATCAAACTCTTGCAAGATTACCTCTTGCATATGTCTAGATTACAATCTAAATCATAAAATAAATTACAAACTCTTGCAAATGTCTAGTGAGAACAAATAATCACAGAAAACATTAAAGATTATTTTCAAATCCCGATTTTTCTTCAACTCACACGAAAAATAGAGCAGCCTGTGTGAGATCGATGGCGGCAAGATAGCAGACCTTGATCGCGTGATAGGCGGCCAGTGTGGGGTCGGCGGTCAGATAGAATTCGTCGGCGGTCACGCCGGTCAGAGAGCGTTCGTCGGCGGCAAGACTGTGCGCACGATCGAGCGAGAGGTGGGCGGAGGCGACGGCAGAGCTCGTCCGAAGAGAGAGAAGGAAAGATTATAAATGAAATGTGAGGCTTGGGCCCATTCATATTAGGGCATTTACCGGCGATCACGATCGCCAGTATTTTCATCACTTATCAACGGCGGTCTCCGCCGCCGGTAAACTGCTGGTAAGATTGACATCCGGCGGTTTAACCAGCGGATACAGGACCGTCGCTATTACCTGCGGCCTAACGTTACGAAACCCCCGGTTAGGCCGCCGGTAATAACCGACAGCCACACCGCCGGCTTAACCGCCGGTAATCGACGTTTTTCCTGTAGTGTCTCGAGTTGATGGATATGTCGTCGTCCCTCTTTTAGCTCTCCAGGGGAGATGTTGATCCCTTATTTAGCTCCTTGTTATGGAGACTCCACTCCATCCTTCAACTCCTTATGGAGAAGATGTTCTACCTCCTTCCGCCTCTCGCTCAATGGAGATGTTGATCCCTAGCCTCCTCGGCTAGCAAGTCTTTCACCCAAAGATTTTTCTTCCTAGAGATCTTGTCAAAGAGCTCCGCCAAACACAACAGGAGGACCCAATGTATAGGCTAACCTGAGAAAACGTATAAATCCACACACACCCCTTGACTCCCTTAAGGCGAATTCTCCCTCAACCTCTCCTCCTCTCTCTCCCTTATGATGTGGACAGTCTCCAAAACTCTCTCTCAGAAGAAAATATATCTGAATACTCAAACTCTCTCACCTCTTTGTCTCTGATATTGAGTTTGTAAAGTGGGATCTAAAAAAATCATAAATTTTAAATTAATAACTTTGATCATACAGTATGATTAATTCATTTATCATCTTCTAATAGTAATGTTTGATGAATAGTTATACAATGCAATTAGTTTTATTATGTCTCTAATCATAATGTATGATGTATAATAGTACAATACAATTAGTTCAATAAATTCGCTAATCATCTAGGACGAACTGATGTTCATCCAACAAGCTCTCTACTGATCATCCTATACGATGTTAATCGTACAATACGATCATTAATGAATATTTGATCATGATTTGATTCATTAAACCTTGATATTTAAATTAGTCTATTTTAATTAATGCTCTTACAGTACAATCAGTTCAAATTTTAAATTTCTACTTGAATAGATTGTATCATTTTGTTTTAGCAAATTAGTTGCTCGTCCTTTACGATTTGGTGCTCATACAATACGATTTGGTGCTCACCGAGTTGCTGACACCTCACCCCATCTGCGCCCTCACGATTCCAGTTCGCTCTGACCTCAGTCGGCGTCACAGACTTGCATGCGCCCTATTCAAAATGTGTCCGCTGGTCGGGTCGTGTCAACCCGACAACCTATGGGGTTTGAGTCCGGGTTGAAATACTTGACCCGTTTGTAAAAATAGGTCAGTTCAGGTTGGGTCAACTAGTGTCGGGTCAGTTCCAGGTTTATTATAAAAAGCCTTAAACAAAGAAGATATTCATTAGTAGGGCATTTCATACATTCTTTTGTTGTTATTTTGCCTTTCTTGTGGGAAATTGGGATATCAAGATTATCTTTGGTGTTATCTTATGAATGATTATCAGAGCTTGGTTTAGAAGGGTAATTTTAATGTGGAAGATAAGATTAGAGAGAGTCGCCTTAGATGGTTTGTTCACATAAAATGGCGGTCTTCTGATAACCAGGTTAGGAAAGTAGAGGTGTTAGATTTGACTTAAGTTAAGAAAGGTAGAGGTAAACTTAAAAAGACTTGGTTATAAAATATTAGAAAAGATCTTTCTTTATTAAATTTAAATGATAATTTGACTTTTAACAGGACACAATGAAGAAAAAAGGATTCATATAGCCGACCAAACATAGTGGGACAAAGGCTTGATGTTGTTGTTATTGTATTGTTTATTGGATGTTCCCAGTATCTAAACTACGCCTTTGTACATAACTATTGAGAATTTATAGTGTGGCCACAATATTAAACTTCAAAGGGGAGAGATGAAAGCTATAATCAACTTAATGGATAAAAAATGTATAACCATAAAGTCCTCCCCTAAATGTGAGTTTTGAAAAAGAATGAGGTATTTAAAATTGCTACATTCATAAATGTACAAAAAAATTTATTTTATTGATAGTACATTTGTACAATTATTAGTTCATAAAATAACCAAGAAAGATGCACTTAATTCATGAGGAATAAATGCATAATATTCACAAATTTTAATTGTAATAGTTGAGATAAATCTATAAACGGTGTTGGTTTGGATCTGAATTTATATATAGAAATGAAATATCTTACAATACGACATATTTCATATATGTCTTTCATTAAGAAGATCCGTAGTTATAGAGTGATCATCTATAAAAGATATGAACTATCTAATACCAGAGATATTAATCACACGAGAGCGTCTCCGTATGTCATTATGAATGATAGAAAAAGTTTAAGAAGATTTATATGTGGCACATATTTGTGTTTCCGTTGTGTTTAGAAAGTTCATAAAGTTCATAGTAGAATAATCTTTGAATTTTTATTATCAAAGGTGAGAATAATTTTTTGAGATAAATAAAGCTTTGATGATCAAGGCTACTAGATTATAGCATGATTGCACTCAGTGGCAGAGCTACCCTGGGGGCCCTGCGATAAATTGTTTTAAAAGTCTTCTCTTCTAAGTTCTAACCATTCATTATCTTCCATAATTTGGCTCTAACTATTCTTGTTCTTCCATAATCACAAATCTATCAGAAATTAGGATAAACCCAAGTGCTCATTGGCTTGCTTGAAGTTATAAATTATATTTTGAAAAATAATCAAATTTAATAGAGCATCATTTAGATGAATGCCAGATTATAAATTATACAAATCTTTTCAAGAAAAACCCCAAAAATATATAATAATTTCATTTTTACACATGAAATGTGTGAAAATAAAATTATTATTTTTAAAACATAAAAGCTAGAAGATTTTTCAAGGAAATAAATTATTAAAAAAAATTAAATTTATTTGAAACCAAATACAGATAAAATATTTTATAAGGATGAACAATAAATGGTTTGAATTCAAGCTACTAATAGATCAAAATAATACTTAAAGAGTCATACATAGGATGATAACACACTACTTGAAAAAGCATAAAGCTGATATATATTACATGACCGTTATTAAAAATTTACACTGCTGACAAAAAAACACAGTACAGAAAAAGACTAGAGCTTCTTCTGGGACGGTTTTCCTCTTGCTTCTTAAAGCAACTTAGTAGTAAAAAATTAAAAATTTTGTACTAACAAAACTGCTTTAAAAAACAGTAAAAAAGTCGTTCCAAACAAAACCTCATAAAGAAAAAACAGAAGCAGCCAAACAGGAGAATGGGAAGCATCCAAGGCCAGAACTTTGAATTCACAGGAAGCACACAGTTCAGAGCTCAAGGCCTGCTTTTAAAAGGGATAGCTCTGATAACAATCTGGTGGTAGATAGCAGCAAGAGCAGCTCCAATGAAAGGTCCAACCCAAAAGATCCACTGAAAGAGAGGTTCAATGAAGCAAATTTTCATTACCACTTGAAATCAGCCAAGCAATACACATAAAATATTATTATGATTATATTTTTGACTTACTTGGTCATCCCAAGCATGATCTCTATTGTAGATAATGGCAGCTCCAAGACTCCTGGCTGGGTTGATGCCAGTGCCAGTGATGGGAATAGTAGCCAAATGAACTAGAAAAACAGCAAACCCAATTGGAAGTGGAGCTAAGATCTGCAACAAAAGAATCCCAAAATTCTTCTCAATTGTAGAAAGAATCCACTAATTTGCAGAATTAAACAGCAAAAAGGCTATAAAAATATTGGTGTCAAAAAAACTAGTCATCCCAAGGATTAGGAGATATAAATGAGGATTGAACCAATCCTTACTTTTATAAGTAAAAATTTTTTGCCTCATAGAGGCCTATTTGGCTGCCAGTAGAGAAGAAGAGGCATTAGTAACTAATGAAATTTATTAAATTTTCTAATTAAAAGTCCTTCAATACAAGCAAGAATTTAGTTTTTATATACAAATGTGTGAAAATATAATCCTTATTTTTCTATAACATGTATTCCATCTGCAGATAACCATATCAGCTTCTAAGAATAAAACTAATCCCATGAGCCCCCACAATATATCAAGCATAATAGAGAGTATGGTGGATCAATATATCATATACAAGCAACAACAAATCACCCAATCAAACAGGCAATAAAATTGTTTATATTACTAATTTGAATAATATTAAGTATTATGGAATTGTGGGTTGGAGCAATTATTAAGGCTTTGTTTAGAACAGTTTTCTTATTGCTTTCTCAAATGGCTTTCTACTATAAAAATTTTTATTCAATAATTTTTTGTACTAGAAAGCTAATTTAGAAAGCAGTAAGACATCCATCCCAAACGATCCTATGTTTTATATGCTCCACAAAGAAACATCTTCTGCCTAATTTAAGGCCTACAAATAAAAGATCTAATATTTGCAAAGTTTCATCAAGGGTGATTTGGATGTTTCATTGTAATTTTATTTTCCATTATAAAGGGTAGTGGGAGCTATCATTATGTGAGATAACTAAGGCTTCGTTTGGGACAGCTTCTTTGTTGCTTTCTAAAATGGCTTTTTAGTACAAAAATTTCTTAAATTACAAATTTATGTGCTAAAAAATAGTTTTATAAAGCAATAAAAAAGCTGCCCCAAACGAAGCCTAAGATGCTAGATTATGAATTCTTATGTAATAACTTCCCATTATAATAAAATATGCAATAGTCATAACATGGCGTAACCATCAATTGGACGAACCGGTATACAATTTTTGACGTGTTTTGTGCCCTAATCATCTTCATGTTTTATATACACTACATTATATGAATTAAATCACATCTAATTATCAACAATCTCCATTATTTCATTGTGACCCTAAGAGCATCAATTCAAGCATGCAATCCCTCATCATACCCTTCTGAATTAATATTGAACTATTAAAGTAATGAACTAAATGTTTAATACTTACTGGAACATGAGAGTCCCTGGCACTCCTCTTGGCATCAGTGGCAGAGAAGACAGTGTAAACTAGCACAAAGGTGCCGATGATCTCAGCGCCAAGGCCATCACCCTTGGTGTAGCCTGGGCTCACAGAATTTGTTCCACCATTGTTCGCCATGTAGAGGTTCTTTTTGAAGCCTTTCACGACGCCGGCGCCGCAGATGGCACCCAGGCACTGCATCACCATGTAGAAGAGGGCTCTTGTGAGGGATAGCTTCCTTGCTAGAAAAAGCCCAAAGGTTACTGCAGGGTTTATGTGCCCACCTGCCAACAAAAGCATTTATGAAATTGAAAACTATTTTTGTGTAAATAAGAACATCATGGTCATGGCATTTTATTGGGGGTTTTATACAAATTTTGATAAATATATAGTGAGAAGTAAAGACACTTCTAATTAGTGTATTATTTTAGTCAAATCTTAGGGTTGTTTGGTTACAGGTGGGATCTAACAAATCCTTTAAATCTGGATTTTGATAAATACAGAGCGTTAAATCCTGAAAAAAACATCAAGACTGTTAAATCAGGTTAAAGCTTTGTAAATTTTTTGAAGATTTTTTTCAAGATTTAAGATTTGAAGAAACCCAAATCACATAGCAAGATCCAAAAATGTTCAAACCACAAACAAGAATCTAGCCAAACAACCATATTTTGATAATTCCCAGAACTAGATCTACTAAGAGGTCATGTGCTACAGGTAACATCTCATCAAAAAGCTTATCTCAGAATTTTATTTTATTTTTTTAAAGGAGCTTAAGTTAAACTGAAGATGGCTCCAGAAACTCCAAACTTGTTAGATCTATTGAGGCAAAGTTAACTAGAGGTGCTAAGAGAAAAAATTTACAAAAAATCAGGCAGTAATAGAAGCAACAAAAGTAACCAAGAAAATTCGCTGAAAATGAAGAAAAGGTGCAAAAGCAGAAGAGATCGGAGATATTATAAAAAATACTAAAGGGATGAAATAATAGAGGAAGGAAAGCTATCTCTCACCTGAAATCCCGGCGGTGCAGTAGACCAGAGCAAAGATCATTCCACCAAAAGCCCAAGCAATACCCTGAATTCCCACAGAGCTGCACTTGCTCTTCGAACCAGCCACTCCCATCACAGTGAGAATGGTTATATAAAGAAAGAGGAAAGTCGCAACGAACTCGGCGATCCCGGCTCTGTAGAAAGACCAAGACTTGAGCTCTCCTGGCTCGAAAAGAGGCGCCGGCGGCGGCTCTTTGTAGTCTTTCTCATCCGACTGTGCCGCCGTTCCTATTGCTTGCCTCTCCGGGAACTTGTTAACTCCCAAGCTCACATCTTCCTCCTTTGCCTGCATTTTCCGCTCCTGCTTTTCGCGACTGCGAGAGCTAACTCAAGTAAGGTAAAAAGCTCCGAGCTTTGTGAGTGGGGAGGAGCTGGGGAGAGCTAAGATGCTTTATAGAGGGGGCCAGGGGAGAATGGTAACACGTAACTTAAATAAGTGACAAAATTCCATTATTTTCTCTAGCTAGGATAAGCGCAATACTTGCAATCATGACATTATATATTAATTTATTTATTTTTAAAATGTTCAGTAGGACTGTAGGATCACAGTATCATTGAAAACAATATTCCATCTGTGCTATTGTCAATAATGAAAAATTATTAGGTGCGGAGTGCAGACGGGGTGAGAATCGTCCGCACAGACACAGGGTACCGAGCGGTACCCAGTGGTACCGAGCGGTACCGAGCGCGGTTTTATACTAGTGTGCGGACGATTCTCCCGTCCGCACTCCGCACCTAATAATTTCTCGTCAATAATCGACTAAACTAGTTAGTGCCCTCTCAAACTTATATCTTAACTTCAAAAAAATACTAATGTTGATGTGACGTTTTTTTTATTTTTAAAATGTTCATGAAAAAAATAATTTCATGTACAAGTGAAGTTTTATTCATATAACATGTCAAAATTATATTAATGCAGGTTAATATTGAATTTAGGATTCTTAGCAAAAAGATAATAATGTTACATCAAAATTGTTTTGATGTAATTTATGGAATTTGTATAGTTGTTTAGCCCTTGCTAATTATGATGGATGTACATAATACATCTAGTACTTGAAAGCAAATGTTATAAAATACTCCAATAGGTGTGTTGTGTGCTTAAACATTTGTTGCTAGTTAAAATGATTCTATTAGTTTTTATAGTTGATTACAAGTTAAGTCCTTTCTTGGGGGATTGTGTTAATACCTTATAAAGAACACATTAGTTGGTTGAAGCTTGATGAGCCCTTTGGCAATAATCCAACTTAAATGAAGTTGGGAGTCAAAGTTGATGTCAAGACGTGCATCGATCTTGTGAGTGATGATATGTGTTGACATTATTAGTGTTGTGAAGTGATGAAGCCAGTAGGCATTGGAGTAGCGACTGATAATATTAAAAAGATTACATATCAGAGGATTGTAGCCAGCGGGTGATGGATATTAGGAAACTTTAATCAACCAAAAACAGACGACAGAGGGCTGTAGTTGATGGGCGGTGGAGGTCAGAAGGATCATAGTCGGGGCAATGGTGGTTAAGGACCGTAGTCGACCTGCAGCAGAGGTCGGAAGTCTGCAGTCGGGTGATGCTAATTAGAGGATCGTAGTTAGTGAATGATAGCGGTCGGGGAACTATAGTCATCAGGTGATGAAGATTGGAGGACAATAATTGGTGGGCAACAAATGTCAAAAGCTATAGTCATTGGGTGATGAAAGTTGATGAACCATAGTTGATAGACGACGAAGGTCAGAAGGATTGTAGTTATGCAACAATTATTTGAGAACCATAGTTAGCGGGAGATAGTGATCTGAGGATTATAGTTGGGTGACAATGAGCGAAAGACTATAGTCAAACAATGATGGTCTGAGGATCATGGTCGGCGGACGATAGAGGTTGAAGAATCATAGTCAATGGGTGAAAGAGGTAAAGAAGATCGTAGTCAATGGACAACGATGGTTGGAAGGACCATAGTAGATGGGTAATGATTCAAAGGATTGTAGTCAATAGGAGACAGAGGTCAAAGGACCAAAATCGAGTAACGATGGTTTGACGATTTTAGTTAAGTGACGAAAGTCTAAAGATCATGGTGGTCAATTGGTGAAGACCTGATGATAATGGTCATGTGATGGCTCAGTGGTGGTGCTCTGAGATCCTTAGAGCCACAGAGCTCTCTTCAAGAGAGAGAGAGAGAGAGAGAGAGAGAGAGAGAGAGAGAGAGAGATTTTAGGCTTTAGCTCCAAGCTCCTCTTCTCTCACGTGTAGAGTGGGCAAACTTATGTATATTTTTAGAGCGGCGTGCTCATAAATAATAGGAAATTTTGGAACAATCCATCGAACGACCCATACAAGTTTTATAATCATAAAACATTCATTTAGTATTTAAGTGTCGTGAATCTCTTTGTTGTCATCATCCATTCTTATCATTTTCATTTCTAGCAAAGATTAATTTTTTTTTAATCATCTCAAATGTTTTCTTGTGTCACCTCAAGGTCATAGCTTCTTCATCGCTGAGAACAAGACTAATAAAATTGCCTCCATCATCTTTGTAGATTTTCTTGCATTGTCATCATAGAATATATTAGTAATATCCCAAAATATTTTTTTTTAACATTAGTGGAATATGTACTATTACAACTCATACTTACTACCAACTTTTGTTGTTTCAATTGGGGAAAATCAACTTGTTGGATCCAAATCTATCCCCGGAACACAATAGCCTTTATTAACATGCAAAACCTAGTGAGTTAGGACATGTGAGAATAGAGAATAAAGAGAATATAAAGAATATAAAAGATATACATGATGCTTAAGAGAATATTAGTCGTAAAATTGACAGAGTATCCATCATCAATCCAAAAAAGTCCCTTAAATTGTTCCTCATCACCCCTTATTCATATGTTTTAAAGGGTTATGTAAACAGCTGCAATAAAAAGTCAAATGATATAATGCAACAAAGAATACCTATACAACGTCACACACTATCCCAGACATGTGTGTTTCCCATGATTGGCTTAAGGAGAGCTAGCGAGGTTGAAAGGTTTTGACGAGTCATCATTGGATGAGCGCTGTGATGTCGAGTTGATGAGGGAAAGAGTGCCCGAGTTAGTCTGCGAGTGAGTATTGAGATGAAAGGGAACCAACATCCGGCGAGTTAGTTGGCGTGGTCAATGACTTGTGTGGAAGCTATGTGAAGACCTTGGGAAGAGAATGTCGAGTGAGATGCTATCGCGGGAAGAAACAGTTCTAGCTGAGATGATCAAGATTAGTCGAACACTATAGAAAATTTAGCTTTTTCGAGAAGAATAATCTGCAGCAAAACAAGAGAAATCGTCGCAAATTTTGATTTGTGGTGGATTTGCAATGGAATTGATTTAGACGTTAAAACTCATGTCAAAAAAGTATTTGCGACGGAACAAATTCGTTACAAATATTTTGCGGTGAATTTGCAGCGGAAGCATGACTGACTTTGTCGTAAATTACGGTGGAATATCCATCGTACATTGTGATGGAAAATCCGTCGCAAATAGCCGCCATTTGTGACTAATATTTCCGTTGCAAACAACGATACTAGATCATCGTTTCAATGTTTGCGACGAAAATTCGACCTCAAATTCGTTGGAAACCAGCATCATAAATAAAAAAAGGGAAATTTACATACATGCCTTTTTATACCATTTTATTTACATATCTAACACCGAAAATTTTAATATTACATACATACCACCCTATATTATTTTAATATCAAATATACCACTCGTATTTCATTCCTACCACTCATATATATATTTCATTTCTACTACTTATATTTGATATGATAATGAACTATGGGTGATATGTATGTAATATTAAAGTTTTTGGTGTTAAATATGTAAATAGAATAATATAGGATGGTATGTATTAATGTATGTAAATCACCCATAAAAAAATAGCTCTTGCTATATATTATTGGGAGGCCTAGATGACTGATGCATGATGGTCATTGTGAGTGAGCTTTCATGAGTTTTGCGCAAATTCCTTAAGTTGGAGCTCTGAAAAGGCCAGTTCCTCAATCATGGTTGGCCAACTACCTACTAAACACTTGTAAGAACATATGCGAGTATAAACAACATTTTTGTTTTCCAAAATTTATATTAAAAATCGCGTATCCCCCTACGAATTGTATTTCTCTTCACTAATTACATATGAAAACAACATAATTCAAAGCAAAGACTCAAAATTCTATTTCTACCAATTCTCTCCCATAACATTTACTAAATTTCAAATCTTTGTCAATTTAATTTAAAATAATACTATTTCTACTCCTAATTTCAATAATAAGAGGGCCCATCCAATTAAAAAAATACAATCATCAAGGCTTCATTTAGGACAGCTTTCTTACTATTTTTTTTAAATAACTTTCGAGTAATAAAAATTTTAATTAAAAAAAATTATACTAAAATGATGCTTTAAAAAAATATATATAAAAAAATATCTCAAATAAAACCTAAATTGCACTCACAACCTAGAGCTATTATTCCGTGCAAACGCCGGATCGTTCTCCTGTCTGGTTCAGCGCTTAGTACCGAGCGATACCGAGGGCAGGTACCGAGTTTTGTATTGAGCGCGGTACATTTTTGGGATGACATGCCATATTTTTATTAATCTTTGGACGTCGTCCGGACTCCGCACGTAATAATAAATCCACAACCTAGCTAACCCTAATCACCCCCATTCTTCTCCAATAATCATCCAACCACATGCGCTTATGATGAAATCCTACCCTTCAAATTTAATTAGAGCATAATAACGTTTGGTAAGGTGGCCCACTAACACTAATTTAGTAATTTCATTCTTAAACGAAGCTTTCAATGATCACTTTCATTGGGAGCTTCGGTAGTACCCAAGCGTGGGACCCACGCCAACGAATTTTATGCGTTTGGTGCACCGTCCATTCGTCCACATTCACCGTGCGTGGGACCAGTACAACTCAGAGGCGCCGCCAGTCCAGTCGTTAGATGCCACGTTGTTGGCTCAAAAAAAGTAAAAAAAAATACAAATTTTATTTATGTTATATTTATTTCAAAATATTAATAATTTTAAACCCTGTTTTGATAAAAAAATTAATTAAAATAATTTTTTATTGAACAAATATATTATTTATTTAAAAATAAAAATAGATTTTGTAAGAAAAAATGAGTTAACAAAATTTAATTTTTCTCAGTATTAATAAACATTTTTTATTTTTAAAAAGCAATAAACAATAAAGATAATTTTGAATGAAAAACTAAGTATTCACGTAGCTCATCTTGATCTATTGGTTGGGAGCTTTCGTTATCAGTTAAAAGGTCTTGGATTCGAGGGTTACGTTTGTAATGTGTGTATGAGTTCATTTTAACTGACCTAAATGTCCAAAAAAAAAAAGATAAACTAAAAAATCATTTAATATTATTTATTGTTATGGAGAATTAATGATCAATTATAACATATATTTGATTTACTTTGTGGTAATTAATGTCTTATGTCAAATAATTGTAATATCTTTTAAATATTATGGCTCAATTAAGGTGGGGTGAATTAAAGCAAAACTAATTTCCTCTTCAATTTTAAAAATCATGTACAAAAAAAAAAAATTCAAGTTGTTCATTTCTTTTTTATCACAACCAACACAATGATATTCACAAATAGTTCACTATTTTTAAATTTTTTAAATCATTGACCACTCGCAATCAACATTCAAATTATGTGTCAATTATTCAATAAAAGAGAAGAGACAAATAAGAATGCAATCAAGAAAAAAAACATGTGAGTTGATATATCATTATTTTATTACCAATCAGCATTTATCTACTTAGCCTTCATTTCGGACAACTTTCTTACTGCTTTCTAAAACGACTACTAGTATAAAAATTTCTAGTTCAAAAAATTTTTGTACAAGAAAGCTATTTTAGAAAATAATAGGAAAGTTGTCCCAAACAAAACCTTAATGTAACAGGATATAGAGAAAGCAGGGGTAATTGAGTAAGGATTCTTTTGAGATGACTATAGGTGTTGGTAAAATAGGTTGCAAAGTTGTATAGAAAGCTGCTTTTTAAAAGGGTTGTATATTAATCATTATTTTTTTAATAGTATAATTGTCAGACTGTCATGTTGTAACCTCTGTTTAAAATTGCGTAATTAGAGGCGCGGTACTAAGCGGTACATGCTCGGTACTGAGCGGTACATGCGCGGTACTGAGCGGTACATGCTCGGTACTGAGCGATACATGCCGGTATGAGATAACAATAAACGATAATTTCAAAATTACTTCTTATAATATAATTTGTTCCGGGGCGCCTGCCCTTGACTCCGCGACCTGACCGGCAGGTCGAACCCCACCAGGGGCAGCCTCCCTTTGGACCCCGGCGGCAGACTGGTATTATTTTTGTATTCATGTTTTTTTTTATTATTGGTGTTACAAAATAACTGTTAAAAATATGTCATATTGTTAGTACAAGAATTAGGGATCTGTTAGAGCAAGAAAAGGCGCTGCGGTCATTGCGGGAGAGACCCTCCTTGGAAATATAGTGTTTACAATTTGACATAGGCGGGGAGGAGAAGAGCTAGGGTTTATTTGAAATGCGAATTTGCGAAAAATGATGAAGAAGGTGTTACCCGCATGAGGAACACTTATCATATGCTTCGCTATAAAAACGTTTAGCAAAGTGTGCAAAATGTGCGGGAAAAGGTGAAGGAGGAAAATTATGCTTATATGAAGAAAGATTACCACGGCAAAAACACTCTGCAACAGGGAGCAATTTGATGATACGCTGAACTTTGTCGGATTTTCGAGAGAACGCGCTGGAATTCTACAGAATTTGGTTAAATTTGCTTCAAGTTAGAAGAAAACTGATTTGTAATCTGATCGTCCGACTTGTGGGACGAATCAGCTTCTTTGTAAATTTACAAACACTAGTGAAACTTTCAACAGGGAACGTGGCCCCATGGGTTTTTCCCTCTTTAGGTTTTCCACGTAAAAAAAATTCAAATCGTTGTTCATTTTCTTTTCTGTATTGTTTCTTTGTATATTTTCAATCACCAATAATTTTTAACTCTATCACCACTATATTCTTAGACCAATATATATATAAATTTATTATATATATATATAATATTATATATTGTGATCAAAGGAAATTGTTCGAATGTCTATTTTTATTTATTTATAATGATAAATAAACAAACAAACATAAATTAAAATTGCATCCACTTTTAAAAAAATATTTTATGACTATGACTTTCAAATATCAAAATACTATAAATTTTTCTTTACAATATACTATCATACTTTAAAATAATCTTTAAAAAAAATTACAATATCTACTATTACTTACTAATAAATATACTTTTTCTAATAATAATAATATAACTCCGATAATTTTTTAAGATTTAATTAGAAAATTAAATAAGTATGCAATTACATATCATGAAATAAAATATTTCTATTTCCCTAATTATAGAGACATTACAATGGAAAATCAATCTGAATATTTTATTTCTGATGAGTATCTTTAATGATGTTCCACAGAAGCATAAAAGCTTTGAAATCCTAAAGTTTTTTTTTTGTCTGAATAAGTAAAACCAATATATTTAATTGTAAATGCCTGTTATTTGATTGTTTTGAAGTTTAGCTCATTCCTTTGGTGTATTTCGAAAGTTTATATTGATATATATTTACTGTGGTAATCAATTTAGGATGTGGTCTGCCATAGTCGAGGCATATATAAAGAGACAAATTATTACATTCAGAGACTGCACATAGAGAACCGTTCGATTTTGCCTCTGTGAACAGAAAAAATGCAGTTATGAACAGTAACTGTGATTTTACCGCACTCTTACTGTTCACTGAGACAATACTGAATGGTTCTTTATGTCCGGTCTCCGCACGTAATAATTTCTCATATATAAGCTCCTTCACTTTGATGGTGTTGAAAAGCAGGAACAGATTATTGCAGATAGTGAGAACTACATCATGCATACTATTCAAAACTCAGGCTTCGTTTGACAGGACTTTTTTATTGCTTCTTAAAACAACTTCTTATTACAAAAATTAAAATATTTGTACTAAAAAACTGCTTTAATAAGCAATAAGAAAGCCGTCCAAACAAAGCTTCAACTTGCTTAGTAAACTTCTTAAATCTGCATAATATTTCTTTCACTTCGTTCAAATTCAAAAAACAATCATAAGTTCCTACCCAAGTCTGTGTAATCTTACATGTCCATTTCATCCCTTCACTTCCAGGGAAGCACAAACATAAAAAAACATAACACTACAAGGTCATGTATACTAAAAAACAGCTTTTTAAGATTTAACACTAAGGCTTTGTTTAGAGCAGCTTTCTTGTTGCTTTCTAAAACAGCTTTTTAGTACTATTTGCTCCCTTAATTGTATCATCTCCTCGACATCTTCACCATCTCGTGCCTCAGAAGTTGTTACTTTGTTTTCAAAAGTTGTAAAATTTGCTGCAAATGAAACTCAAACATTGAAACTCTTTCACTGTGAAGCGCATATCATTAGAAACAGAAATGATAATTTGTATGTAGCCTAAGCAGCTAATTGATTGACTCTAAATTTGTAAGGTGTTAAGAAAATCAAATATATCAAATTAGAGTAAAACTAATCAGTTAGCAGACATGCTCGACACATTAGTTTTAGGTAATATTAGTAAATGCAAAGAAATAAATTGAATTTCAGCTCACCATGTACCTAATTGTGCCGACAATTGATGAAGCAAAAGCCAAGCTCTGACATTTCAATCCAAGCTCAGTTGATAAAATTGAAATCTGTACCATAGGACAGCAAATACAACAAGCTTTTCTTCCAAGTCAGGATCAATTCCACAATATTTAAATTTTTTGACATTTGAAACAACCTGTAATCTGAAATTGATTATTGAAGCTATGAGATGTATGCAAAAAGGAAATTGAAATAAGTTAGCAAATATGTAAATATATATAAATTGAATATTCACCTCTAATTTTTCTTTCCACCATTCGTCTAATGCATCAATAGTTTTTCTTTTAGGATCTCAACCCAATCCAGTTGATTCCCGCTTAAGCTCCTTCCATAACTTTCAATCTTTTTTAAGTGAATCCCGCTTATTTTTTAACTGTGATGACTTGTCGTATTATCTACCTATATTCTTGTGAAAGCTCTTTATTAAATTCATTTAACCCTCTTCATTGAAATGTGTAGTTGGATGATTTTATAGTTCAATTGCTCTCAAACATAAATCACAAAAAATCATTTTAAAAACATGCTCCCATGTTGTAGATGCTCCACCATCCTTTGATTTACCCATTGTACATCCTACTTATCACAGCATTAGTTTGTATTAAGTTTGAATCTTTATTAACCTCAAAAGAGAATTGGGGTGATTACAGTATGTGACTAAAAATCGAGAAAGCGACGCATATGAAGTACTTATATTTGCATATAAATATTTAACAGAATATTGAGGAGCAGATCAATATTGAAAAATCATACAACAGTAGAGGAATATATTAACAGAAGAAAAGAGCAATCATCATTCTAACCATTGCTCTGCCAAAAATACAGTAAAGGAAAGCCATAAATAACTGCTGCTTTTATTACTTTCAAGCAGTAAAAGGCTAATTCTATTAACTTCTATTGAATCTGTAAAAGGAGAAGGCCAGGGGAAAAGGAAATTCGATTTGTATTATATATTTTTAGAAGGATGAAAGAGAGATATTTGCTGCTCTAAACTACTGAGGGGAGAGAACAACATAAGGAATGAAAATCTCTGAACTATAACCAACATAAAAGAGTGAGAAAATACAAAACCTCGCACAAATCTTCTCATATTTCATGAAAATGCAATAGGCAAAGCTTCAAAAAAATCCATTAATTGCTCTCATTATTTTATAAAGAAAAGCAGGTTGTAACGACTCAATTCCTAAAGTCATATGCAAAAACAAAGCTCGTTCGTCACAACTGTTTCCTAAGTCCTTGTTTGAAGACAATGAAGACAAGGTAGCATAAAAAGAAAAAGAAGAACAAGTACCAGAAATCTCCATACATATATAGTTTTCTTTCATAGACTTTGAAAGCTGAAACTGACGGGAAAAAAATAGCAAATAAAAGCTGCCAATGAGATTAACATGAAGCAAGAAAAAATTTTAAGCCGGAATTACAGGAGGATGCAACTAAGAAAATGTATTATAAAAAATTTTACCTTGTCAAGTAGAAATCTCAGATATGTTAGAAGCCTTAGGTCTTCAAAGAGAATATTTGTGGATGAGATAAGAACTTGCACGATTTTAATAAGAACAAATAACAATTAAACTATTAGCCGCTAAACGATAAAAGAAAACGTGAGAGGGGTAGCCACGCTTAGGCCAAATCACATGCTAAGTACTTGAAACATCAAAACAATTTAGAATTTCAATAACATGCGAATTTAGTTATTCAATAAAAATCTCTAATCTAACATTGAGATAGCAACATAGAAAGGAAAAACAAATCCTATGTTTACTAAGCGGAGGAAGAGAGCGAAGCACGAGACCTTGCGATCTATGTTGCACCGATAAACCTATTTATGAAGGTGTGTTGTATCTGATACACCGATACACGAATACACCTCCGATACGACACCGATACGTGCCGGGCACGGCTTTGCAGTATCTAATTAAAATACTATTTAATTTCAAAAGGACACGCGTATATCGGTTGAAAAATAAAAAATTTGAAAAAAGACCCGTTGTATTTACTTTCGCGGCTGAGAGCGAGGTTCTCTCATTTTCGAGATAGATTTGAGTCTCTTGATGATATAGGAATATTAAAAATTGCTAATATTTCACGTGATGAGCCTGAATTAGGAGCTATGATATTTATTGAAGATGATATAGAAGTTCAAAGACAAACCACTGAAGAAGCTAATCATATCATTCATTCTATTGAATAGTTGAAACTTCATATGCTAGCTAATTTATGTTTATGCTTTCGTTGTTGTACTAGACATTTAATGCTTACTTATATTTTGATATTATAAGCTACAAGGATACAAATGATGCTACTTTCATTTTTTTTTTTTTTTTGTAATTTTCAAATATTATGTTTTGATTGTTTTCTTAATTTTTATGTAAGATTTATAAATTATAATGTCGTGTCCGCGCCGTACCCATATCATATATTTTTAAGAATTGAAGTGTCTCATATTCGTATCCGTATCGCCGTATCTGTATCAGTGCAACATAGCTTGCGATTAAATCACCACCTAAAAGGTTAGTAGATTAGGAAAGATAAACGAAGAGGGAAGAAGTTCACCCTTGTTGTTGTCCCGAAACAATTTGCCACTGGACGTTGGCAAGTTGCTCGCCGATGGCCTCCGAAAGCGTGAAGATGATGCGGTCCATGTACTCTTCAATGGAATTATCGATCTCCGGGTTGAAGTCGAAGAAGCTGGAGTGGATGATGTTGATGTTCCCTTGCTCGGCGTAAGAGAATCCGTAGTCAAGCTCTGGATCGGCCATTCATTGGTGTCGAAGGATTGGTGTGTAGATTAAGACTTCTCTAGGGGAAAGAAGTATCTCTCAATATTTTAATTGGAGAAGGGGGCAAGGGTGGCCGGCCAATGGAGAATGGTAGGGGGGATTAAATTTGGTTCAGATTTTGTGGAGGGAAAATAATTCAAACAACTCCTTAAATAATCCCCTTAATTGCAAGGAATTAATGAAGGAGAAGAGAGAGCGGGGGCGGCGGGCAAGAGGGAGGGGAAAGGTATTGATTTCAATTCCAAAGGAAGAGGCTCTCCCTTGGAAAGAAATTAAATAGGTGGGGACTAGGGGATTTCAGCCAAGAGAGGTGGAGATGAAGTTTAAATTATTTCCAAGAGGAGAGGTTGGCTTTAGGAAATAATTCCTAATGCAATCCCATAGGGGGGGCGGCAACAATAGAGAGAGGGAAGGGGTTTAATGAACCAATCAATGCTTACCTAAATTAATAAATTAAATTTGGAATGAAAGATCTCATCACAATTTAATTCAAAATTTAAATAGGCTATGATTTAGTAGGTTTTCTAAAATATGATTTATAAATTAGGTAACTATTTCAAATTCAAATAAATTTGAATTTGATCATTAATAGAGTTACCAAAATATGAAATTTAATTTAGGAAAGGCTTGATGGCAAGTGGAGATGGGAGGAAGCCAAGGGGATGGGCCGGCGGTGTGGAGGATGGCCGTGGATGATGGTGGGGTTGGATCTAGGCGATGGGTGGTGGGGGGAATTTGGTGGCCGACGGCTTAGGGGTTTGGAAGGACCTTAGGTCGGCGACTAGGGGATGAAGGGAGAAGGAAAGAGATAGAGAAGAAGAACCAAGAACCCGGACACTTCTAAGGTTGGTGGGTGATCCGTTTCCCCTCCAAGGGACTCACTCCAATCTCTCTCAAGCTCTCACAAGAACTCAAACACGGGGAAAATTTTTTATCATTCATTCATTAAGCATGAAAAGAGAACATAATGGCTATATATAGCCTCATACAAAATGACTCAAAAAATAAAAGACGACAATGCCCTTTGGGCTTACACATGACTTCCCTTAAGGGGTAAAAGCGGAAAATAACAAAAGCAAATACAATATAAAAGACAAAAACATAGTACTTCTAAAAAATACATCGACTCGATCGTGGCCGTAGATCGACGGCCACGTCTCTGATAGACTTTCCAAGCTCCGATGTCCCCATCACTTCTCCTGTAAAAACTGTAATACGTTTAAGTTTAGAGCTGTGATCAAATAAAATTTAGTTATAAAAGAAACCGGTTTGCATGAACAACAATTGGTTGAAAAAAAAAAAAAAAAAATTCAGCATCAAAACATGTATATGCGAAATTACTTGGACACTGACACTATACATGAATACTCATGCCTAGACTCCAATGGAGCTACAGATCAATTTCCTGTGATTTATTTCATTGTTCACCTTCTATTTTTAAATGTGGCAAGAGCAGTATTTACATATCTGTGTATGCAAGAGTAAAGACAAGTGACTATGTGAACAAAGTGCCCAGTATCAGCTTATGACATTTTCATAACAAATTTCTCAACTTAACAATTTAAAAGAATACTTTTTACGTTGCATGGATGCAAAATGGAAAAGTTGAACAAAAATTAGAGTGTTATGAATCAACGATGATGACGACGATGACAACATCAAGCCTTTATTTCGCTACGTGGGGTCAGCTACATGAATCATTTGTCTCTATTGTGTCCTGTTAATCTTTTAAAAATGAACCAAAATAATCCCATAGCGTGACTATTTTAATTCCTCTTTAATGAGTTGAGGGGCCAAAATAGTCTTTCAATATAGTTGGGGACTATTTTGGTCTTTCATAAAAAGTCAAAGGACCTTTTTGATCATTTTTTCAAAAAAAAAATGTCATTTCTAACGAAGTCTTTTTACAAATCTAATGCATCTACTCTCCTAACCAAGTGGCCAAGGTTTTATGTGACCAAACCATCTAAGTTCACTATCTCTAAACTTATCCGCACTGGAGCTACTCCAACCTTTTTCATGTATATACTCATTTCGCATTTTGTCTCTAAGAGTGAAGCCACTCATCGACCTGAGCATCCTCATCTCTACAGACAATTAATTTGATTTTATGCTTTTCTTTCAATATCCAATATTATGCACTATAAAGCATTGTAGGTCTCACCACCATCCTATAGAATTTTTCCTTATGTTTGAGGGGTACTTTTGTAATGTTGAATGAAATAATGCATTCAAATGATTTCAGCATATAATATTCAGCCTAAACAAAAGAATAAATGATGCGGACATCGGCACGAAGATTTGGCGCATCTATCACAGGAGGCGTCATAAATCGACGGCTCTAATTTAAATTGTCATTTATGAGTTATTTTATGAATTTTAGCTCTTATTTTATGCTATTTTCTGTTTTACCCCTAGGATAGTTTATTTGGGTGTTATGGCCCAAGGGGCAATTGTGTAATTTTTGATTTCATCGTGTTGTGGCCTATATATAGGGTCATAAGCTATTGTAAAAGGGATGAAGAATTGATATTAAAAATTTGTGTTCAACAATTGTGCTCTTGTGAGAGGACGATAGTGAGATTTCTATGGGAGGAATCGGAGTTTTCACCAGCCGCAGGATGGGTCCGAGCTCGTGATTTGAAGTCCCTTGGAGAAGAGCAACGGATCACCCGTCAGTCTTCGGAAGAGTCCAAGGCTCGCGGTTTTTTATTTCTCTCTTTCGTTTATCTTCTATCTTTCTTTGTTTTTGTTTTGTTCCCTCTTTTTTCCTAGCCATCGTCTTTCTTCCTCCTCCCCTCTCAACTCCTCGGCCAAACCTCCATACCAAGCTCCACAAATTTTTTCCCATAGCCGCAGGCCACCTTCACTCGATCCCACCCTTTCTTGGCCGCCGGACACCTTCCCCCATTAGCTCCTCCGCCGCCGGCCACCCTTGTTTGTCTCCATGAATGAGGAGTCAATGTCTATCTTAAAGCTTACCTAAAGAGTTCAAATAATTTATGAAATTATTTTCATCCTTTTCCTAAATTAGAAAGATATTTTAGGAAAGTATTGAATCTCATTCATGATGTAAATCAAATTTAATTTGGGTGGTTTAATTTTAGGACGGTTTTCAAAATTCAAATTCAACTAATTCAAAATTTGAATTCTTTCCTAATTCATCATTCTAATTTTGGAAAGTTACTAAATGAATTTTATTTGAATTTCAAATTCAAATAGGGTTTAATTATTTCTTTCCTAAACTCCACCCCCAATTGAGTAATCTCAATTAGATGCATTAAAACCCTCTTTCCCTATGGATACAGCCGGCCCCCATCCCCCTTGGCTTACATTCCTTAATTGTTTCCTAATCCCCATCCTTGCTTTAAGGAAATAATTTCAATCCATTAAATTCCCTGTTTCATCCCAGCCGAAATATTCAAAGCTTAAGCCATTAATTACTTCCCAAACCTGAGAGGGGAATAAGGAAATAATTCCCTGAATTTTCCCTGTTGTCCCGCCGTCCAGCAAACTTCTCTAGTCTACATTACTTGGCTCTCCTTTGGGAAGGACTTTGGGGGATTTCAACCTGCTGCAAAATTTCCCCACTTCCTTCTTAATCCCGCTAGCCCCCTTCTCTCCCACCCGTCTCCCTCATCTTTCTCTCATAGCTACACCTTTCCCCAAGTCACTATTGACTTTGATCCCACATCGCTGCCCCTCTTAATTCCTTTTCCTCTGCTTATTAACCGCTGAAACTCCTCTTAGATCTTGTGAGAAAAATCTGAGAATTTTCAGATTTCCTGAAAAGAAAAATCTGAAACTTTTCAGAATTCCTGAAAGGAATTGTTTCAGATTTTTGCCATCCTACCCGTTCTACATCAATAAAGTTTATCTTAAATATGACTTATTGAAATAATTCTCAAATTATTCATATATATCTATATTGGGCAGAAAATTCAGAATATCAATCCTACCTTGAAGTATTCATATGCTGCATAAAGGCAGCAAGCACCCACCATGTCCGTTGGAACATTCACCCTTTTCACATATGTAACTATGGCAATTAAAATGATTAAGAATGTTAATCATGACATAATGCAGAGCCAACCAAAACATATGCATGTTACACAATTAATATGCCACTAAAAGCTAGTAGATATAGCACCAAGACAGATTTGCAGAGGCATTTGCATAAGCTAAATGTTGAAAAGAAGACAATTTAGACATTAGAATTAAATAAACATCAATAATCATTAAAATTGTAAATGATTGAAAATAGTTAAAACTGAGTGCTTAAAGTGAGTTTCAATGATCTTTGTTTGTTTGGTAGGAACTCCAATTTGCAAAATTTGTTATAGTGTTTTTTTGGACTACAATGAGCTTCATTTTTACCCACCATCCTATTAAATTTATTAGTTTATTACCATTATGAATAAAAGCAATATTCTAATCCAACGTTCTTCTAATTTTAAGCTACATTTTTATTACTTGTAAAAAAAACAAAAATAAATTTAGCTTTACAAGTCATCATAAGTGGAATCCACTTCTAACCTTTCCAAAGGAAATTCACGAACATAGTAACTAAATTTCATTCTTCAACCAAAGAAACATTGCAACTTGGTCCCGGAACTTGCTCCAATTACTTCCAACTACCTGCATTGAAAAAAAAAATGGCCTTTCAGGTGCCAGACTATTCAATAAGTAAAATAGAATAAATGCAGATATTGCACCCTTTGTCGAGCTCATAATAGATGCCTAAATATATTGCTATGATAAATTAATTGAGATGAAATTTCAACATGCTTCTGTTAAGTATCAAGCCAGCTAGCATAACAATTATTTTCTACTAGCAATGAATAACAGGAAAATAGATGCAATAATATTGCAATGAAAAGGTTTTGATCTCCTAATAGAAATTAACAAAAGAAATATAAATCCATAAAGTAACACAATCAATTAAGATTTTATGCACACAAAACTACAGAAATATAGTAGAACCAAATAACATCAACTGACTTATAATCCAATATCCATGAAATAAAGCCTCTTGCATTTCCAGAGAAATAAGGCCATATATAGGAAAGATTAAAAAAAACATAATCTTATGCTACCCTACTTGGATTGAAAAAATTCATCAAATGTATGGCTCAGCTAAGATTCTTCAATTACATTTGGACATATTATCGAAGTTGAGAAACATATTTTATCTAATATTGAATGTGAATATTACCTGATCATCAATAATAACTTTAATAAATAGACGATAATGTCTATTTTGAGAATGTGAATATGATGCATAACAAATTTGCAAGAACTATCTTACTCCATGAAATATAAACAAATTTACCAAGCATCAGTGAAATTCCACACTAAAAGTGAATATTGAAAACACTTCCATCAACAATTCAAAAAAGTCAAGCACGGCGCTTGCTCAAACGCCATGAATTGGGTTCATTGTATCTGTCATAGAGTGGCTCAATTCGCTCTTGACGCTTTCGCTTGCTCATCTTTGTTGGATCTGACGATTTATAAAACCTAGGTGCGAGTTCTACAAGCCATTTGGGATCAATAACAGTAACTTCGCGCATGTACTCCTTTGTTGTCATGACAAGCTCATGATATATGACCCAATCTGGCTGCCTTTGAAAGAGAGCACTGCTGGGATGAATGTAGACTGGTTGGTTCTCCACTAGGGTTCTGTAACCTTCTTGAGGATCTTTTCTTGCAGCATGAAAGAAGAATCCGGCGGTAATAGCCTTCCTTATCTTTGTGAAGTTTTTACCAGTACTGACAACATCCAATTTGTACCTGTAGATGAACAAGAAATCGGATGAAATGACACAATACTGAGATTTTGTAAATAAGTTCTAAATTTGGAGGAGTGTTAATTATTGAATCATGTCAACAAGACCCGTAGACAGACTAGCATATGACAGTTGCAGAAACAAGCAATTCTCTACAAGGTGGCATATTTAGGATTTGTTTAGGGGGTTGCTATTCTAAAAAAAAAAATAATCGTAAAATTATTGCTGGAAATTTTGATTTTTCAAAGCAACTAGCATTACAAACTCTTTTCTCTTTCAAAAATCGGATAACTTATCAGAAATGGTTGCAAAAAGCTGTTTTTGATCAAAAATAATTTTAAAAATAGCAATAAAATTGTAGTAAAAAAGAATTGTAACAGCTATGAAAAAATTACCCTAAACAAGCTCTTTTCTTTTTTCTTTTTTTTGCCAGTGTGCATTTGCATTACTTTAAAAAGAATTATATCAGCATATGCATCTACCTGAACTTAAATTCTAAAGCAACCAAACAATAGGAAGCAATCCATTTGACGCATTAAAAAAACGATAAAAAAGTAATCCAATAAGAAAATCAAACATATAAAAGCAGTTACGATTGCAAAACATAATCAGAATTTTTTAATGCAGAAAGCAAGAATTCTTGGGGGTAAAAAAGGATGTTCAACAAAAACATACCTATCCATAATAGTGAGGAGTTGCTTTCTAACATCCTGAGCCGTCCTAAGAGAACGGGACTGTATGAAGTTCTCAAAACACCATGGACCAGAAAAATTCTTAGCTTTCCAAGCCTCATAAACAGCAAGCAAAGTTAAGTGGTCTCCTTCTGGCTGGAAAAACTTGGCTCGCTTTTGATCTGCTTGGGCTTGCTTCTCCCTTGGTCTGTAGAAAATATTCCCAGTCTGGATCATAGCAATGATGGTCAGGATTTCATCACTGCATCCAAGGTCCACACTAGCAAGTAGCATCTTAGACAATGGTGGATCCAATGGAAACTCTGCCATTTTTCTCCCTACTTTAGTTAAAAGCCCCTCTTCATCTAAAGCTCCTAGACTGTACAACCGTTCCATGGCAGATATAAGGGCCTGAGGCGATGGAGGATCCATAAAATCAAAATGTAAGAGATCATTAATTCCCATAGCCTTCATATTCAATGCTGTTGTCCCAAGATTAATCCTCTGAATTTCTGGAATTGTGGAAGGTGACATTTCATTGCGATAGGCATTCTCTGTGTAGAGACGATAACACTTCCCTGGGCCAGTACGTCCTGCACGACCAGCTCTTTGCTTAGCTGATGCTTGAGATATAGGAGTGATCACCAAGGAATCAAGCCCTTGTTTAGGGTTGTACACATTTTGCTTAGCAAAGCCAGGGTCAATGACATAAAATATTCCATCAATTGTCAATGAAGCCTCCGCAATATTAGTAGCTACAACAACTTTTCTCTTACCAAGGGGAGCAGGCTCAAAAATCCTAGATTGCATTTCACTGGGAAGAGCACTATACACAGGCAAGATAATCAGTTCCGGCACATTCTTACCCAGACCTTTCATTCTCTCATAAAGAGATTGACAAGCATGATCAATCTCTTCTTGACCAGTCAAGAAAACAAGAATGTCTCCTTCAGGTTCTGTTAAGTGAATCTGCAAAACTGTGATCAGTGATGCATCTAGATAATCACTTTCTGGCTGCTTTGTATAGAGTATCTCAACAGGAAATGTTCTGCCAGGAATTGTGAAGATATTGCAGTTGAAGAAATACCCAGAGAACTTCTCTGCATCTAGTGTGGCTGAAGTGACAATAAACCGAAGTTCAGGCCTTCGTTTCACAAGTTGTTTTAGAAAACCAAAGAGCACGTCTGTGTTGATTGTCCTCTCATGAGCTTCATCGAGCATGATAACAGAATATTGTGAAAGGTTTTCATCAACCAAAATTTCCCTCAGAAGCATGCCCTCTGTCATATATTTTATCACAGTTTCTGGCCCAGTGCAATCCTCAAACCGAATAGAATAACCAACTTCCTCACCTAACCGACAACCAAACTCCTCAGCCACCCTTTTTGCAACCGACGTTGTTGCCACCCTACGGGGTTGTGTGCACCCAATCTTTCCTCTTGTAGTATAACCTGCCTCGGCCAGGTATTGAGTCACCTGCGTTGTCTTCCCAGAGCCAGTCTCACCAATGACAACCAATACCTGGTTATCATGAACAGACTGAATCAGTTCTTTCTTCAATTTGTAGATTGGAAGACTCTGCCTTTGATCTTGTATTGAAAGCTTTGATCTCTGGCCAAATGTCAAAGCTTTCCCATATGCATCTTTCTTCCATTCTGGCATGTCATAAGCAGACAATCCTACACCTCTCAGCTCCTGTGCAAGGTGCCTCTCCCCTGTCTCCGGCATTGGATCTTCCCACGGTCGATTGAGATCTTTTGGGATGGAATCAAGCATAGTTCTCTGCTGCTGATCACGAACTTCTCTCCGCTCCTTGATGAGAGCAGACTGAAGAGCCGCTTCCCTGCTTAAAGAACCCTCTGGATTTTTGAAGATCTTTACAGGAGACATGTCAATGGAAAACCGACTCTGGCCTTGCAAAAAAGCAGGTTCGGCTTCATTGAGTTCAATCTCAAGTTCTTCTTCAGCACGTTTTTCCTGATACAAGAGTCCATCCCCCTCTTCATCAAACGTTGGATATTCACGCACATCCAGAACACCAGCTGCAATCAGCTGCTTCTCTTCCCACTTCTCAGGCGAGCTCATCCTTTTCAATGGTCTCCTGGATGATGCATTATTATCATCCTCAACAATGGTAATGCCTGAAAGACCTTTCCTTACAATAGGGGTACTGTTCCCACTAGAGGGGTTGGTCCTTAAAGCATCATCCTCTGTGCTCTTCCTTAATCGCAGGAGATCCTTCCCGGTGTTTTGATCCACATCCCTCATGGTTAGACTAAGATTTTTGCCAGAAACTGAGATCACCTTAACATATACATCCTGACCAAGCTTCACCTGTTCATTTGCATTGGCGACTCTTCTATTTGCAATCTGTGAAACATGAACAAGTCCCTCCTTCCCGCTGAAATCAGATAATTCAACAAAGCACCCGTTGTCCATCAGGCGCAATACCTTTCCCTTGTAAACCTGATAGAGCTCCGGTTCATCAAAATTCCTTCCACCACTAGAACGGGTTCTCTCATGCCTCGTGCCATCATCACGTTCGTGACTATAAGCTCTATGGTTGCTGTAATCATCTATTCTAATACTCCTACCTCTATCACTGACTTGATCGTACCTGTACTCACGGTCGCGAACTTCCTTCTCGATCTCATCCTTGAAGCGTTGGCGGTCGTCGACACGGAAGGCCGCATATTTCTTATTCGAGGGTAATATTGAATGTATGATGGCCAGAAGGGTTCGAAGTAAGTAATTGGGAATTTCCCCTCCGCTTTCTTTCACCTTGGCGTCGAATTCTTCGACGGATTTGGCGTTCCGGCCAAGTTCGGTGATGAAGTCGGCCAGAATTTTATCGCCGCACCCCAGATGGCTTTCAAGCTCTGTTCGCACCTTCGAAACGATCGAGAAATACTCCAGCTTCTTAATGCTGTCTTCGGCCCCGGCCGCCATTGCCGCCGGTACAAGAATCAATTAGGTTTTAAGGCGATGCAGAGAAAAAACTTTGCCCGTTAGCGAGACAAGGTAGGAGGAGGGAAATTATTCTGTGCGGACTCCGGCGGACTCCGGAGGTGTTCTCCTTCCGGACTGGAATTAAATTAAATAAAAACGCGTGCTTTTTATTGAGACCTCAAGATCCTATCTGATGAGAATGCTCAAGTGGATGAGCGGCTTTACTCTTAGAGAGAGAGAATGTAAAATGAGCATATACGTGAAAAGATTGGAGTAGTTTTAGTAGAAAATAAGATTAGAGATAGTCGACTTATATGATTTGGTAATGGCGGTCTTCCGATGACCTGAATAAGAAACTTGATGTGTTATATTTGACTTATGTTAAGAAAAGTAGAGGTAGACCTACAAAGACTATATTAGAAAATATTAGAAATGATATTTCTTTATTAGATTTAAATGATAATTTAACTTTTAACATGATACAAAAAAGGAGAAAAAAAGAATTTATGTAGACGAACCCACATAGTGGGATAGAGGCTTTGCTGTGTATTTCCTGCTTATTTTCAAATACTCAACAAATACTCAGTTATGAGTATTACTGAATATCTTATGAGTATTTGATGAGTATCTTGTGAGTATTTATTGAGCGTTCTTTTAAGCATTTAATATCTGTTAATTTACTGCATATTAAATAATCAACAAATATTCAATAATTACACACAAAAATACTTTTTACTCATCTTTACCGACACGTATTCTCCAGCACACTCATCCCCTATTATCGGCACACCTCACAGCACTCCAGCCATCCAAGCTCTTCACACCGAACCGAGGATAAAGCCGGCCAACCCCCCTCCTCTTCTTTTCCACCCTCTGCTCTGCTCGTGCGACCAGCTGCCGCAGCATAACCGACCCGCGCAAGACCAGCTCCTCGCCGGCCTATACAAACCGCCGGCACCTGACGTCGCCTGCCCAGCGCGCTCACCTGCGCCTCCTCATTCAGGCTTGATTGGCCTCCACACGTAGGCCTGCTGCCAGCCTCATCTCCCCCTAGCCGTGGAACCTGCACCGCCGCTTGCAGCCGCCGGCAAACCACCTCCTCGTCGCGAAGGTAATGAACTTTCTCCCATTTCTGGTGCGTCTTCGGCTAGATCCCCGTAAATCCTATATCTAAGGCACAACGAAGAAGAAATGTGATTTAAGTCTGCTGCAGAATTTAAAGTTTGTCATTTTTTTGCTGTTTAGTAGAATTAAAAAATAATATGAAGAAGGGAATTGGATATAAGTTACTTTTGGTTGGGACAGTTTTTTGTTTTTTTTAATAGTTTTTTATATCAAAAATTTATTTGAACTAAAAATTTTTATATCACAAATTTATTTTAGAAAATAATAAGAAAATTAGCCGAGACGAAGCCTAAATCCTAGAACTACCGCAAAACATAAGTAACGTGGTTTAAGTTTATGAAAAATTATGTTGTGGACGGCGTTAGGAGACCAACCGGAATGCACCAAGTAACTTTTTTGTTTGGTATCGGTGCTTGATACTACTGTGCACTGTATGAGACCGTCAATTGTCTGCTCAGAACAATTTCTCTTAAGTTTCTATAGGTTTTTAAGTTTTCTTTCTCGCTGTTTGGTAGGATTTGGGCTACATTTTGCTTAAATCCTGCACAAATCCCACATCCAAACAGCTAGTTCATATAGTTTGATCATGCATTATTTGTAATGTGATTTCAACATTCAAATTCCTTGTTTAATCTATAGCCATTGACAGAATTTTGGTCAAAAAGTAATCTTGCCGATTGAGAGGATTTATGTTTGTTGAACGCCCATGAAGTTTAGTTTGGAGCTTTCGATGGAAAGCTGAAAGTTATGTTTTAATGTTTTATTGCTGTCCTATTACTTTTATGCTTCTTTATTGCATTTTATTTATATTACTCATACATCATAGGAAAATTATCTTGATCGGGCACGAATTTCGATGCAAAATCAAGTTTGAAACTTCCAAAATTAAAATTGGGACGATCCAAATTCCGATTTCAGCAAACTTATAGTCAAACTGAACGTCTCGGAAATACAAATCCAACGACACCAAATTCGACTCAATTCGAGCCCAAACGAATCCAAATCAAGGACCCAAAGCGTTGTTGGAAGGTTCGAACCACAATTTGGATTACCAAAACTTTTCCAAACATTACATGCTTATAGTCGAATTGAGCGGCTCGACGAGATGAATCCACCAAGCCCAAGATCGCTGAATTCTGACATCACTAATATATTCAAATGTCCATCAAATGGTCCATGATCAAGGGATTCAACATCGGCTGTCCATCCAACCACTCCCAATTTACCCTTGATCTCTCACATTTACGGTCCATGCCACTCGAGAAATCTATAAATAGACCCCTCCTTTCTCTTGAAAGGGGGACCCCAAGCAAGAAGAGAAGAAGAGAATAAAAGAAGAGAAGGAAGAGAAGGAAGAAGCTCCTTCCCGACCACCAGCGGAGTTCGCTAGACCACCGCCTGAGGCCCTCGCCTTTAATGGACCACCACTTGAGGCCCTCGCCTTTAATGGACCACCACTTGAGGCCTTGAGCTCCATCGGACCACCACTTAAGACCCTCGCCTCTGTCTGACCACCGCTTGACGTCGTTGCTCCGCCGGACCACCACCTGAGGCCCGGACTTCTGTCGGACCACCACTGAGGCCCTGTGCTCCACTAGGCCACCACCTGAGACCCGGACTTCCACTGGATCACCACTTGAGGCCCTATGCTTCACCAGGCAACCTAACGCCCGGACTACTACAGGACGACCATTTGAGGCCCTGAGCTCCACCAAGCCACCACCTGCCGCCCGGACTTCTTTCGGGCCACCACTTGACACCCAGAGTTCTCCCAGAGTATTGCCTTTCTACCACGATCTTTCGGACCCCTGTCTCGTGTCGACTATGGTCCTTCCAAGTTCCAACCAAACAAACACATCTATGTTGATTATTGTAACTCCCACAATTTAATGCACTCTATATGATGTACATTTGTGACATCAAGCAAAGGCCTTCTCCTAAGGAAAGGCCTCATTTGTAATCGACTGCAAATACTAGTTGGTTCATTCAAACTAGGCCAGACCCTGTGATTTTTTCCCCTCTTCAAGGTTTTCCACGTAAAAATTCAGGTGTCTCTTATGAATGCTAAATCCTCTCTCTTTATCTGTGTGCGTGCCGAATTTTCATACAAAACTAAGACGTTAAATATTATATTTCTCTACCGCTGCGAATACTCAGGACGTAACAATTACAACAACAACTTTTACTTTTATTAGTGATGTTTATAAAGCTCATTTCTCATTAGGTTCTAAGGATATTAAATATTCTACTATAAATAATTAATTGGCTTTAAAAAATAACCATGGTGAAAATTTATCTCTTTAAAATTAAATACATGGCTTTTCTTAAAAGCCTTTTTTTTTTCAAAATGATAATCAACCTCAACTTTAAAGTCAGAAAAACTCCAAACTTATTATAATAATCCGAAAATATAAAATGTGTAAAAAAAAAAATGTTATTTGAATTGGAGCGCAATGACGCTGTCTTCTGGAGCACTATGACGCTAGGTTTGAGAGCACAACAATGTCAAAACGCAGCGGCATTTGCGTTTCTTTTCTACAATAACTCTGAATTTGACATGTTGTGTTGTGGCGCTGAGTCTAAGTGTTGCGACATTATATATATTCCAACTCACTTGTCCCTCACTCCACCTCACCAACGGCCAGCTTGCGTGAGAATAAAATGGAGATGTAGATGAAAGAAGAGAGATCGGGTGGAGAGAGAGAAGTGAATTTCAGGCATTTTCGTTCATCAATTCTGTTCAAAGAATCCTTCTAATAGTTACAAGCAACCTAAATCTCATTTTAGTTCTCAATGATTTTGAGTTTGATGAATTTATTCTCTCTTAAATCGATAAAAATACATTTTCTCCTAATTTATTGAGTTTTTACTATGTAATTTTTTATATAAGATAAATATATATTTTATGAATCTTTTGACTGTAATATTATCGATTTCTACTGAGTAAAATGAAATTTATGATTTTCTGAAGCTATAAGATAATATATAGATTTTACTGTATTTTATATTGCATTTCAGATTGCATTTCATATAAATGAATATGACCTTTGACAATAAAAGCAAGGAAGACTGATTGTCAACAGTATAATTAATTCAGGTTGGCTGTTAAAACGTAATTCACTCCGCATTAGGGTAGGCCGATGAGCTTTTCTTTAAAAATTCTTATGGTGTTATCCCGTATGTAGCTTATAATTGATGATTGTTTATGTTGATGGACAGATAATGATGACTCTTTATTGATTTAATAAAGCCACACGTAATGATAATTAATAATTGACATGACTGATGACCAACTGAGAAGCAGTTGGGGTAGAAGTATTGAAATAACATAATAAAGATAGATGTTTTGTCTTACTAAATCATACATCTATGCATGCATAAATTGATAAACCGACAATAATGATAGATACATTTATAACATTGACAGTATTGAATGTATAAATTGATATTGATAGTTGTAGGTTACGAAAATTTTAATTAATTTATGATTGATTTATACATCGCTGCTTTACTGATTCTCATGTCTATTATCATTTTTTTATTCATTATAATGTTTTTTGTTTCATTGATCATTTTGAGTCTTATAACAAATGATAATTGATCACTGATGAGATTGAATGCTATTGATTAGATTAATTTAATTGAGCATGTACATTGATTCTTTAAGCCTTGCATTGAAAGTCTTAGTGAATTTGAGTTATTATTGGGTTTTTTATCTCATTAATTATGTGAATTTTAATGATTTCATGTTAGAGAAAGAGTAAGGACCAATTGGAGTGAGATTTATAGAGATCCACAATTTTTTTTTAATTTTGTTTGTATTGCTTTTATTCTTTTGTAGCAGGAGCCAGTGATAGAGTTTTGATTGTATTGATCTCCTGATCATTGTATATTAATTTTGGAAGAATGAATATAATAAAATTATATATAATAATTATTATTTGCTTTCACTTGATATTTAGTTGCTTTCGATGGACATATAAGTTTATATTGATGATTTATAATAACTCTAACTCTGATAAATAATAAAAAAGATAAATAAATACTTTTACCAAATTTTATTCTAGGGCGTGACACTTACACCCTTATACATAGCCTAATGAGTCAGCATGTTAGTTCACTTCCTATAATTCACTTAGAATTATATAATTTAAAACTTGCATAAACAATTCATATCAACTCATGATCAGGCTACCTTTGCTTCAGTGGCAAGGTTGTAAGACTCCTTTTTTATATATCACTCATATCTTATCGTGCACTTACATAGAGATTGTACATCAAGATTTTATGCAATTGGGTGGGTTTAGCTTGTCGTCCTTTCTTTTTGTATAACTAACTTATACATATATTTTTCTCGCTTATTAGTATCTAATATATTTTATAAATCATTAAAAATAAGATCTTTTCAACACATATTGCTTTCTTAGATTCCTTAATTACGTGTCTCTTTATATATTTACCAATTATAATTTTTTTTTTACATATTAATCATTTTTTTAACAAATATTCTTATTTTTCATATTTTTTTGCACATGTGTATTCTACCACAAATTATTTTTATTATGAGGAGCTTTCCCTTTGATACTCAAAGCCTATCTCTTGCAATATTATTAATATTACTAACAATTTTTTCCTACATAAGATTAACATTATTCTACACATACAAAATCTTAAGATCTAAAATCTTACTATAAAAAATATTTTTGTTAATATTTTTTAAATTCCCCATCTAATTCTAGAATATCGCTTTATTTTATTTTTTATTTTCTACCCTTTCATTTTAAAGTGCAAAACTACTAAGTGATATTGGGTACATAAATTTTTACTCTGAATAACTTTACAATCTTTGCAATCTAAACGATCTAATTTTCTTATAAAAAAATAATCAATATGAGATTTACTTTATCCATTTTTATACATGATGAGATACTCATATCTTTTCTTAAATAATATATCAACAATTAAAATATTATAAGATAAAGAAAAATCTAATATGATCATACTACATTCATTAGTCGTTCCAAATTTATGACCATCATGAATGCTTTTAAAATCATTTACCTCTCTACCAACATATCTATTTAAATTTTCTCCAATAAAAACTCTTTCTTAAAGAGGTATCTATTATATTCATTATTTTATGTCATTCAAAAAGTTTAATTTTGAACACATATTCAGATCCAACATGAGAAGTATAAACACTTATAATATTAATAATCTTAGCATCAATAATAATCTTTAAATCTATAATTATTATTCAATTCTATTAATTTTTATAATATTATCCTTTAAATTCTTATCTATAATCACACCTACACCATTTCTAGTACAACTCCTATTCGAATACCATAATTTAAATATAAACAATTAATCTTCTTACCAATCAGTTTATTAAATGCACATAATACTTATATTCTTATGAATCATAATATATATTAATTTCATTAATGTTCCTGTAAGAGAACCAATATTTTAAGTTCCTATCATAATTTTAGTTTTGCATACTAGTTTCTTTGCTCACATCCGTCCTTGATGTGAGAACCCTTGCCTATTTAATTCTGCATCTAGGCGTCGGTGTAACGGCCCTTGCACACTTATCGCTATTTTTAGGACATATCGTGTAGCTTCCAAGGAATGTCATAGTATTAACACAATATATTAAAGGATTCATGTCATAATTCTTCGACAAGTTTTACGCAGGCTGTCGACTGTCTAACACAACCCTCATATTTTCTCATTCAAAACTTGAAACCTAATAACGACAATATTTATTTTGTTGATATTTAAAATTCTAATGTATATACACACATGAAGTTTATTTATAAAATATATCAAATGAGAAAAATTTAAGTGCTAGAAATATATTTTCCTCTCTATAAAAAAATAAATAAAAGAGAAGAAGCAAAATGATGCGTTACCAAAGGCCTAAAAGCCGATCCAAAGGTATCGAATCCCGAAACGCCACAAAGCGGCCTTCCGACAATCGCCAAACGCCATAATAACCCTAGAAATTAATTTCACCTCTCATTTCGTTCCTAAAAACCCTGTGATCGTTGCATATCTTTTCCCTCTATCTACACACAGTCGCCTGGATTTTCTTTCCACCTATTCCATTTCGTTAATCGTTATCCGTATACGTCCCTTCTCGTTTACTCGTCGGCATCCACCAAAACCCTAGCAATTTAAACTTGCCCGATATCGTTGCTCAGGTATTAGTTAGTGAGATCTCATCACTTCTTCATCTTTATTTTTAAGTTTTGCTTCGGCTCGAGTTTATATGCTGCATTTTATGGCCGGACTAGCTGACAGGCAAGGTATGGCGTATTGATATGTAGTTGTATGTCTTGCTACATTGACTTTGCTTAGCTTGTCTTCTAAATAGGGTTTGTTTCCTTGCAAGTGGGATTGAGTTAATACATTTAATGTGCTCCTCTAGAAATATTTATGAAGTGAATGATTAGGATTTTCCCTGGTATTTCTTTACATGTACTATGCTTATGTTTTTATCATTAGGAACACTTAGTGATATCAAAAGTGTAATACATTAAGACATCTACCAGGAGTGTGTTTGGATATTTCCCAGGAAAAACCTAAAATAAACTAATTTGATGTGGAAATAACTGCAGCAATTTGATCATTTTTGCATAGAAGAATTTTATGAAAAGAAGTGATGGGCCTAGAATTATGGCCAAATGCATGTAATCAATTGATAAAACTTTCACAGACATTAGATGGATGCTAGAATAATATCATGATTGTAATTAGTATTTTAAACTTTAATTAGTACTCATCATACAATGCAGAGTGTTGCACCTCATATGATGGATGCCTTAAATTTATAAAACAGTTAATATGAATTATTTAAATTATTATTTTTATACTGTCATTAAATATTAGTTTATGAATCATTTCTTTGGCTAAAAATTTTTTTGGGCTTCTTAATCAAATACTTTACTAAAAAAGATATATTCACATAATTTAATATTTAAGTTATGAAAATATTAGTAATATTATAATTTGAAGCATTTATTGACTAGTGTATATAAATCAATATTAAAGGTAGCTTGCAATTTAGACCAAAACTAGAAGTGAAGCTTAAAATTTGTATTTAGGAAAGCAATATTTAATTTAAAACTTTTATTTGGAATACTAAAATAATCATAAAATTAACTGATTAAGTAATTGTATCTATTGACTAAATGTAAAATTTAAAGAATAACATCTAAGAATGTTTTCCTAAGTATGAGGTGAAAAATTCAAGTAGTCAATTGTAAAGACTAAAATTTAAGAAATATAACAAACAAAAGTATAGGATAATCATAATTTTGTCATTGATTTTTTAACATCATTTGGAATGTAGGGGCATGGGATTAGTATCACCATGAAGTTATAAATTTATTGGCATTTTACTTAATCCCTTGAAATTACTGGCATAGTACCCCAAGAACTTTACTATTTATAATGGACTTTCCATTTAAGGTTTAGTTTGCTTTAGGATTTTTTTTTAGGTGCTAAAATCCTAGTTTCTAGTTTCTCATTCTTTTCACTGAATAAACTTAAAGACCTTGTACTTTCTCATGAAGGAAGCACAAATGCTTCATCATTTTAAACTCTTTCCAAGTCCACTTTCATATCTTTATGACCCTGCGAAGAAAAATGATATTTATTTTGATGCTATATTGTTATGATTAATCGTTATAATTTTTTCATAGAGTAAGAATTTATACTTTTTTATGATATGTTTTTTATAATTTATATTTTCATAAGAGAATTCTTACATAAATACCAAACTATGATTTTTTTTCCCGAAAGACAATGCAAGAAAACTCTAGGAATCTTTGTAAATGATTGAATATAAGGATTTTAAAAATAAATTTTTTAAAATATTTTTTTTTAGTCAATAGAATATTTATATAATATTAACACCATAAACTAGAGCGATATACGAGTAGGACTTAATTGAATAGAGTGATATATCAATAATATTTAAGACTTGTCATGTTTACTGGTAGATACAAATATTAATGATGGTATATCAAAAATATTTTCTTAATTTTAATTCAAGATCTCAATTGGATAAAAAACTTAAAAGGGATTAATTATTTTGTGATTTTGTAATTAAAGATAAAATCAGAAAACTACTACATTATTAATGACCAATTAATAGTGATTAAAAGGTTAACAATTAAAACACTAATATTTGGTTCAAAGATTGTAGTAAGTCCATTAGGTTGTTAATTATAAATAATAAATTACTAATTGAGATATTACTTAGATAGATTTTGTTTTATTAATAATAATAGACCTACACACTAATTAGGATTACATTAATACCTTTCACCACTAATCACATGCATTTTAAATAGCTAATCTTGTTCGTTGAAAATTGATTATAATGGCTACTACCTAGCACCAATTCACATTGATTCGGTTAAAAGATTGTAATAAGTCCATTAGGTTGTTAATTTTAAATAATAAATTACTAATTGAGATATTACTTAGATAGATTTTGTTTTATTAATAATAATAGGCCTACACACTAATTAGTTTTACATTAATACCTTTCACTACTAATCACATGCATTTTAAATAGCTAATCTTGTTCGTTGAAAATTGATTATAATGGCTACTACCTAGCACCAATCACATTGATTTAAGAAACTAATTCATATTATTTATTAAAATTTGCTTCTTACTCAGTTAACTACCTAATTAATTTGTTAAAATATTAAATTTAATAAAATTGAATAACTATTAAATAAATATCATATGTCAAGACAAATGGGTTGTATGATTAGCTCATTAGAATTTCTTGTTAGTTATATTTTATGAAATAAACAATTTCATGCTTTTAATAAGACTCTTTTCCTTGAAAAATAATAATGATAATGAAATAATTAAAAATAATACATTACTAATATAGGAGAGCTATATATAGCTCTTTCTACCACACCATACAATTGAGTATTGTAGACTATTTCATATTCATTCATATTCTAATAAAATTGTATTGTATACAAAAAGTAGCTTTCTCTTATACAGAGAAATTGACAATAGATATCTATTCTATATCAAAATGTATATTAGACGTACATCAAAATGAAATAGCACTCAAATTTTTAATTTTTTCTCTACACCCATTTGTATTCATTTTGATCAATTCAAAAGAATTGCATAGCCACAAATCTTATGTATTTTAAATAATTAATCTTGTTATAGATGACAATTGATTTCAATATTGACTGCTTAGTATTATTCACTTTGATTTAAGAAGCTAATAGGAAATACGATTTACTCTATGAACTACCTACTTAATGAATTAAAACAAATTTTTTTTATAAAATTAATTAACTCTCCAAGAAATATGATGTTGGGGACATGGATATATAATTTGATTGAATCGAGCAGTTGTAGGGGTCATATTTGAATTAATCCTCAAGCCAGTCTAGTCTTAACCAAATTCGTAGGGGAATTAGCCTGCAAAAATTGGTGTTAGATCGCGCAACCCTTATACTGAGAGCGGTTGATTAGGTTTGGCTAAAATTTTTAATGGAGAGATTGCATTGGAATGTAATATTTTATTGACTTATTCATGTATATTTGTTGAGTTATATTTCATGATTTATATTATATAGACATATTAGCACTTAATTATCATCATTATTATAATTGTTATCTTGCTTAAATAATTTTAATAGTATTTACGTCATTATGATTGAATCCCCAATTGGATCTTGGATCTTGGCTGAACATTAGGTATTGTGATTTCAAGAAATAAAAAAAAGAGTTTTTTTTCAAGATACTGTTTACCATGAAACAAAAAAATAAAGAATCATTATTATTGTGTGAATCGATGAGCTGTTGTGCAAGAGCATTTTTCATGTTCTCAAAGCCTTGGAGAAGGCACACATGTAGTATAGGGCGCTTATTGTTGTATAATTTTCTCCTAAATCAAGATTTTGACGTTCCAGATTGAAATATCAAATGAATTTGATTAATTAGTTGATTAAATGCTACTTAATCATCGGACTAGAAACTCGAAAACTGCCATCCATTATAACATTTTTTTTACTTTGTTTTTTTATATTGATTTAATCTCTCTTATTCTTTATTTTAATTTTTATCTTTTCTTGTTTTTATTGAGAACCATCAGATTAACTATGATTTAGTTGAAGAATGGAATTTATGGTTGTAAACATAAAATTTTCAACTCTTTTATCAACCCATTAATTATTAGAAATTATGTTGAACAACAATGTGCCCTGCTGTAGGTCCACATGAGTGGTTTAGAGGCCATTGAATGCGCTGCAAAAGGAAGGAATGAGGATAAGGATTTCAATTGGATCATTGATAGCTTGCTGTCCTGGTTTTCAGTTGTGATTGTTTCTAATCTACGTAAAACTAAGGACTTGTCTCCGGATATCTTTCCACCTGTTTTCGAGCTTTGATTTTTGTTAATTGGAAAGCTTCTTAAGTTTGATCTTTTATGCGTCATTTTCCTCCTGGAAGGCTACGATAGAATATCACGAAAAGAGATGGCCATAACCAAACCTGAGGTATGTTTGAGATTGGAATTTATATTTCTTGAACAGCATTTATGTTTTTCACTGATTACTTTTTTTTTTTATTTATATTTTCCCTGTCTAGTAATCATTGTGCCTGGTAGAGAGATTGGGCTAGCATGTATTTTTACTTGCATATGAATGGAAAATTCAAAAATGACTATCCCTATAGCATTCTATTCGGTGGATAGTTTATTTTTATTTTTGTGGATCTAGTTTATAGTTTTGATACATCATCTCCTTGTTTAGGTTTTCATATTTTTTCTTATTTTGTAAGTAAGCTGTAGTTGTGTGTTTTCCCAAAATTTCCTCAAGGATTTCTATATTTCGGTGCCCATTGTGCTAATTTTTCTCCTATTACACCTTTAAGTATCTTTTGATCAGTTGATCCTTCGATTTAGATATCCGTTTATCTCCTTATTAATTAGTTATTATTTGTCTACTGCAACAACCGGCTATTTGAGATATTTTAAATCTTTGATATGAATACATTTCTTGCTAATTAACAAATGCATGCATTTAGCTGCCTTTCTCCAAATCTGTTCTGGATTAAAATTGCTTCTTCGTTTTTTTTTTCTTCATATTTTTCTATTCTTCTGCATACACTTTCCAAAACAGGGGATTCAAGTTTGGTAGTTTCCAATTTGAGTTTGGACTCATTTTTGTTTTTCACCATTTTACTATTTCCATTTGTACAACCTTTTTGGCCAATTAATTTTGACCTTTTCCGTGAATTACTTCTTATCCAAGCTGATTGGTACACTTATTAGTTGATAGTTATTTTGTTCTTTCTGCAAGTTCCTATAACAGTTACACAGACAATGCATACAAGGAAATTTCATGCCATTGTTTATTACTATTTAGCTTTTGGCTTTAGTAGAGTCTAGGGTTGTGTGCCTGGTATGTTAGTTTAAGAGTAAGAACATTTCATTCAGCACGTTCTTTCAGGCTATGAAGTCCTATATCTGGCTTCAAACAGCTGATGGCTCTATACAGCAAGTGGAGGAGGAGGTTGCCATGTTCTGCCCTATGATATGTCGAGAAAGAGTTCAGTCAGGCATGGGATCATCCAAAAAATTTGCTTTATCTTTACCTGAGCGAGTAAATCCAGCCGTTCTCAGCTTAATACTTGATTATTGTCGGTTCCATCAAGCTCCTGGGCGTTCAAACAAGGTTCATTATGTTTCAGTTTCACGTTGATTTCTAATTTCTCTTTATGAAGAGTTATTGTTCAGTTTTTGATTTATAGGATTTAGAGGAAGTGGTTTTTTTTTTAATTCATAGAATTTATGCCAAGCGCTAGAATTTTGTTTTTAAATTTCTTACTGATCCCGAATTAACCCAGGAGCGGAAATCCTTTGATGAAAAATTTATCAAGACTGATACAAAGCAGTTATGTGAGTTGGCATCGGCAGCTGACAGTCTTCAGTTGAGGCCTTTGGTAGATCTCACTAGTCGAGCGCTTGCCCGCATTATAGAAGGAAGAACACCTGAAGAGATTCGTGAAATATTCCATTTACCTGATGATCTTACAGAGGTATTATTTGTGATTTATATTTTTATTGGCATGTTGATACTTTTCCTTACTGCTGCATTTTTTTGCTTCAACAGGAGGAAAAATTGGAGCCTTTAAGAAATGCCACCAATGATCCCCGTATCCGTTTATTAAATCGATTATATGCAAAAAAGAGAAAAGAACTCAAGGAACGACAGAGAATGAAGGTAGGTTAATTTGTCCACTCTTTTTGTTGTCTTGTAGCAACTTGAACTTCTTTCCTGGATGGGGATTTTCAATACGTTCATATGCTTGTTCTGACACTTAAATTGACCCTTACTAGTTTATTAGGGATACCTAATATAAGAATCTCCTAGTTATCGGCATGATTTCCTGATGGTTCTGCTCATATGTTCATATTTTTGCTTTGACTCTGAGTTATTATTTGTGATCGTGTTTTTTGGTATAATTTTTAGTAGTTTCAAGAAAAGTTGTGTCTGCTTTGGCATTCAGAGTCATGTGAAATTCAATTGCTTGAGCGTGTAATAATTGTTCTAGGATGATGAAGCTGAAGATCAACATGCGGATGAACGTTCAGTTGACGAGCTATTATCTTTTATAAATGGAGGAGATGGAGGTACGATTTGGAGACTTGCTAAACTTTGTACGCAGGAGGACAATTTTTTGTACCTGTAACACATTCCCAATTAATCTCATCATTTCTATGTGAAAGGATGTTTTTTTTTAATCTTTTTTTATGTCCTTTGAAATATTCGCTCTTAGTAAATAGCTTGTCTTTGCTTGTAGCTAGGGATTGCTCTTACTTGCCTTGTCATTGCGGAAAAAAACTCTCTTGTTTCTTTTTTGACGTTCTTGGGCTATTGAACTGCGTCTTTATGTGGAAGATGTTCCTAAAAATATTTCAGGCATGTGATGAATTTTAACCTGCTGCGTTTCTTTTGATAGCCATGCTTGTGCTAATTGAACATGTTTTCGGGAGCTTGTGTATGTTTTAAGGCTTGAAAGAAACCAAACTTAAATGCCATTGGTGATGTATATATGAAATGATAGCAAATTTGATACTCCTGGACTACGGTTAGATCATTGGGGAATTTTAACTTCGATGTTGTTTTTTCTGCCTTTTATCATCCATACAAAGTTATTCTTTCCCAGCGTCCTAAAGGTGTTTTGTGCTTGTTGCAGCTATATTTTCTTCTTTTGTTATCTGTAACAATCTAGCTTTCAAGCTGCTTTTGAAATTTTGGTATATTGTACATAAATGAATTTGTTGCATCTTTTCTTGAGAAGCCTGGAACCTAGTTAGTTCTTTCTGAGGCTTGGTGGAATATACAATAATAGTTATTTGTCTTCTTTTTTCCCCAAAAATGAATGCTACTCTTTATCTCTCAATTAGATTGCCATGGAAACAACGCTTAGTTAACTGGTGTTTAATTTGCTTCTTCAAAAGATGGGAATGTCAAGTGAATTTGTCATGCATATTTCTTGTACTTTTTAGTACCTCTTCATATATTTAAGTAAATATTACTTACAAATTGATTTTTTGTTGATATTCATTTCTCAATTAAAAAATCCATAATGAGAAGATTTACAATCTATAACCTTTTGATATTAATCATTTCTATTGCAGGGCTTTAGATTTAGACGAGATACTTATTGAGATTTAGGAGACTTTGATGTATTATAGTGATTTGATTAATAAATCTTTTGAATAAAGTTCTTAAGACTAATAGAATGTTCATGACAGGGAAAAAATTTTGATACCAATATTTAAGTTTAAGATTTCATTAATTATAAACAAATCAAATTTATGAGTAATAAAATGAAGTTATTAGAGAAATTAATGGAACATATATTTTAAAAAGCACGTTAGTCTATGGAAACACTTTTCTATCAAGATAATTAACGGATAAGTATAGCACGAAGAAATGATCTTCATATAATTTTTCTTGATCTTGTGATAGGAAATACTTGAAGATTTCAAGGAAATCCTATCAATCTCTGGAAAACGGCAAGAAATTTCCACAAATCCAATAAAAAATCAGAGGAAAATCGAAATTTTATTGCAATAACACAAACTAACTGAAGAAAATAGCAAGATACAATTGATCCTCTATTCTAGAGGAGGATCTATCTCTCCCAAATCTTTAGATGCCGCTAGAGCCCAAAAGAAACCTAAGAGATCTCAAAGTTTAGCCAAATTCAAGATGCCCTAACCCTAGGAAAAAACTATTTAATGCATACAATTTAAAAGGAAATCTCTAAACAGTCACTGCATTCAGATTTCCCTCCCAAATTCCTAAAAAATCTTCCCTAAACAGCTCTGTCCGGGCATTCAGATCGTGTGGCATCTGCAGGAGGCGGAGATTCCGCGTCTATTTTGCAAGCCGGTCTCGTTTGGACCGGTTAGATCGGTCCACTGGACCGGCTAACAATACTCCCCTTTAAAAGTGTCACCTTGTCCTCAAGGTGGAATAAAGGAAACTAGTGCTAAAGCACTTGATCAATAACACTGGACTGAAAAATGGATTGATACTGGATTGAATGATCCCTGCTTCCAGCATCTCCCTAATCAATATTTCGATCTCATCCTTCTGAATTTGGGGATGACTACACGGATGAACACTAAGAGGTGAAACTACTTCTTTCAAGATGATAGCATGCTCGTGTTCCCGCGGAGGAGGCAACCCTGAGAAACCTCATTGAACTATTGAATCAATGGTTGTACTGAAAGAGGAATGTTCGAACCCTCCTCCAATTTGATCCCCTCTAGCCTATAGTTCAATCATATAATGTTCCCCCACCTCTTGCATGCTCTTCACCTTGGCTTTAAGTCATATCATGGCTTTGGTGACCCCTGCATCTCCCCTGATCACTACCCTTCTCTCTTCCACCATCAGATCCATCGTCAATGCTCCCCAGTTGACCTTTGTGTCCCCCAAGGTCTACAACCACTTTATCCCCAGGATGACATCAATGCTCCCTAATCCCAATGGAAGAAAATCGTCCCTCACCTGAACCCCTTGTATGGTCGACAGTACTCCCCTACATATCCCCTGACTCATCTCCACCTTCCATGTATCCATCATCACTCCATAACACCCTGTATCCACTAATGTCACCCCCAATTGGCCCATGACCTAGTTGGAGATGAAATTATGGGTAGTCCCACTATCAATCAACACCACCACCTCCCTGTATGCTATTTCCCCCTTTACCTTCATGGTATGATTTAGAGTGAATCCAACCACTGAATTCAGGGAGATCTCCATCACGTCCAGATGCAGCTTGTCCTCCATCTCTCTCTCTCTCTCTCCCATACTCTCACCTCCCTTAGTTTTCTCGTCATCACAGAAGGTGAGAACCTGAAGAGTTCGATCCCTTCACTTGTGCTCTGGAATATACTTCCCATCACATCTGAAGTATATCCCTTTAACCCTCTTCTCTTGCATCTCCCTCTCCATCATTCTTTTGACATTCCCCCCTTCCTCCTCCTGTTGGATTCTCCCTGGGAGCCTCATTAATGTTTGCTTGATGCAGGTACCTTTTTTTTGAATAAAAGATGCAGGCTCCTTGGGTGCTAAAAGAGTGGTTGTCATCTTGTAAGATCATCTTGAAATGCTACTACTGACTCCCCTCTCTTGATTTCTCTAATTTTCCACCAGTTGTGCCAACTCCATGGCCTCTTCCTAGTCACGAGGCCTCATGACCTTCACCGCTGCTCTAATCTATGATTTGAGCCCCTTCATAAAATTTCTCTCCAATGACGTCTCTGAGAATTGATCCATCCTACTGGCCGGATGCTCAAATCGCTCACGGTAGTCTGTCATTGATCCGTCATGCACCAGTGCAAAGAATTGCCATAGAAGTCTCCTCCCCTGTCGGCTTGGAAACGTTCTAATAAACAATACTTGAATTTTCTCCAGCTATGTAGGGGTCTCCTTTGGTCCCTCCACTAGTACCATGACAACGTCTTTCCCTCTAAGCATAAGCATGCTGCTGTCAACTTATCCTCCTCCGTCAACTCATTGACGGAAAAGTACCTTTCCACCTTATAGATCCACCCATTGCATCCTCCCCTTCGAAAATGGGCATCTTCAGTTTCCTCACCTTCTAATCTCCCCCGTTTCCCCTTATTCCTCCAGAGTTTCCCCTTTCTCAAGTGATTGGTTCTCCCCAAGTCTTATGATCTTCCCTTTCCCTTTCATACCCAAAACATCCTTCAAATTCCCCTCTCCTTCCTTCAAAATCAGCACCTCAGCGGCCATAATATCTTTCCATGCGCTCCCGTTCAACATTTATTTGCCCCTGCCTTTCATACCCATGCCTTTCCTCATACCTCCCTCCTCTATCCTCCCTTGAAAGACTCCAGATGGGGTCTTCTTCTTTCTCCCTCTACGATCTCTACCTCATCTTAATCCTTACGAATTTCAGAATTCGTATTCTTTCCTTCTGGCCCTCTCGCCTCTGAAGCCGCTGTTTGGTTGTGGAATTCTGACATCTTCTTCATCATGTCTTGTAAGTAAGCTACTTGCACTTCCATGGAGGAAATTATGTTCTCCACCATTGTCTTAATTTTGTTCAAGTCGTTCCTCTAATGCATCTACCTTCTTGGCCGCCATAAAAAAATGGATATTGATTCAAAATTCTGCAAGGAATCGTCCTCCGAACACAAAAACCACCGTTGAAATTTCAGAAAATCAACCCACATAGTTCATAAATAAGCTTTGATACCAATCTGATAGGAAACACTTAAAGATTTCAAGGAAATCCTATCAATCTCGAGAAAACAGCGAGAAATTTTTCACAAATCCAACGAAAAATCAGAGAAAAACAGAAATTTTATTGCAAGAACTCAAACTAACGGAAGAAAAATAACAAGATACAATTGATCCTCTATTCGAGAGGAGGATCTATCTCTCCCAAATCTCTAGACGCCGCTAGAGCCCAAAAGAAACCTAAGAGATCTCAAATTTCAGCCAAATTCAAGATGCCTAACCCTAGGAAAACAAAATATTTAATGCATACAATTCAAAAGGAAATCTCTAAACAATCTCTACATTCAAATTTCCCTTCCAAATCCCTTAAAAATCTTTCCTAAACAGCTCCATTTGGGTGTTCGGATCACGCGACATCTGCAGGAGGTGGAGATTCCACCTCTATTTTGTAAGCCGGTCCCGTATGGACCGGCTAGACCGGTCCATTGGACGGGTCTAACATCTTGATGATTAGAGTGATAGGAAGTGGATGCAATTTCAGCAAAAACATAAAACAACACAACAAATTTAAGAAGACGAACACAAGAACTCTTTTTTATTGAAAGAACTAGGAAAAAACACAAGATGCAGTTGGATCTTCAATTGTAGAGAAAGATTGACTCTCCCAAATCTCTAGTCGTCGGCTAGAGCCCACTCAACCTAAGCAAAACTAATTCCAGCAAAATCTAGCATTATCTGAAATCACCCCATATCTTGCCTTAAATAGGGCCTCCTAATTCCCTCCAAAATCAGTCCCCTTTCTCTAAATAATTGCCTCTCAGATTTGAATTCAAATTAAATCTCTTTCCCTAATTAATTTCCCCCCAATTATAATTAAAACTTTCATAAGCAATTTTTCATTGATTCCTCCTTACATAATGAATATTAACTCTTATGGGCTTTCCCTAAATAATTTCCTCTTAGCTTTGAATTCAAATTAGATTCTTTCCCTAAGTAATTCCCTCTCAATTGTAATTAAAATTTTCTTAAATAATTCCCCTCTCTCTTCTTGCCCGCTGCCCACCTAAATGGGGCCCACCGGCTTAGATGTTGGTCCATCATAGAGGTGTCAATATTGGGCACGATTTGAAAAAAAAAAAACTGTGTTTTGGTCAACCTATATGATATTCGAGTCAAGTTTGGGTAACGTAAGTGACTAAAAAAATCAGATCAGATTTAGATCATGACACTTCTGATTCAAGTTAACTCATAAAATAAAGATTTAACAATTTATTTCAAATTTTTAACGAAAAAATCTTACAAAACTATTTTTTTATTATGCCCAAATCGAGTTATTGTGTTCATTTTTGGTTGGGTTTACTCTAATCAACACGACATATTATTTTTTTTTCGTGATAGTTTTGGGTTTGGTCAAGTCATTTTCGGGTTGGGATTTTTAACTTGTTTAATAGCAGATCGGATTTGGGTTGATTGTATTTGTGTCGGGTCGTTTTTTGGCCGGACTTAAATTCGACCTGTGAACAAAATCAACACACTTGATAAGGCATGTGATCGAGTACCATGCGAATTGATTTAGTGTGCATTAAGATAGAAAGGTGTGTATCAAAGTAATGCTAAAATTATTAAAGATGTGTATGATAGAGCACTGAGTATTATTAGAAGTATTTGTGTAATGATCAAATAGTTTTAAATTATGGTAGGATTAAATCAAAGAGTAATAGTGAGGCTTATCTTTTTGTAGTGTTCATTAGAGCCCTACATGGGGTCTTGGTTGGATACCCATTGGGTACCCAGGCTCTGCGTTGGCGGGCTTTGCCCACCCACACCCACATATGGTGACTTTCCGGATGTCATACCCACCCACACCCACCAACTTTCTACGCTTAATGAATGCAATCTGCCATAGAATAATGGCCTTGAGGCCATTTTCTCTGACTGTAAACTTTCAAGCCACATATCAAAATTTACCATGATTGCGACGCGGTTCAGTATTGCGCACTGCATAGTAAGGATTATTATAGTATATTGCATGTATATGATAATTAGTAATGTAAATCGATTCTCCTCTGATGCCGAATACCCACCCACGAGGCTATGGGCATACCCGTACCCACCCATGCCCATTGGGTATGGGTGGGTGTGTGGGTGGGTGTGGGTGCACAATGCAGGGCTCTGGTGTTCATTGAGATGTTAATAAATGATATTCAAAGTGAATTCCTTGATGCGTTACTTTTGCAAATAACATGGTTCTAATTGGTGATAGATTCGCTAAAATAAACAAAAAAAATATAATGATGAAGAAAATAGGGCCTAGAATTAGTAGACTAAAGATCGAGTATATGCTATGCAATTTAAGTTGGTATGAATACCAATTATCAATCAATTTTGTCAGAAGATAGAAATTGTGTTGCCAGGTAAAATATGTTTAGAACTTTAGATATATACGTAAGAATGGGAATGTAGATAATGATATAACTTTCTTGTGTTAAAATTGTATGGTTAAAATGGATAAGTTGTTAGGAGTATGCAATAAGAGAATATCATGATGACTTAAGATAAATCCAAGTAGTCCGACAGTATTTTATGGATTTAAGTGTCGAACAATAGTTTTTTTGTTAAAATTGAACATGATAGAAATATGACTGTTAAAATGAATGCATGTAAAAAATAGGAATGATAGATTAATGAATGATTATATTTGAGGAACAGTTAGAGTGACATTTATTGAAGTTAGTATTATTGAAAGTTGACTTAGGCAGTTTGTACATGTTCAATGGGGAGTAGAAAATGTACCACCATTAGATAAATTGAATAGAATTCATGTTAGAGGATTAAGAATGTGACTGCTTTAAGGGAACATGAATAGAATTTATTCAAAATAATTTGTGAGGAATAAATTGTGCTTTAGAGAACACTTAATAGGAAGAGGCGGAGAATGAAGATTCATAAAGTTGACCCCCCAAATAGTTGGGTTAAGGCTAATAATAACTAATAATGATGATTAATTGATGACTAAAAGAGATGCTTGTATTTGAACTTGAAGTAAATGATATTTATGGCTATATTACATGCACGAAGGTTGGCATTGAAATTGTAACTTGAATTTTTGATTGATCATCTCCCGGAGGATTATGCGGATTCTTGCATACTTGATGTCTGCATGCCCAACACCCCTCCCCTTCTTTTTCCTGGGAAAGAAATCCGGCAGAAGTTGTATGATTCTGAATGCTCCTTACCCTATAAATATCTGAAAAAAGATGAAAGAATAAATAGAGTTGAAATGGTAGTTACATATTTGGACAATACAAATATTTGGATTGATGAATTTATGTAGAAGGTTGGTTTTTGAGTGTCTTTATTTGAATCCATGTTTAGCTGATAGGATAGAGTAAAGATGGATGAATTTAGGTCTGTGTGGAGACGCATTATTAAAATTAATGCAAAGACATGTAACTTGCATTGATGTGCCCCAAAATGGTCCAATAAATCTATATGATCTGTGTAAATTATCGTAACAAATAACAATGTTAACTATCAAATGCTACACATCTTGCTTGTTCTATGTTGTAGTCTTCTTTTTTGGTAGATCATGCGGTTTTTCTTATCTAATTGGTTCTCATAGTCTATCTTATTTTTTAGTATGTTCCTTAACACCAAAAACACAATCCGACTTTATGGAGTTTCTTTGTTTGCTATGGCTATTTCTTCACTTTTGAGTTCTACTGCTAGCTGAAATTATTCTATGCATCAGTTTGCAGAAGTTGGTTCCTCAGATATTAACCAATATCTTAATTTTTCATAACAATTCTTATGAACTGTAGCTACTTTGTAAGCAAATCTGTAGTGTGGGAGTTGAAATTTTTTATTTCTTTCTTATTTTGATGTGCTTTTCAACAGATTCAAAGTTTATCAGGTCTGCTAAAAATAAAAAGAAAAACAGGAGAAGAAGAGACCTATCAGAAGAGCCTTCTACAAATGAACTCAGTAGTAAACAGATGGTAGTTATGAATATTATCTCAGCCTTTCTGATAATTTACTCATTAGCAGATCTTGAAGCTGCTACTTACATGGGCTATTTACCTTAGGAATCAACAAGTCATTCTGTGGGATTCCATGAGTCTGGTGCAGGTATTTCTTCAAGTTCTGCTAGAAACTCAGAAATGCAGTATGATTCTGAAGATGCTTTCCCAGGAAAACTTGAGTTTGATGATGATTATGTTGATGATGAGCTAGACCCTGCAATGAAGGAAGAACTTGACAGGTGAGCTGGCCTTGCCTTGTTTTTGCATGTGTTCCCTTGCAGCCTTTTTATTGAAAAGTTTCTTATGTAGTGGTCTTCTTGTATGCCTTGAAATTCTGTATCATGCTAATGAAGCTGAGCATTGTATATTAAACGGGTGCAAAAAGAATGCAAAGTTTGCAAGGAAACAATCTATCTAACACAAATGTTTATTTAATGGAAATGATGAATTGCAACAGAAATAGCTCCAATTTGTGTGACATATTAATGGATCTTTTCGGAGTAAGTTGCATCGATACTCCTAAAACTCAGGGCATATGGCATGCGTGCAAGCATGTTATGTCTGTGTTTTTCGATGTCCTATGCTTCTAGGAATTGCCTTGCCCCGTGTTGGGCTTCCCATGTTGTTTCTATGCATTATAATCTCAGGAGAAATTATATATTAAACACAACAAAGTAAGCTTTTCTGCACAAAACTGAATTCTACTATTTACCACGTCTGATTTTTGGTTAAATTTAGTCACACTTCTAACCGGCAGATAGAGAAAATTTGAATGGAGGAATTAAAAGAGATGAATTAATTAGTCAAACTCTCATTTGAACAAGCATATCTCATCCCAAAATTGTAATATAACATTGCAATAGCCAATAAGTAATGAAAAATTATACTAAATTAGTTTTTTGGAGTTTGTGCTGGTTTAGATCATAGTCTTTGGGGATTTACTTTATGGATTTATTCTACGCTACACTATATGTAACCTACCTTAAGGTTCACTTGTAAAGACTTGGGTTTCAAAATGTAGGGTGCATGAATTTCCATCATACCTCATATTGGGCCTAATTTAAGTTAGTATTTAGGTGTCTACCTTATAATCCATTATGGAATCCAAAACACAACTTCGTGATTTTGATCATACCTTTTGATTTTCCTTATTATGTGGGCAATTTGAACTTTTCTTATGAAGAGAGTAATTTTATTATAAAATATGCGTTCTATTACAGCTAAGATAATTTTTAAAACACTAGTACGTGCTCTACTTGAATTAGATATCAAGAATTGAAAAAATTGGCATGGCAAAACTACCTTACATTTTTATAGACTACAGACTAGAGCTTTGCTGTATTATTTTAGAAGAGTTTGATTCTGATGAGCATTGGTGTTTGTGCATACCTATTAACAATCTCTTCAAAGAAAAATTAACTATTTATGAAGTATCAATAATTTTATTGCATGGAATGAAGTGTCATTTTAGAAAATCGGTTCACTAAAATAAAACATGATCATGCCTGGATTCAGTCATTTTCTGAAGAAATTGAATAATTAGAATATTTTGCCTGCAAAGGGCTTGTTTAATTACATTGAACTCTTTGTCATAGTTAGAATATTTTGCCTGGATTCAGTCAGTTTCTGAAGAAATTGAATAAACATCTTGGCTTGATACTTCTGTGCCTGCAATAGGGGAAATACAAGCAATCTCAAGTATGGTACTTCTACTGCTGACATCTTACAACATAAATTTAGTCTACGACTATTTGCGATTGTTATATCTGTTAAAAGTAAATTATTGAAACTTTTGACTCATTCGTAGTCAGTAAATTGCATGTACTTTGAATTGGTTATGATTATTTAAATGAAAATAAAAATCTTTTAGAAATTATCTATGATTCAAATCAGATAATTATTTTATATCTATTTCTTATTTGAGAATAAAAATTTTAAAGTCTTAATTTATTTGTTCATAATTTAAAAGCGTCCATTTATAAGATGCTAAAAAAATAATCCCTTTAATTTATAACTTTACCAGTAAAGGGTAAGTCTTACCTTGATTTGTTTAATTTTAACTAAACATGTAGGTGTTAACTCTCATGTTGATTTGGTAAGTACTCTACATGTTCACTGGAATTTAAAGGCCTTTTTTTAATATAGTATAGTATATAGATTTAGAGGTTTGTTCAGGCCGTTTGCATTGAAAATTCAAGAAATATTACATCTTAAACTGGTGTATGCAGGGAAGTGGAGGATTTTGCCCGAAGGTTGAATTCTAATTGGTTGTCGTCAAGTCAAGAAAGAAGGGTTATTCCAAATATAACGAATGGCAATGGATTGATCCCAAGATTTGAAGGTCAGATTGCTATTGATTCTGTTGAGGTTTTTGCAATTGGATAGCATCTAGCCATGCCAATGCTTTTTATCTGGTATCATATTTCTAGAGGAAGATATTCCTTCAATATGTTCCCCTCATAAATAACTATTTTATATGTTCATTTTTCTTCTAATGATATTTTAAGCTACATAGAATTGATGGGCAGTTGAAATGACATTTTAAGCTACATAGTATTGAAGAGTAGGACATCTATGTGATGTCGACGGTGAACGCTTATCTGAGGAAGAGACGAAGATCAACGGACGAGATCATTTCACTTTATCTTAATTTACTAATTGTATTTTTTTTATTTTTTTATGCATTTTTCATTTTTACCCTCTCTTGAGGGAGTTGTCCTTTATAAGCCCTAGGGGCATGTTTGTCTTTTTTAGTTTCTTTTATTTTGAGGCATATATATATAGAGGTCTTTGCTATTGTATTGGCATGAGAGATTGTTAATAAAAAAATTTCCGCACTCTTATTCTTTGGGAAGAACTTTGGTGAGATCCCTATGTGAGGGAAGCGTAGAATCTCCCAATCACAGGATGTGTCCGGGCATGTGGTTTGAAGTCCCTAGGTTCGGGCAGCGCAGCACCCATCAGCCGCAGGATGTGCCGGGCTCATTGTTTTTTTTTTTTCCTACACTTCCTTTCTCCTTCTCTAATTCCCCTTCTTCTTTCTTCTAGCCGCCGCTTTACCCCCTCCTACTCCCCTAGCCAATTCTCCCTTGACCGTCGACCAAGCCTCCCACTTCCCCTCCTTCCACCACCACCTGCCCATTCCTCCTTTCCCCTTGAACAACCAGTTTTCACAACCTTTCCATCACCCCGACTGAGAACCCCACCACCATTCCCAAGCCTAATCGGCCACCCCCTTCCTTCATTGGCTCTACAAATTTAGTCTTGCATTCAAAGCCTTTCTTATTTCAGCCCTCTTAATGTGGCAATGAATTCGAATTCAAAATTCAAATCAAATTGAATTTGTATTTGTTTCTTAATTAAGGATTTTTATTTAAGAAAGTAAGTCTTTCCTATTCTAGCTCCCTTAATTTAGTAACAAATTTGAAATCAAAATTCAAATTAATTTTAATTTGAATTTGTTTTCTTAATTAGAATTCCTATTTTAGGAAAGTTGCTTAAATTAGATCTAATTAGATTTGATTTAAATTAATTTTCCTAATTAGTAAATCTCTTTTAGGAAACTCTCAAATCTGAAATTAAAATCAGATTTAATTCCATAATTACATTTATTGCTTCGGTCTACATACATTATATGTGGACAATTCTCCTCCCTCCCCATATGGCCGGCCCCCCACTCCCCCCTTCTCTCTAATTAATGCCCCTCCATAAAAGCTCTTAATTAAATCCACTCTCCTTCCAAAAATCAGTCGCCCCCTCCTTTATTTTCTTTAATTATCCATAGGCTTGATATTCAAAACTCCCTCCTAATTCCTAACCCATTAAATCTGAAATAAATTTCAGATATACAACCCTAATCCCTCTACTTACCAAACCTAAAATCTGAAACAGAATTTCTTCCCATCTCCTTACCCTAGCTGGCCCATCTCCTCTCCTCCCAAATCCCGTTCCTTTGCTGTAAACAGAATTTCCTTACAGCTTCCTTGCTGTCCAGAAAATTCTGGGTGCTGTAGTGCGTTGTCTCTCCTTCCAAAACCTTGGATATTGCTGCCCCAGTTATCCTATGTGCTGTCCCAAGGTTCCAGTAGCAGTTTGTTGCTGTCCAGGCATCCTAAGAGCCACAAATTGCTGTATAGAAGCTCCGATACGCCATAAAACAGTCTTTCCTCATGTATGGCGGACCCAGAGCTTGACCACGGATTCGTCTACGACCCCCAAGGTTTGATGTCAGCACTTTAACTACATTATAGTTGAATTTGACATCACTTTGAAACACTCCACTTTTATAGCTGGCTCAGACTAGTAAAAACTTCCCGGTCAAATTCAAGCTTGGATGGGCCGAATTTTGTAGTATGTTTTACAAATATGATGTGGGGCCCAGGAATTTTTTAGCAGATCAATTTCAGCTCTCCCGTGGAGCTCATAACCTCCTTTATCACCCATAGGTGAAGAGGTTTTGGGGGAACTTTTTGGGAAAGATGTCAGGGGCATTTATTAAGGGATTTGGGCTGATTTTAATTCAAAATAAGGAGAAAAGTAGGAAGGTTTTTATGAGGGTTAATAGGGTTGCTTTACTTTATTATGTTATATGTGTATTTGCTATAGTTTTCTTTTGAGTTGTTCCTAGCAGTGCTTAGGGTTTGTAGCCGATCTACCTCTTGAATCTAGATCAACTTGCATCTTGGCTTGTTGTGCTGAAATAAACATCTTTTTCGCTGATTTTTCCTTTGTTTTATCTTGTTCTTGCTGTTTTTGTTGTGTGGAGGACAAATTCCTATCAAAATATCAATTATGCAAACTTCTATTTCTGTTTTATACAAAATTTAGAAAATAAGAGCAAAAAGGTGATAAAAAGAACCTGCATTCTTTTTCCAAAAAGTAAAATTACATTAAAAATTGGTGATTAAGTACATCAGGAATGTTCTTAACTTACAGTTATTCAGTGATGCAATAGTTAATAAATGCAATTGTTTTAAAGCCATAAATAACAGCAAATTAATGCATGTAGGGCAGGCCATCATCCAAAGATTTAACATCCAACTTTTGAGCCATTGATTTGATGACTATAGGAACAGTTAACTCATCCATGTGTGGCATGCACATTGAAAAAAAATAGTGTTTAAGTTAGAAAAGATTATAGATGTTTAATTAATCTGAGAACTTCTGCTTAATCTCTGAACAGTCCCAATTTGAAATGCAAACAAATGCATTCATTGTTTTGGGTTAAAAGGGAACTCCAATAATCATATGAAGCTTGTGTTCTGTTTTTTTATATCACTTGGCTATAACCTAAGGAAGATAGTCAGCATTTTTTTGGAGGGAGTTAAGTTGGATGTATTACTAATGTGAGTGAAGACCAAATAGATTATCTATAACTTCTTGCAATTTCATACTCTATTAGTTGGTAAGTTGATGTAAGATGACTATGAAAGTGTTTCAAAAGGATAATAATGCTGGTTAAGATGAGAAGATGGATAAAGTTAGTTAGGAAAGATTAATCAACTGAACTAGATAAACAAACCTTATGCTTGAAAAATGATATTTTCCTTCCCAAAATTGTTTCAGGTCTCACATATAATCATCCAGGATAAACATTTTGAATTAGATGTCCAAAAAATTATTCAAGCCGTAAAGCTTTCTCAGGTACCTTAATAAATTTATTTGTGAATGTAGAAGACATAACAAATTCCTTTTTATTTCCTAACAATTGCTAAAAAATTGTTAACTGCTAACAGAGTAATAATAAATTTGATAGCTCTGAAAAAAAATCAAATATCCCTCGCAAAAGTCAAATATAAAAATTTGTTTGCATCAATTTTTTGGGCAGCAAAAAGTATCAAGGAGAATGGAAATTATAATACAATTGAAGTAAATATCCAGTTCTGGATCATTAGAAAGGTTGAAAGTTGCTTCCTTGAAGCAAGCACAAGAAGTAGAGACCGAAGCCTCCCTTCTTATTCGCGCGAGACAAGGTCCTGAGATTGAATCGAGCTTGCGACCTGATCTACTTAATCCCTATTCACTCATATAAATATCAGCCTTCATTTTTGATATAATTACAAGATAATCTTATTTTCTCACATAAAATCGGCCTTCATTGTTGATATAATTATAGATAGTTTTTTATTGCTATCTATTGTTGTGACACCACGATGTTTGAAGAAAATTCATCCTAGAGCTTTGATCAATTTGAAGATTCTATGGTACGCCAAGAACGAGGTGATCTCCAAAGCATGCAACATTCCCATCACCTAAACAAGAATAATTATCGAAAGTGGTCTCAATTTGTGAAGACCTACTTAAAAGGGAAAGGAAAAATACACCACCTTCTCAGAGGACCAAAAGGAGGAGATCCTAATTTTGGGGCATGGGATGAAGCGGACTTTATGATTATGTCATGGCTGTAGAGTTCCATGACTCCAGATATTAGTGATACATTTACGTTCCTTTCCACTGTAAAGGACATATGAGATGCCGCTAGACACTTTTTCAAAAGCTTGGGATGCGACTCAAATCTTTGAAATTAAGATCTAAGTAGGAAGCACAAAACAAGGAAGCAAGACCATAATAGAATATGCCACTCTTCTACAAAACCTATGGCAAGACCATGATTATTATAGATGTATAAAGACCAGATGTTCAGAAGATGTTGCTATCCTGAAAAATTTTATTGAAAGAGATAGATTTTGTGATTTTCTTAATGTAGAATTTGATTAAGAGTCTGGATCCTTAGCAAAGAGGAGACACAATCATTAAATGAAACCATTTCTCTCATCCGCGCTGAAGAAAGCTGACGAGGTGTAATGTTGGAGCCAAAGGTTATTGAAAGCTTAGCAATGATGGCCAGAGAAACACCATGGAAGGAAAAAATGTAAAGACTCTGCAAAGTTATAGACAAAGACTCTTTGGTGTAGTTATTGCAAGAAATCAAGACATACGAAGAAAACATGCTGGAAGATACTCGGAAAGCCCCCAAGTAAGAAGTGGAACCAAAGAAATGAGATAAGGGGCACATCATATGCCAACACTACAATATGTCAGCCTAACCTAAAAACACTGACTAGCTTCAAAGAACTCAATAAAGAAGATATTGATAAACTAAGACAACTCCTGGTATCTCTTGAAAAACCACCTGTATCTTCCTCTCTTGCACTTTCAGGTAAGTTTCCTATGTCCATTGGATTAAGCGCCTTTTAAAGGATTATGAATTATTGACTTAGGAGCCACAGATCATATGACAAACTCCACTACCCACTTCATCAACTATAATTCTTGCCCAAGTGACAAGAAAATCATCACTATTGATGGTTCCTCTTGCCACAGTAGAAGGCCAATGAGACATACCTTTATCTCCTTCCCTCACTCTTAAAAATGTGCTCCATTTACTTTAATTATCCACAAACCTCATATCTATACAAGAAATTACTAGTGATCATGATTGTCAAGCACTGTTTAACCCTACCTATTGCTTATTTCATGATTAGGGATTGGAGAAGAAGATTGAACTTGTTAAGGAGAGAGATGGACTGTACTACCTGAAAGAGCTGAACAAATCTAATAATAGCCACTCTATGTTATCCCTAGTTGATAAGAAACCTATTATTTGGCTTCATCATTTAAGATTAGGACATCTATCTTTAGATGTCTTGAAATATATATATCCAAAACTTTTTCATAAATTGAAAAATGAACATTTTCATTATAAAACATGTGAATTAGCCAAACATAAAGAGCCTCTTTTCCAAAAAAAAAAGAGAGATGCGACTCCTTTCTATCTTAATTTATAGTGACATAAGGGGACCCTAAAAAATCCCCAACATCTCTGGTGCTCGCTGGTTTGTATCTTTTATTAATGACTATACTCGAGTATCTTGGATCTATCTGTTAAAAAATAAATGACATTAGCACCATTCTTCCCATTTTTTCACAACATGATCTATAATCAATTCAGGTTAAAATAAAGAAATTTTATTCTTATAATGCTAAAGACTATTTCAACCAAATCTTATACTCCTATTTTCAAAGTGAATGTATCATCCACTAGTCTTCCTGCATTCACACCCCACAACAAAATGTGGTTGCGGAAAAGAAGAATGAGCATTCTAGCCTCCACTTGTGCCTTCCTACTCCACCACACTATACCCAAATCCTATTGGGGTAAAGCCCTACTAACTGTCACTTACCTCATGAGCCGCCTACTTTTAAAAACCTTGGGACTAAAAATTTCAATGGATATTCTGTCATTCTTTTACCCCGAGTTTCAAACCCATAATAACCTTACATCCAAAATCTTTGGGTACACTGCCTATCTACAGCCAGAATAGAGGAAAATTAGATCCAAGGGCACTCAAATGTATCTTTATTGGATATTCAACCACCCAAAAAGGTTACAAGTGTTATCATCCCCTACAAAGAAAATCCTTGTATCCATTAATGTCACTTTTGATGAACAAAATTCTTATTTTACCAAACCTCATCTTTTGGGAGAGACTGAAATAGAGGAAGATGAAGAAAATACACTTGCCCCTTTTGACCTTCATCCACCACCTCAAAACAATCCACATAAAATCCAAAATAGGGAAACTGAAGACAAAGTTGTCATTAGATTTGGGAATGCATATTCCAGGGGTACAAGTTCAAACTGTGCTTCGAAGTAGATCCAAGAATTTGAACTCTCTCCTGAAATTGAGGTAAGTTCACCACCTCCCTTATACACTATAACCAACTCTATATCTTTCAATAACTTTTCATCCTCACACAAAAACTTCTTGGTTAAACTACATATACTTAATGATATTTATGAGGCCTTATCTGATGAAAATTGAAAAAATGCCATGAAAGATGAAATACATGCCCTTGAAAAATACAATACATGGGAGATCATCAACCTATCGATAGGCAAAAAAGCAGTCAGTTGCAAATGGGTGTTCTCTATAAAGTACAAAGCTGATGGTACACTGAAAATATACAAGGCAAGACTAGTGAAAAAAGGGCATACTCAGACATATGACATTGACTACCAGGAAACCTTTGCACCCGTACCCAAGATGAATACTATTAGATCCTACTCTCACTAGCAGTTAAGTACAACTGACTTCTTGAATAATTGGATATTAAAAATGTATTCCTATATAGGGATCTGGAAGAAGAGATATTTATGGAAATACTGCTAAGATTTAAGGAAAAATCTGGAGGTAACAGGGTGTGCAGGTTAAAAAGGTTCTATATGGGCTCAAACAATCACGAAGGACCTGATTTAGAAGATTCTCAAAATTCATGCTTCTTAATGGATATCAACAGAGTCAAGGGGATCATACATTATTATTTAAACACTCAGACTCAGGGGAAGTCACAATACTATTAGTCTATGTGGATGATATTTTCTTGATTGAGAATAATGAAAAGGAGAAAGTGAGTCTCAGAAAAATCTTACCAAGCAATTTGATATCAAAGAACTTGGTAGGCTAAAATACTTTCTTGAAATTGAAATAGCTAACTTCAGCAAAGGAATCTTTATCTCACAACAAAAATTCATTAAAAATCTTCTGAAGGAGATAGAAAAATTAGCATGTATGCCAGCACTAATACTAGTAGAACCAAATCTCAAATTGGGGGAAGTTAAAGAAGATCTAGATGCAGACAATGGTGCTTACTAGAGACTTATGGGAAAATTGATCTACCCTTCCCACATCAGACCAAATATAGCATTTGGTGTAAATATGATTAGTCAGTTTATGCAAAATTCAAAACAGACACATATGCAAGCAGTAGATAGAATACTTCACTACCTTAAGGGAAACCTAGGGAAAGGGATTCTCTTTAGAAGAGATCACAGAATAACCCTATAAGCATACACTGATGCTTATTATGCAGGGTCACCAGTGGACAAAAGATCCACTTTTGGGTACTGCACATTCCTTGGAGAAAATCTAGAAGATGATTCTAGAAGATCTAATGAGCAAATGAGATGAACTCATTAAACTGCATTGTGACGACAAATCAACAATCAGCATAGCTTACATCCAGTCCAGCATGACAGGCTCAAGCATATAGAAGTGGACAAACATTTTATAAAAGAAAAATTAGACAGTGATCTTGTATATATCAACCATGTATCATCAAAACATGCTGATTGTAAGCTCAAAACTTGCTGGACTGTAATGGCAGAGTTATTGTAATCCTTTTGAGATACTTACCAAAGGATTATATAACTCTGCCTTTCTCGGAATGATTGTCAAGCTGGGAATTACAAACCCATATTCTCCAGCTTGAGGGGAGTGTTAAATCTCAACTACTCTCTCTATAAGAGATCTCACGGCACAAATCAGGATCTTTGGGAAGCCCGCTTGGATCACGCCTAAATCATGATGATTTCCTTCCATAGTTAGGTAGTTGATTTAGGCTAGAATTTTTATGACACTTTTACCATATCTAAATTATCATATTATTCATAGTATGAATTTTTAATATTTATTATTTTAGCGTATTCTTATTTTTTATGATATTCTTCTTATTGCGTTTTCCTTTGTTGTTTAACTTCATGTGCTTATCTACAGGCATATATTTGCATGTACTAGAACGAACCATCGAATAAATTTATAGCCATTTCAAATGCCTATTATGTAGCTTATATAGATATATCTTATTTCTTCAAAACTCAAGCTGACATACGCCACCTTGAGTTTGCGGGAGAATATTATGATATCTAAATTAGCATGTGTGATAATTTGATAATTATTTATAGTAAAATTATATGTATTATTTTAATATGTTCTTATTATTGAAGATGTTCTCTTATTGTATATTTTCTTAATTCTTATAGTACACATTTGCTTTTATTAGAATGATCAAGTTAGTAAAAATGTAGCACCTTTCATGTATTCTACAAACTGAGTTTTTGATGTTCGACTTCTAAAGATTTGATTAATTCCTGTTGCATCCTACAAACTTAACTTTTTTAATCGTCCGTTTGGGGCTACCTTGTTTGTTATGTCTTAATATTCTTCTCCATGGCTTTTTTCATATTTCACTGAGAATATTATAAGGTGTTTTTATTCTATCCAATCAGCTTTTTACCTGCTGATTTTCTCGAGGCATTCTCCTAGTAATCCATTTGTGGCTAAGTGCTTCTTTAGGAAGCTTTATTGTTCCGAGACGCATCTTATTTTTGATAATATTTATTAACACGTCCAGAATTTATAAATTTTGGATTTACAAGATCGACTAAGGTTTTATTTGAGACAGCTTTTTTACTGCTTCTTAAAGCAGCTTTCTAGTAAAATTTGTGTACTAAAAAGCTGCTTTAAGCAACACTAAAAAAGTCATCCCAAACAAAACCTAAATCCTTCTTATAGCTATAACCATCCCGTTAATATTACGACTTCTTTCTGCTCTATGATATAGTCCAGAGGGCAAACCTGCTTGCTTGCTGTTGCTGTATTCTGACTAATTTTACATCACATTTTTTTCCTTTGATCAGGGAAGTAGACACCACCATACTAAGATGTTGCGAGGAAGTACTACTCTACTCGATCAGAGAGATTTACGGCTTTTGCTACATATTCTTTCAGTTCAGTTGAATGAGAGCCATACATTTTTCTTCAGCCTGGGATCAAAAATTTCACCTGTAGCTATAAATTTCGAGATCCTGGAGCTAAAAAAGCCAGTGCCTGTGCCTCAGGAGCTGCTGACTTCATATTTCCCGTCCAAAAATCATTTCTTCGAATTTTCTTGATGTGATATGAAAAGCTCGAAATTGGTAATAACCATCAGTGTTTTCATCAGTCGCTCTTGTAATAGCTTGTCAGGTTCTTTTTACAAATTACCATTTCTTTATTGGTTTTCAATGTCTACATTCTTGTGTTGTTCTTGGTAACTTCTTATAACCATCGCTGCGAGCTGAGCAGTGTGATGTACCCTTGTTGGAGCTAACAACCTTGTAAAAGATCTGTTCAAATTTGTTAAATTCTTATTCTTTTTTATTTTTGAAAATTTTATATTGGGATATGATTTTGATGTAATTTTGGGAGAAAATCTCTCTATTTAGATTTGTTTTATGTTGGTTCAAAATCTTGCCAATTATTTGGCTTGTTGCAAAGTATCATTGTTTTGGAGAAATTATTCCGTGCGGATGCTAGACCTAATTCTACGTCTGGATGCAGCATGGTACCGAGCAGCACAGAGCCGCAGTTCAGTAAAAGAGTGATGTGGCATATACTGATTGATTTCTAGACGGCGTTCGGCATCCACACAGAATAATTTCTCGTTGGTTTGATGTTGTTTTGTGGGTTTGGATTCTGTCCAATTATTATTAAAAGTATTGGAGAGAATTGATCAATCTCAGTAATTTATTTCAGTTTGGATTGTTGGGTTTGCTAAATCACTTGATTGGGTGGCTAAGGCTCATTACTTTACCTCTCTTGTTTATCATGGTAATTGGATAGCGTCTTGCTTAAAATCTGTGTTTTTTCTAAGCAGGAGGAATAGAACATGAGTTAGTTTTCTGCTTGATCAACCAAAATCCACATTTGTAAGATCATCAGGTTCAAATTTTGTGGATTCGAACATGTTCATATTGTTTAATATTCAAATTTATCATTTTTAAATATTTATCTGAATTAAAGCACCAAGTGAACTCTAGTAGAGGTGTGGTTCAAGCCTACTTATAAGGCAGCTCAAGTTCGACTCAATAAATGACTTCTGAGTTGAACTCGATAAGTTAACCAGCTAAATTTGAACTAATCCTGACTATATATATATATATTCTTAAAGATTTTGAGCGAATTTAATAATAATGCATATGTACATATAATATAGGCACTCAACTCATCTCCTTAGTACTCACTGAGTCACAATATAGGTAGAGTTATAATCAATGACATAAAAAAACACATTATTCGTGCCGGGTTTTCGCCGGTCTTCTCTATCCAACATTCATCAAGGAGAGCACTTCATTGGTCTAAATTTTTTTTTTTTCTATCATTTAGTGTGTCAGCAATCTTCCCATGCACAAGAATACAACCCCTCTTGTAGAAAGTCTTCAGTAACTCTGTGGTAACCTGTAGCCATTAAATGGAAGGAAGACATCAGTTACTTTCTGAGCTTTTCTGCAAGAGCCAATGAGCCATCCACACTCAAAAATATTATTCAGTATAATATTATTCAAGTAAAATTATAAGAATATAGCCTTCTTTAGTTAAAATTCTTCTTGACATATCAAAATAATACGCAAAGAAACATTTCTCATAAATATATGAGAGAAAACTATGAAAAATATAAATGCACATTTTCCATACTTCTGAAAAGATCAGATTTTTTTTTTTTTTCAAATAATCTGTTAGTATATGTACTATACATGTTAAAAACATTTCTGATTTCTCATATCAAAATGAACCGTTGGTGTCATAAGGCACATAGCGTTAATAGTAAAAAGTATCCTATGCAGTGTACAGGATGAAGAACAACTAAATACTTACCACCATGGAAATAGACTACAATCAATTCCTTCTTGTCGCAATTTTCGAACAATCCGTATAGCTTCTCTGCACTCTTCTCTATCATCAAAAAATATCTTCCTATCACCTTCAACTTGATATGTTTCATGACCTTTCCCTGCAACAACCTATAAAATGTGTACTCCAAATTAGAAGTTTGAAACTGGAATAACAAAGAGCTTTGCAGGGAATGTAAGCCCATAAAAAAATTTTGAGTTTAACAGAGCATGATCAAAACTTTACATGGATATCATATTGCTGACTCTATTTACAAGACTACGATGACAACAACAACAACATCAAGTCTTTGTCCCATTATGTGGGGTCGGCTACATGAATCTTTTTCTCTATTGTGTCATGTTAAAAGTCAAATTCTAGTTTAAATCTAATAAGGAAATATCATTTCTAATATTCTATAACCAAGTCTCTTTAGGTCTATCTCTACCTTTCTTAACATACGTCAAATTTAATACCTCTTCGGAAAGCCGCCGTTTTATATGATCAAACAATCTAAGCCGACTCTCTCTAATCTTATTTTCCATTGGAGCTACTCCAACCTTTTCACGAATATGCTCATTTTGTATCCTATCTCTAAGAGTAAAGCCATTCATCCACCTAAGCATTCTCATTTCAGCAACACTTAACTTAGTATTATGCTTCTCTTTTAATGGCCAACAATCAGCACCATAAAGCATTGCAGATCTCACCACCATCTTATAGAATTTTCCCGTAAGTTTTAGGGGGACTTTCCTATCACACAACAAACCCAATGCATTCCTCCACTTCAACCATCCAACTTGAATTCTGCTGATAATATCCCCATATATATTTCACCATCACTCCACCATCACTATGTTTACAAGGCCAAAAAATAAATTTATAATTGTAAGCACCAAATTTGATGAATATGAAACACAATCAGTTTGACAAGGATAAGGAACTTACAACTATATCTTCAGCCTTTCCCATGGCAATGGCAGCTCGCAGAGCCACTTTTCTGTTTTCATGAACAAAGATTCTATGATAGTTAGGAAGGGGAGGATAACAATCACTTTCCCCAACTTGCAAATAATCGTTTATCGTCCAGCCAACGCCGTCCAACATATCATCTAAGATATCCACTGAGGAATTGCAAAGAAAGAACTTTGAGAAGCTAGCATAGCAGTTCATAAATTAACAATTGCAAAAATTGTCTGAATTCAAGATGATTGCATTTATTTAAAGAAACAGTAATCTCAGAAATACTAACTTGGATCTTCATTCCTCGGATTGTCGGATGTCAGAATAACCAGGTCACTCTTTTCAGCTGCAACTTGCGTCATCAATGGTCTCTTCCCCTTATCTCTTTCTCCTCCACATCCAAATACTGTAAGGGAAATAGAAAACAAAAAATTTACAGTATGTCATATTCTAGATTACTAATGATAACCACCATTGTCGTGTTAATTCTGCAAAAAAAAAAAAAAAAACCCAGAAGTAATTGTCTATCGCTCTTGAGAAATCATGGCAACAAAAGTTCAAGCCTACTTTTCCTTTCCTTTCACCATATCAAATTATAACTTAATTTTCTTTGTAAAGATTCATTGAAATTTAGCATTGTAATTACATTCTTGGAATTATCAAGAAACTAATCCTGGTTGGTAGTAGAAGCACATAACCACACTGACTAGATGAATTTTCCTTATGGAGCTCTGAAGTAGCACAAACCCTTACATGTGATGGCTGAAGGATCCATCAAGATCTTATAGGAATCTTCTATTTATAGATGTCAAGCAGACGGAAAATTATTACGTGCAGCATACGAATCCGGACGTTCCATGTCACCTAGGGCTTAGTGCATCTGGGGACATGGGGCGTTCGGATTCGTCTCCGGATAGTCCGGACACCATTATTTTCAGTGAGATCATGAGTGATAATTAACTGGTTGAAAACCTAACATTTGGTTGCTTGAGGCTAGAAAACTTGTTTTAAAGGTCATTTGGCTGTATGTAATTAAAAATCATACAAAAAGCTTCAAGATTCCTAAATTGAATTCATTTTTCACACACAAAATGAATATAAAATGAAATCATGCAAGGAATTTGCACAACTCATGATTCTAAAGCAACACTAGTATTCTAGAACCTTGATTTCTGTAACTTGCAAATCACTCCATGAAATCCATTTGAAAAAAAAATAGATACACTTGAAGAAATAGAATTTTAGTTTAATTTCTAAAAGTTAAGGGATTGAATAATCTAGCTTGGTAAATCTTCAGGAAATGGAGAGGAAATCATCATACCAGTGATAACACGCTTTGACCCTAGCTCTCTCACAGCATCCAACAGACGAGATAAAGCATCCGGCGTGTGCGCATAATCGACAATCACCGGAAATCCTTGATTTTCATCAATCAACTCACATCTCCCAGGAACCCCATCCATCTGTTCTATTCCTCTCACAATTGCCTCCAGTGGCAGATCCACTGCTATCCCAACTGAAACAGCAGCAAGAATATTGTATATATTATACCTTCCAATTAATTTAGAGCAAATCTCCATAGTCCCTTTTGGTGTGCCCACCAATATTCTGGTCCTAAACAATGAAAGTTCAAAATCCAGAGCCCGAACATCGGCATCCTTGTTCTCCATTCCAAAAGTCACTTGAGGAACATCTGGATTCCCCTTAGATAAGAAGTAATAAGCATTGGGGTCATCAACATTCACAACTTTCCTGTTCTTTTCAGGATCAAGCATTCTATCAAACAGCATGCCCTTGCTCTTTCTGTACTCATCTGTGGTACCATGGAAGTCTAGGTGATCTCTGGTAAAGTTGGTAAACACTGCAACATTAAAATCAATCTCATTGCACCTTCCTAAAACTAATCCATGAGAAGAAGCCTCCATGACAACAGCTTTAGCCCCATTAGCCACCATATCTGCCATCAGCTTTTGCATTAGTAAAGCATCAGGGGTCGTATTGGGAGCTTCAAGCTGTTGATTGCCGTGAATATAGTAAGCAATTGTACCAAGCATTCCAGTTTTGGTCCCCATGGCCTCGTACATGGATTTTATCAAATGGGTTGTGGTCGTCTTACCGTTTGTTCCTGTGACTGCAATTACAGAAAGCTTCTCGGAAGGACGGCCGTAGAAAGAAGCTGCGAGATTAGGGATTGCCGAATGGGTGTTCTCCACAGTGACGATAGCTCGGCACCCCAAGGTCTCCTCTTTATCGGGTTCTCTTTCAGACAACACGGCCACTGCTCCTTTGCTGATTGCCTCCGACAAGTAAGCGTGGCCATCCGTTTTGGTGCCCACCCGACAAACAAAGAGATCGCCGGGAACAACCTTTCTGAAATCGTCCTGGATTGCGGTTATGCGGGTGTTCATATCACCGTAAATGGATAAAGGAGTGATTTTGCTCTTCTTCAGGAGCTCGCCGAGGTAATGGCAAAAAGGGTTCGTGGATGGAAGGCATTTCGAGGATTTCTTCGTTGGGGAAGAGAGTGAGGTCCTGCAGTCCATAAGGGTTTTCTTGGATGGTCTTTTTACTCTTATTAGGAAGGTTGGAACGGAAGGAGAGAAAGGGCTGAGGAGAGATAGGAGAAGCTAGCAGTGGGCTTGTTCTGCCCAACGGAATCGGAGGTGGCGAAGTAGGAGGAACGAGGCGGCGGATGGAAAATGAAGGTTTGGGGCATGGAAAGAGAGGTGTTGAGTTGCCCGGTAAGGAGAGGGACGAGAGGAAGACAACTGGGATCGCCATGAACTGTTCAAGAGATGAGAGAGAGAGAGAGAGAAATCGGAGTTGTGGAGTGGATTGGTGAAGGTGGCAACGGTATTTATGTTATTTTGAGCAGAGGATTTCTAAACTTCACATTTTATAATAATGAAAAATATGTTTATTTATTTAATATTGAGTTAAAAATATTATTTATGTATTCAAATTAAAAAATTAATATATGTGTTTAACACATATACATCTTGAATATTAATTTTTAATTTTAAAACATATTATATAAATAGTTGATATTAATTTTTTTTTTAATTTTTAATTTAATTAAAATTTATTTTTAAGATTTATCATACACTTAAATAAATATTTTGGGAAAAACTAAATTGTACCCTTATAGTAGTAATAAGTAGAGGTATTATGAAACCCTTTAACTAAAAAGAAATTGATTTTTTTAAAATCGAAGTTCTTTTAGTATAATAGCTGAAATTTCATTAAAAAATTCTGAGGTTAAGTATACGCATGCGGGAGCAATCCTGCGATTGGTAACACCCTGAGAAATTGCAACGACGGGACAAAAACGTGAGACCATTAGCCTAAAGCGAACAATACCTTGAAAATTAAGAGTTTGAACTATTACAAGTATCATAGGATAAAAAACAAATAACTAATTGCCATCAAGGAAATTTAGCTACTTAATATTAATCTTGTATGTTTTATTTTGCTCTATTTATCAATAATTTTTCCTAATGTTTATTTTTTATTTTATAAAATAATTAATTTTCTTGATTTTTATGTTTATAATCTATATTATTGTATGATTATATCTTCTTAAATAGAGTTTAATATGTTTAATAAGTTTAATTATATTTCTATGATGAGCCCAAAGCCTAGCCAAAAATCAATATTCTACATGCTACTATAAGTAAAGCTATAATCATGATATTGCATCATTCATTCCCATGCAACTTTATCATAGAGTATATTTTGAAAATTTTTTATCAAACATAGAGCGAATATTATAAAATATATAACATTTTACATGTATTTATATTTTTGAAAATAATTTTAATTTATATAAGAAATGATTTTAAAATGCATTTTTTACATGTACTTTTTTATGAGAGTATATTAACTAATATATAAAATAATCCATATTTATATGAGAATATGATGATTTATTTCATACAATATAATAAAAAAATAAATATTTTCATATTTGTACCATACCGATTTTCATTGTAATTTAATTTTCCACTTTAAAATAAAAATTACAAAAAAACTCTAATTGTAAATTTTGAAGTAAAAATCATATAAAATATCCTAAAGCTATCTTCTTGAAATTCATGATCAGAACAATAATATAAATCTATGTCATAAACAAACAGAGAAATTCTCACACAATGCAATAATAATAATAATAATAAATTATTAGTAAAAAAGTTGAAGAAATAATTGTAAAATTAAAAAAGTGGCATAACAGCTTGAATGAATCAGCTAATTATTTTTGGCATCTTGTAATGTCACATGAATAATTAATTAGCTATGAGGGTTCTTCTGTTGTGCCCATGATACTTTTGCATTTAATTATTGCAAAACATAGAATTTAATAATTGATTTTTCTTTAATTGTTAAGTTAATTATTGTCTTGTGTAAGGAAATTTCATGTCAAATGTAATATTTTTGATTTTTTTAAAATTAAAAAAATGTACATTTGTAATGAAAAAAATGGTACATTTTTCAAGAATTTCCTTACACAAGACAATAATTACAAGTGGATCTTATCTTTTTAGTTAAAGATAAGATGAATTTGAATTCCCTTAGGAAAACATTGCCCTCGTTTGGAACCTCATAGACCTCTTAGATCATTCAATCTTGGCCCAAAACTTTCCCTAAGCAAATAAGGACCAAGTTTGCCCAAGTTTATGGTCCTTGGAACTCCCAATCTAGGGATAAATTATTCTGTGCAGACGTCGGACACAGATGTGCATTCGGAGACGAATTAGGTGCATCTACATCAGCGATACCGAACAGTACGGTACCGAACGAAAGGGTGACGTGGCACATTCTAGTTGGTCTCCGAACGATGTTCAGCATACACAAACTAGTTTTTCCAACCTAGGACTCTCATTGGCACCTTCTCATGCAGCATCCTCCCTCTCAATGTCGAGTAATTATTACATCCGAACACCGAACCCGTCCAAAGACCAATAACCACGCGCCATGTCACCTAGAGCTCGATACCGAGCACTCGGTATTGCTCGGTATACGTCCGGATTTCCAATTTTTTATCCGGACATAATAATTTCCCTCAATCTCATCCTATTACTCACACAAGAACTCATCCTCTCTTGGCGCCTTGCCAATTCCTAATATCAATAAATCGCATTTATCGACACTTCTAAGAACTTATCCCTTCTAAGTACCTTATCCCAAGAGCACATTCCTTCTAGACCCATTCTTAATATTGATACTTGTGAAGTTTCCATTCTCAAAAACTTCTATTGAGCCCCATTTTGAATATATTGTTGGCATCCTCTCTTATAAAGTCATCCTACCAACCAGGAGCCATCTCACCTTTTTTACTTCATTTGACAACTCCCTTTTCTCAGCGCCATCTTGCCTTGTTGGTCACTAACTCTCCACCTTGGCCTACTTAAGTTTTATTTGGAACAACTTTTTTGTCGCTTCCTAAAACAATTTTTTTTAGTAAAAAACTACTTTAATAAGCAGCACAAAAATCATCCCGAACGAAACCTTAGTCTCACCATGATGAAAGTGTTATGCTTTCTTTCTTACAAACTGCTAACTTAACATAAGATAGAAATCTGCAAAGTCATTCAGCCTTGCATATGAATATTAGGGTTTAACCTCATTTCTGTTTTGCAACCTAAAAATTTGATACTTTTTTGCATGTGATTGCTCAGCACATAACATTAAAGAAGCTGATAGTCCTTTTTCTTTTCCTTTTCTTGGTGAGAATTCAAAGATTAGACCTTCCTTCTGAATTTAGATCTATTGCTGACAGTTAATGTCACAATCTTCATTATCAAATTCATAATTTTATTAATATAATTCTGATGACCGTTACCATCTTTATGTCAATAGATAACTCTATGACTTCTAACATTCTGACAAACTTCACTGTAACATTGCCAAAGCCAAATTTCATTGCTTTTAGTAATTAATCAAATATTTATATTCTTTATTTGCTTGAAGAATATGTTTGAAGATTTATTTTGGATGAAGTTACTCTCAATGAATAATAACCTCTTGTATTCAGTGACCGCTCGTTGGACTTTAAATCATTTGAAATTGATTCCAACATGTTCGAATTTGAACCTGGTTTGAACCACAGATCGAAATTGAACTTGTTCGAATGGTGAAGACCCCGAGTTTGTTCTCGCAAACGCAACCATCAATAGTTGGAGCTCAATGGAGAAGGCAATGAGGGAATGATGAGACCTACTATGTGTCGGAAGAAGCAAAGTTTGTGATAGACTTTTATAACTAGTCCATGAATAGAAGAGTGATAATTTCATCAGAAAAAAATATTTCTCCAAGAAAATAAAACATAGCAATATTTGACCAAAATGTGCATTATGAGAAATAGAGGCTAATTTCCCCTTCAGTTCTAGCAAAACAAATTTGTTTTTAAAATTATATATATATAGGCTTCAAGAAAGTCTTCTCTTACCACTATCATAAGCAGTCACTGACTCACTGAGGATGTTGCATAAGAGAGTGAAGTGTTTTGTTCACTTGGTAAGTGCCAAGCCATCAGCATTACTGGAGAATGAAACCATGGATTCCTGTCAACATTTGAAAAATAGTAAAAAGAGTTTTGGATGTGAATGATCAGCAGAAAATAGAATCAGGTAGAAATTATTTAGACTTCATTTGGGATGGTTTTTTTATTGCTTCTAAAAGCAGATTTTTAGTAATTTATTAAAAAAATTATACTAGAAAGCTGCTTTAAGAAGCAATAAAAAAATCATCCCAAATGAAACCTTAATGATTTCATACAGCTGATAGAAACCCAAAAGCCATTGGTTTAGAAAGAACAAGTAATCATATAAGGTTTGTAAGTAAATGCATACATAGATGAAAGATTTTATTCCAAATTTATATATCATTTCTTGTATGAAGTGAGGAAATTGTAGATAAATAAAGTAGAAACTATAGTAGAAAATTAGATTAAAAAGGAGGGTAAAAAAGCAGTGGCATGAAAAAATGGCAGATCGTTGAGATATGAGACCTCAAGAAAACATTGCTTTTTAACTTCTCCGTCTCGTGCAAGTTCTTATTCTGAATGGTCCAAAACCAAAAGGAGCTTGGTGTTAGACAGGTCCCGTGTGGACCGGCCCAGGCGAAATAGAGGCGGAAGTTCCGCGTCTCTTGTATGCGTCGAAAACACGCCTGGGTCCAAGGGAGCAGTTTAGGAAGGATTTTTTGGGGAGTTAGGAGGGAAATTTGAATGTCCGGACTGTTTAGATATTTTCTTTCGGATTTTATGCATTAAATAGTTTGTTTTCCTAGGGTTAGCCGGTTAGGGCATCTTGACATCTAAACCCAAACTCCATCATAGTCAATTATGACATGCAGACCCATGCTCAATCAGTAGTCAGGGCAAATCTACATGCACTTCCAGGTATGAAATTGCATCGTTTCAAATTTTAAATTTATATTATAATCCTTAATAATTCTTCTATTTCATTTGCAAATATAACCCCTCTTTTATGCCTTGACCTATTTATTTTTATAAGGTTTAACATCACAATAAAAGGTCAAAACACAAGTATCCCAAAGAAGTTTGATCGCAGATTTCAGAACATTTAAAATATAAGATTTTGGGTAGTTTTTTAAATTCCCAAAATAATGAGCCTTATTATGCATTCATCCACAGACCATCGCCTATGTTTAAGACATAAATAGGCACTAAATGCAATATAATACAATGATAGCACAATTACACCCTCATCCTAGCAATACAAGTAAAAAGAATTGACAATATCCTAAACCGATGAACATCAGACGCTTCATTGTAAGCCTTTATATTAAAATTCCCGATCAAGTTAAGTATCCAACTATGATGCACTGACACTTCTTCTTAAAGAGGTATGAAGTATTCGACACGTATCAAATATGACACGCGTCCTATACTCTTCTGACACGTGTCGGACACACCGACGACATGTTCAATTAAAAAATATTAAAAATAAATCGGATGCACATCTCCGACATGCGTGTTTATAAAAATTTTAAAAATACAATTTATCGTATATTCGTATCTCAATTATTTTTTAGTAAAAAAATAAAAATTAAATTTCTTAATTCATCTCGAGCCCCAAATCAATCGCTCATACTCATACCCCATTCCTTGAATATTCTCATTTTAATTTCTCTTTAGTAGGTTGTGGGTAGGCTTTCACAATAATACTCGATATCATCTCAATATCAAAGTCTGACGTTGTGTTCACATTAACGCTCGACGTTGGCAATTACTACACCCGCAATCAGACACCCGTGTCATCTCGACATCTCATATTTTTCCAATGTCATCTTAGCATCGACGACCGACAACATTTCAAGATTGACGACAGACACTGTCTTGACATCAATGCCCGATACCTATTACACAATAATGGTGCCCGACTATCAAGAGCATTATCATCTCCCCTTTTGATGCCTAACAGGACATTAATGCCCAACTCTTGACATCATAATATTAAGCATTTTAAGCACAAATCATAGTTAAATTACATATTATTTCTCAATTAGCCATCATGTTTATTCAATTTTTATATTTAAAATATAAAAAATATAATATTTCGTCCAACCCGTGTACGTACCATGTCTGTGTCTATGTATCATGGGTATCCTACTAGTAATATTGTCGATTTCAACATACCCTTTTTCATGATTCCTTCAGATGATTAAATTAACATCATATTTTCTGTATAGGATCATTTTTCAACATGTATCAAAATATAGGGCACAATTCTTTAAGTAAACATTTTATCGAGCAATATTTCATATATGTTTGAATAGCACCAAAATTGTATACTAAAGCAGCATAAGTTTTCATCAATTGTTATAGAAAACAGCCAAGTAACTCGAACATGATTTTCAAATTTCATTCGTTCAACCCAAGCAAATACATAACATAAAAAAAGAAAGGGTGGGCAAAAAAAACCACTTAGCCAAAAAAAAAAAAAATCAATTTGGTTGTATTCAATTAAAGTTCTGGTTTGATTCCAATTTGTAATTTGGGATACATAGATTGGTTCGATCTAGATTAAATTTGAGTTTTCAAAAATTAAAAAAAAAAAAAAGAATCGAACAGAATCAGTAGGGCTGCAAACAAACCGAGGTGAGCCAAGTACGTGAGTGTTCATGTCTGAGTTCATTTATTATCAGCTTGTTCAAGTTTGGTTCATGTTTGGTTCGAGCTTTATTGTTTGCATTCATGTTTGATTCATTTAATTTAATGAGTATTCATATTTGGTTAATGTTTGGTTCGTTTAGTGCTTATCGAGCTTTAAACAAACAAGTCTTAATGAGCTATAAACGAGCTCTACTTCTAGATGTTTATATAACTAGTTTTTTCGAGCTACCAAATGAGCTCGTTCACGAACAAGTGATCTATGATTCATCTTATATTTATTCATGAACATTTTAAACAAACAATCTAGCAAACATGGTCAAATGTGAAATGTCTCTTTTTCATGAACAAATTCATTCTATTGAAGGTATAAAATCTAATTTGAATTTGAATTGTTTCCTAAATTATGAAATTTCATTTTTGGAAAGTTTCTAAAATTAAATCCTATTTGAATTTAAATTCAATTAGATTTAATTAAACCTTTCCAAAATCTCCGAGTCCTAAACAAGCAATCCTTAATTGCCTTTCCCTAATTCCCTCTTCCCTATTGAAACAGCCCCCCCCCCCCCCTCTCCTTTCAAACCCCACTTGATTTCTTTCCAAATTGTAGACTTTTCTCTTTGGGAAGATTTCAAAACCCCTCCCTCTCTCTTACCCGCCCCTCCCTCCCCTCCCTCTCACCCCTTGCCCTTTTAATTCTTTCCAAACTTAAGAATTAATTAGGGAAACAAATTCCTAAATTTTCCTCCATCCTTCCTCTCCAAAATCTGAACCTATTTCTTCCCCAAGCTCCCATCTTTGGCGGGCAACCTCTCTCCCTCTTCTCCACTTGAATCCTTGAGAGAAACTTCTTTCTGTCAAGAGGAATCTTTAAGGGAAGTAAAGGGCGTCATCTCCAACATTTCAACCCTACAGAATTGATGTACGACCAATCCCGATCTTGACTCCGACTTCGTTTACAACGAGCAAGGATTCGTCGATATCCTCCGGTCGACTTTCTTCGACGTCAACCCGGAAAGAGACAATTCCGTCGAGGAGTACTTGGATCGTATCATCTTAACCTTGTCCGAAGCAATCAAAGAGCAGCTTGCCAACAATCAGTGGCAAATCACCTCCATCCCACGATGAGGCTGAACTTTTCCTCCCAGTCAATTTCTCTCCTAATCTACTTCTCTTGTAGGTTGTGATTCAAGCACAAGGAGTCGTGCCAAGCTATCTTCCAAAGCTTAGTAAATGTATGGCTAGAGTTTTGATTTTCTATGCTTTATAATCTCATTGTTAACCTAGGGATGCTATTGGAAATCCACTTAAATTGTATAGGTTGAAATTCTAATTGCTTTAGTGATCTTAGCTTTTAGCATGTGATTTGGCCTAAGCAAAGCCACATCTCTTTTGTTTTCTATTATCGTTTAGTGGTTAACGTTTGTAATTCTTAATTGCTCTAATTCAAAACGTGCAAGTTCTTATTGCATTCATTTAAATCATACCTAATCCTGCATCAGTGGGTCAACAAATGAACCACGATTTAAGCTCGATCATTCTATATAGATAAATAGGAGTCGATACGGCTCGAACTATCAAACAGATATGCGGTCAGGGTGTCGACCGGAACATCTGTTTTATACGTTCATATAAGGCCTTCAAGGCCTATGAACAAAGAAATTCATTTAAAAAAACCACAAAGCCAGCAACAAACCCAATCCTATGACGACAAATTGGCAGAGTCGATAAGGTTTAATTCACAAATGGAAATGACCCCAAACACCCCGATGATGTCTGTGTTGAATGCATATTTTAACCGGAGGGGTTAATTTTAAATATTTCAAATTCCACTCAAATACCCGAGAAAATCCAAAACTCCAAAAAAATATCAAATTCAAATATATAAAACTGAAATTAATCATCAATATCTTGAAGCACAAAATCCATCCATCCTCTGCATGAGTTTGTCGGGGTTGACAAATTAAAGTTTACTTAAACTCACTTAGAGCTAATGCATAAGTCGAAAATATCACTATAATCCATTCTTATATAATCTTTTGTCAATAAGAACATTATACGTGTCCCATAACTAGCAGTTTTGCCACAAAATGGCACCGCAAGATAAACGGTTATGACTCGGAGTCCTCTGAACCGAATAGTTTTGCCACCAAATGACACCACTAAATTACGGTTATGGCCAGAGTCAATGCATTCCTTAGTGACATTAAATCTTTGAATCAATAAGATATGATCGATAGGGCACAAAGCCCTATGTTAGCTAATGCATATCCAAATTTATCCCCTTAGACAAATATTCGCCCCAGGTCTACAAGGTATCTTTGGACGACGCAACCCATGGCTACTGACAAGGATCCTTTTGTCAGGTTGGGTCGACTACCTCCTCTGACTAAGTAGATCAGGGACCACGATGGCCTAGGATGATGGAACAATGGGATCTTGATCGGGTCCATCATCCATTCCCCCTCCATCCGCTTTAATTATATAATGGTGAATTTTCTATTTTAAATATTCAATGTCACATTCCAAATGCTCATGCTGCTACTATATGTCAAATAACACATATCTCTACGTATCTGATTGATGACTAGCCTTAATCGAAAGTTCTCTCTCATTATCGGGAGGGGTAATTAACTTTAGGGGCATGCGCCTATAGGAAACCAGAACTCAGATTATAAAGTCCTTGCAAAATGAGAGCGAAATCTTTGGGTAGTGTCTTATCTACAAATTCATCTGCCTTCCAAAATTTACCCTGGAACTTAATTTCATTAAAACTCCCTCGAAAGAAAAGCAGCAGCGGGGAAGGCCAAGGCCGAATTTTCGAAGCCAATATTAACATCTCTTGCAGTACCAACAAAGAAAAAAAAATGATGATTCATAACCCGAGTTCAAATAGTTTAAATAAGGCTTATGATGATGACGATGATGATCGCAATGATAATTTGTTATCCTCTATTACTCTAAAATATTGCTTTACTATTTCCCTTCAATGTGAGGAGTTTATGAAAGATATAAGGGCTCATTCTTAATTAAAAAATAAACGAGCTAAATTTCATAATGTTGCCAAATTGAATTAGGAGGGTGCTTTGCAAAAATCTAGTTAACAAAGTTTAAATTTAGCTTCTTTTAAATCGGTTGGGCTCAAAGCCTTGGCACGAGAATTTTCAATGTCTCTAGTCACAGCAAATTCACCTAACAAGTAAAAAGCTCCAAAACAAATTTTAGCCTGCCTTTGTCTCAACAAATAGACCTATAATAAACTAACCTATTGTCAGGCTAGCTTTAAAAATGATTACTACAGAATCTAAGGTTGATTGACATTATCCAAGAGAATTTGAAGGCAAAAAAAAAAGTAATGGATAAGCAAAACTAAATGAGAGAGTGCAAGGCAATCCATCAAATCAAAGTATTGAAATCAAATTCAAGAACAATACTAAAGCAATAAATAGATTAGGTTTAATTTACCATTCTTGGAATGCATTTTCCAAGACCTACTTGACGTAGTTTGTCAAGATCACGCAAAGCTGCTCTGCACTCTTCCCTATCATCAATGTGTACCTTTTTGTTTCCTTCTAGTTGAAAGGTTTCATGGCCTCTGCCTGCAACAACCTGTCATTGATAGTAAGGAGAACATTTATAAGAGAATATTGGGGAATAGTTTGATTACAGTGGGAGAAAAAGGGCTATCTATGAAGTAGGGCGAACATTCCTTACAAAAAAGGAGAAATATCAAAATTAGAGAAAAAGGGTGATCTATCAAGTAGGGCGAACATTCCTTACAAAAAAAGGTAAAGAGGTAATATCAAAATTGAAGAAAAGCAACCTAATAATGAACTTCCAAAATATAGGTAAGAGGATGAGAAACAAAAAGTTTCCTTTTTTTTCTCATGGATAATATCCATCACTTTCTCCAAATGATCCAAGGCAGCCATATGGAACATCAACACACTGAAATACGGCTTAACATTATAAATAGATGCAAACACTTTCTAAACCTTCTTGACAATAAGCAAAGCCCTATGGTCAAGATTCAGTTCTTAGTTGCTTGTTTCTTCAAGGAATCAAATCCCCAAATAGTCTCATGCTCCTAGATAGCTCTTCAGATAAATTCAACAACCCATGGACCAGAAAGTTGGATAAAAGTTAAAAGAAGATAAAGAGGCCATAGATAAGTACTATAGGCTACTGTATAGATGCATAGCCATCCAATTGTGTAGATAAAAGAGTTGTGTTGTTTTTTTCATGATCAAATAAGAAAAAAACAAAAGAAACAAGCATGCCCGCATAAGATGAAAATTAGACATATTAGCCAAAAAACAGAAGGATGAAAATAAACAAGTTTTTAATATATGAAATGTCAACATGTAGCGTTCCTTGATGGAATGTGAAAAGATGGAGTTCAATTTTAATGAATTTTCTTTTAGTGATGTAAAAACAATCTAAATAAAAAACATACACACAACTTGACACAGAAACTTGATTGACACAAAGCTATCTACAATAAAAAATATTTACTCTAAGTGATGCAAATAAAAAGTAAAAGAAACCAAGGACAAATAGAACACATAATAGGGCTTCACCAAAGAAGACCGAGTACAATAAATTAGATCATAAAAGCATTAAGATATCAAGATTTTGTCAACAAATTTGTTAGTACAAATTGTGGAAGATTTGAATTAATACAATCTCACGATATGGTACGAAGGATGAAACTTACCATTATGAACAACAAATTCAAGCCAAAAGTTCAAGTTCGATGCTTGTTGATTCAAAATTTTAATCAAATCAATTGTTTTTAATTAAATTGAACAAATTGATCTAACCTAACCTCATTTGTCGAATAAACCCAACTTGCTTCGACAAAATTAAATTGATTGATTTAATTTAATCAAATTCATTTATTCAATTTTATCTTAAATTCATTTAGTTTACCTGAAATTGAACCTAATTAAGTCAATTTTTTGTTGATTAATTAATTCGGCTAAATCGAATCAAATTAGCTAGTTCGATTCATTTGACTTAGCCTTGAATTGACTAAATTGAACCTAGGCGAACCCTATTAAACCTAATTGGTTTATTCAATTCAACCATTACTCAATGAAGCCTCTAATTCTTTTGTCACAACTTCCACTTGCCTCTCTAAATCGGGTGTTTAAAGATTAATGATTACAGACGCAAGGAGAAGCGGTGTCCCATCATCTTTTCTCACAACTTCTCGCATGACTTGCTACTTTCCTCAATCGTCGCGAGCTCTCAAGGGTAGGGCAACTTGATCAAATTTTTTGACTACTAACCGCATGAGGGTGCGATGAAAATTGGGGGTTACACCTTTATGTTAGCTTGGCATGCTCGCGTGCTGGAAGAAAAAATTAAAGTTAGGCATTTAATGGGTTCTTGGCTGAGAGAAAGTAAAAAGGTCCTTTGGCTGTTTTTTACTGGGTGAAAAGCAAGGAGATCTTGTTGGGTTTTATAGAGGTAGAGAAAGGAGAGACAAATAGCTTTTTTTTCTTCCTTTCCATTCAGCTAGATATTCATATTTAGTGGAGAGAAGTGAAGAGAGGAAGCTTCATTTTCAAGAGGAGAGAGTGTTTGCATCGAAAAAGTTTTCCAAGCTCAGCAATTGTTATCAAGCTTAAAACATTAACTTCGGCAAGTTGGTTGTGACAACATTCAAAATAGTTTTGAGTGCTTGTAAGCAATATCTTCCTCTTCAGCTGTTTTCATCTCTACTAGATGAAGACACTACCTACGGTGAACCATTGGACAATGGCTCTGGTGAGCTAAAACCCTTAAAATCTTAGGAAACCTAGGTCTATAGGTCACATATTTGTGAATGACAAACCTAGGTTTATAGGCTCCTGAATAGCTTCTAAGAGAATATGAATTAGTGTTAAACTTACTCTATGGCCAATATCTAGAATTCTCTTTTATTTGTAAATAAATGAGTTCAATCTACTGCATATGATTTTAAGCCTAACATTTGTCATTTGTCTTACCTAATTAAAATAAAACTCACCCTTAAAACTCCAAAGTTATTGAATACTTTTTTTGGTTTCAACCCTCAAATAGAACTCTAAAATGTTCATTTTACCGTATTTATTTGAACATAACTCAAATCAATAAATTAGCTCTGTTATGTGACACAAAATAACATGTCTTTCCTATCACTTAGCCCCAAAGCTATAGGTTTATATCATCACATTCATTTGTGTGATCCAATCAAGCAAATAACCCTTTAGCTCTTGACCTATAAGCCTTAATTTCTTGTATTTGACATAAATCAGGATTCTTTCCTTTGGTTCACTTGACCCAATCAAGTGAGTGTATAAACACAAACTTTAGATTTTCATTAATTAGCCAAAACAAATGATCACATACTTCATTTTAAAATTAAAACTCAAACATTCAAGTCTGTTTTAAGAGACTCAATTCTGAATTTCGCTTGGCCTAATTAGTTGAATTCCATCAGATCCTACGTGAAACCCACAAGCAAATTTACATTACCCAAATCAAGTAAATTTCTCTTCCTCTTGAACAAATATTAAGAGAATCACTAAAATTCATAAAAAATACTTAAATTGCTTTTGATGCAATGATGTGTCATTCCACCCTAGAAGATGGAATGCCCATATCATTGACACCATAAATGACAAGTTTGTCTCAAAGTAAATAGTGGTCATTCCATAGATTCTTCATAACCCTTTAAAATATAAAACATCTTCTAAAATTAAAATAAAAACTTTCAGTCACAAATAACTTGAAGTTAAATATCTCAAGGACTAAAATTATGTCTCTTTCTTTTCGAAATAACAAATCAAATAATAGTGAAAAAATCATACAAGCCAGCACACATTAAATGCACAACCCCTTAGGCATCTAAAGACTAGAATTTTCTTTTTCAATCATAAGATAATATTTTCAAATAAACTTGTATAACTTATTTAGAAATTAAATGACTTTTTCAAAATTAAATAAAATGCAAAGACTCCTCATGTAATATTTAATTGTTTACTTATCCATAAGAGTGTGCTTATTAATCAACATCAAACTCATGTATTTGTTGATGAACATTATATAGATAATCTTTTGTGCTGCATATAGAAACAAAAGCTCTCATATTAAAGGATATATAACAAAAAATATTGCATTATGAGTCCGCATATACATACACTCATGTTCAGGCATCTTAATTTAAGTAACTAAGTTGTAAGTTTTTTTAAATAAAATCAAAACAATTTAACATATATTGTTTATGCATTGAGATTAAGCCTACATAGTTTTAAAAGCACTTAGGTGAGTTTAGCTTATTGTCCTTTCCAGGCAGGATTGTAAGTCCAGAGATTCAACTAACTTAACTTTAGATGAGATTTTAGTTTGTAAGTCTCATGCATTCAATGGATTTAAATTCAAGTTATAATCTAACAGTGGTTCTCATCTTTAAATCTAGGGTTTGATGCCAATATTCTGATAGGAAGTGCTTGTATTCACAAGCAACCTATCCAAAATCGGCGAACCAACAGCAGCCAAATGGCTGTCCACAGCAGGAAAACAGCAGATTTCTGCTGTTTACAGCAGGAAAACAGCACTTGTCCGGGAAAATACGAGAGAAAACTCAAGAAAAGACTTGTATTCCACTTAGACGATGAATAAAAGAGCAAGATACAATTGATCCTCAATTCAAGAGGAGGATCGATCTCTCCCAAATCTCTAGACGCCGCTAGAGCCCAAAGAAATCCTAAATCTACGATATCTCAAATTTCAGCCAAATTCAAGATACTCAAACCCTAGGAAAAACATCTATTTAATGCATACAATTCAAAAGGAATTCCCTAAACGATCCCTGCAATCAATTCCCCTCCTAAACTTCCTCAATTTTCCTTCCTGAAACCGTCCCGCAGGGCGTGCGTCACGTGCGGCTTCCGCCCAGGCGGAAGAAATCTCCGCCTATTTGCAATTTTTGCCCGTGAACCGGTCTGCCTGGACCGGCTGGACCGGTCCAGTGGACCGGTCTAACATATTCTTTTCAGTTATGTCATACATCCTCAAATTTTTGGGCATTTCCTTAATCATATGTTGTTGGAATATGAGCCCTAATTTCATAAATGAGATTAATTGACATGAGCATAAACTCAATCATAAAAATTATAAAGCCTAACAAAGAATAGTTTTGAATACCTTTGAGTTTCTAAAAATCAAGTACTTCAATCTTTCCTCGTTTGGCTTCTATTCAAAATTAATTCTAAGTTGATCCCATTATTTTTAAAATTTCATAGACCAAATCATTGAAATAAAATTAGTTAAAATCAAGTTATTCAATATTTTGATTAAAAAAAATGTAAATTCCTATTTTAATCAAAAGTTTTCTCAAGAGTTGAACACCCTTGGGATATAATTAACTATAGGAGATTGCCTTCATGAGATAATTGTATCCCATAATAAAATGAAACATATTCAATCAAATATATTATACAAGAGAAAATCCTAACATATAAAAATAAAATGAACTTTTTTGTTATTGAGTATGTAGTGAAATAATATTTGAGAAAAATGACCAAAATCATCCCTTGGCTCTTTATGAAGAATCAAAGTAGTCCTCAACTATATTAAAGGACTATTTTGATCACTCAAGTCTTTAAAAAAAATTCAAAATAATATTATGATAGGACTACTTTAGTTCCTCTTTAATATAATTGAATACAATTTTGGCCTTTTAATATAACTGGGAACTATTTTGGACTTTCATAAAGAGTCAATGGCCATTTTGATCATTTTTCTCAATAATATTTTTATCTTTCAAGATAATGTATTACTTTTCATATTGTCTTCGATCACAAAATTTTTAATCCATTGAGGATAGAAAAATTCCCCAATCAATGCTTTGCAATGATGCTTGATATAACTAAATACAACAGACTAAATTAAACAAAACAACTTACTGCAAGCCCACTCAAATAAAATAAGACAACAATTTGTGTTTCCAATAACTACAGATGTTGAGCTCAGTGATAATTTTGCCTGAAGTGATAAATATGTTTTCCCAGCTCTTTTAAAGTACTTTATTCTGAATTCCGCCAAATCCGTTAACAAAAGTAGGTTCCAAATAAAAATTCAAAACAATTGAAGTAAAAGAATTTACCACAGCGTCACCTTCTTCTGCCATGGCTATTGCTGCACGCACAGCTACTCTTCTCAAGTCATGCACAAAAAGCTTATGACCATTTGGAAGACACAAACAACATTCATTCCTACTGTGACGTACATAGTCTTGCACAGTCCATCCAAAGACAGAAAGCATGTCATCATAGATGTTGGCTTCAAAATGTAAAAAGGATATATTGCAAGGTCAGTATTAACCTGGAATCTTGAATTTTCATCTTGTAATTAAGCAAACAAGTTAATGGAGTAACTTGAAAAATAATAGGAAGAAGTAAGTTTTGGAGACAATGACTTGCCTGGATTTTCAGTCTTTGGATTGTCAGATGTCAAAACAACCACTTCACTTCTATCTGTAGCAATTTTTGCCATCATTGATCTCTTTCCTCTATCGCTTTCACCAGCACATCCAAAGACTGCAAAAATCAGGTATTATAAGTCTACAAACAAGCTTGAGGTGGAGTATCAAATAAACAACAGTTCTCCTAAATAAAAAATAAATAATTCCCCTCCTTCCATGAACTTGTTGCAATTGAAGGCAGGGTATTAGTGGGTCACCATGGGGCTTAAATCTTGAGATTTTTGCACACAACAAATTGCCAAAGTTGGCAAGTATGCAGTTGCAGTAGTGGAGACTCCCTTCGATCACTGACATGGTTGCTTCTCCGCCCCTGGATAGTCCGCTATGTCCGGCAATTTGAGCAGATTTATCAGGCATATAAAATATTGCTCCCTAGAGATTCTATCTTCCATTGTTAGTAATTTTTTAACTGTCATAGCTGCCATGGTGTTTCTTTTCTTGGTTTATTGCTACATATTTTATCCACTATAAAACCCAATAAATAGGGCCATGTTTTGGCCAAACAAAGCATGGAATATTGCAACTTTCTTTCTCTATTTTCTAGTAGCTCTTTCTACCATACAAACACGAATTAAAAAAAAAAAAAAATACTATGATTGTTGACATTAATGACATCAATCTCCATGACTACTAATAAGGCGTGCTTTACAAAACTAATTCATGTTAATGTCAAGGAACATTGCTCTGGCAGCAGAATTTTGTGGCAGTAACTGAATACGCCAAAAACAACATCAAGCCTTTTATCCCATTATGTGACAGTAAGTGAATGTAAGAAAATATATAGCTTTAAACTGCAGGTGAATCTATAACACAAAATAGGTTTCATTACAAGAAAGATTATTTGAAGAGATGTTCACTGAAATGGAATTCCTTGGGTTTTAAATATGTGGCTATTTGAAATATGGCACCTGTGGTTGGCAAACCTTTTAAATTTACTTCTTTTGATTTTCCTTGTCTACTTCCTTTACCATTAAGTGGTGAACTAGCCTTTCTCATAAATTTTGGCAGCTAAGAAAATGACTACTATTGTAGACGCTCAAGTTAATAGGTATCAGCAATTTTATTGATCTTACATTTTTATCAAATAGTATTGACATTAAATGAACTAGTGATCTGATATATGGAACTTGAGAAAATATTAAAAAAAACGTCAACCATCAAAATGAAAGAGGAAAAGGCAAGAAACAGCATACCAGTTATAATTCTCCTAGCACCTAGTTCTCTTACAGTATCCAAGATTCTTGACAAAGCGTCAGGAGAATGAGCATAGTCTACGATCACTCCAAAAGGTTGATTCTCATGTATTAGCTCAAACCTACCAGAAATGCCATCAACTCCTTCAATTCCTTTCTTAATGTCCTCTAACTTCGCATCCACCCCTACTCCAACAGCCACAGCAGCAAGAATGTTGTATATATTGTGCCGCCCAATCAACCTTGTTGAAATTTCCAAGACCCCCTTTGGTGTTATGATTAAAATGTCCGTTTTACTTAACGAAAGCTCAAATGTTAAGGGGCACACATCAGCCTTCTTATTTTCCATTGCATATGTCACCACAGGAACACCTTTTTTACCTTGTGAAACAAAAAATTTAGCATTTGGATCATCAATATTCACAATTTTGCAATGATGATTTGGATCAACCATCCTAGCAAACAACTTGGCTTTGCTGTTCTTGTAATCCTCTTCTGACCCATGAAAATCATAATGATCCCTCGTTAAATTTGTAAAGACTGCAACGTCAAAATCAATTGCATCACATCTCCCAAGGGCTAACCCCTGAGATGAAGCTTCCATTACTACTGCTTGAGTTTCCTTCACTTCCATTCTTGCCATAAGCTTTTGAACAGTCAGAGCATCAGGAGTTGTGTTTGGCACATCCAATTGGCTCTCCCCATAACCATGATAACCCACAGTACCCAACATGCCAGTCTTCACTCCCATTGCCTCATAAATAGCTCTCACCAAATGTGTTGTGGTAGTTTTTCCATTTGTTCCTGTAACCCCAATTACAGACATTCTTTTGGATGGATTTCCATAGAAATTTGCCGCAAGGCTAGGAAGCAAAGAGTTTACGTCCTCGACTATCACAAGAGCTCCACAATCCAAAATCCCATCCAAATCGATCTTCCTACAAGCCAGTACTGCCACAGCACCTCTCTCGATAGCATCGTTAATAAAATAATGACCATCAGTTTTATAGCCAATACAACAAACAAAGAGATCACCGGGCCTTACTTTCCTCGAGTCATTCTCAATTCCAGTTATTGTCACTCCAATATCACCACAAACACCAAGAGGTATAATCTTGCTCTGTTCCAAGAGCTCACAAAGAGCCATTCTGAACTCGGATGCCTTCGCAATATGACCACTTGAACTCCCATCTTCTTCCTGATTAGATCTTGAATCGAGGGTTCTCTCTTCCAAGCGTTTTTGGACAATGGCTAGATGTAAGCCGCCTAATCTGTCATTCTGATGCTTTCCATGCGAGTGAAGAGAGATGGTTTTTTCCAAGGAAACGCCCTCCCGGAGATCGCCAGCAGCAAAGAGGCTGGGAAGAGGCCGCCGGAAGGGGAGAAGTGTAGAGGACAGGATTTTCGAAAATGTTATGAAAGAGATTGCAGAAAGAGCCATGGATCCGTTTGAAAGAGCTCGGAAAAGTGAATATAGAGTCGAAATTGGACGAAACGCGGTCGATTGTGGTTCTCTGTCGCCAGCCTCGGCTTATAGAGACATAGCAAGGGGGCGAGAAGGCCATGAGAAAAACGATAGCAAAGAGGAAGAAAAGGGTAATGATTAGCGTCCTCGAGCATTTCGGGAAAGAAGATGAACAAGCTGAATCAAAGCGAAAGGGAGTAGGAGCAACCAGGAACGCGAAGTTGAGCGCCATTACAGGCACCAGGACAAGCTCAGTAAAATGCGAGTACTTCTACGGACAGAGGAGGGTAGCTCGAGGCAGTGTACTGGTGTCGGTCCGGCCCAGTTGACTCGGTTAATCTGGACCGGATCTTTAGGGCCTGTCCTGAGGGTTTTTACTATTTTCATAGCACGGTTCTTTTTTTTTTTTGTAAATTCAAGCAAAAGTGACTTCTCTAAGCTTGAAACATTCTCTCAATATTATCTCTCTAATTAGTTTCCAAGAGATATAAAGTTCTATAATTAAGAGAGTGGACATAAGCTTTAGATGTGATTGAATCACTATAAATTCTCATGTGTTTTTTATATCCTTTATATTAGCATTTTTTTCGCATCTCTTTTACTTGTATATTCATCAATTTTTATTAACAATTTGAGTATTATTGTGTGTCAAAGTATTCAAGAAACATGTGTTTAATGTGTTCATTTTGTACTCCAGCACACACATAGATAAAAGAAAATTTACAAGATACATTAAAAATTTTACATGAAAAACTCATGAAGTAAAAAATTATGAGGTCTCGCACAGTTGAAATATTCTCAGTATTGTATGTCAATTATTATAGACAATATCCTTCATTGTAATTAGCAAAAGCATTGATATGATTAGTAGAGACTAATTATAGATGAATGATTTGTAAGCGCCTTAAAGCATTAGAGTTGTCTTCAAGAGATTATTTGTGACTCATTTGATCATTTTTTTCTGAAGTTTGGTATGAATAAAAATTTTGACATTGTGAGTCAGAGTTTGTTTATAATGTGCAACAATAATATAAGCAATGTCATGTATTAATGTTAATGACAATGGCCGACAATGAAGTATGCGAGCATTAGTGATGGGAGATCAGTACTGAGTGGCACTGATTAGGCAATTGTAGTTAAAAGAAATGTGATGTGATGTCCACGCCTATGGATGGTCGAGGTAGGATTCTGTTACTGAAGTATTCTGGTGCTAGCACCAGTGGGGGACTGAGTGAGATTCTGTTACCAAAGTGTTGTGATACCGATGCCAGTGGACGAATGATGCAGGATTATATCACTGAAATATTGTGATGTCGGTGCTAGTGGGTGCTGATGTGGGATTGTGAAAATGAAGATTTATGAAATTTTGGGCTTAAAGTTATTCTGATAATCAATATGAAGTGTTTGTTTATAATTCAATAAATTTTAGTATTTATTTAATTAGATCCAATTTTAGCATATCATTCAATTTAGTTTTCTTTCAAGTTCTTCCATTTTATTTCTACAGTACATGATTTTAATTTTTTTTTTAAGTTATTGATTTCTGTTTTAGACTACGATTGTTTACTGAGTCGTGTTAGCTTATCCATATTTTTGCTTCTATTTTTAGGCCCAAGGAAGGGGAAGGAGTAAGCTGAGTAGTTTTGATAACATAATCTGATTTGTGTTGTATATATGTTTTTGTTAGTTTTTATTTTAAAAGGATTGGCTTTCATTTTATTATTCTCTCTATTGTCAAGCACTATTCTAGATCTATTTCAGATTATATATATTTTGGATGATATATAAAAAAATCATGTTGAGATTCAGTAGTATTCCGCTTTATATTGCATTCAATAAAGACTCTATGTAGCATATAAGTTAGAAGTTATATTTCAGTACTTCCCCAACCAGATCTTGGGGTTAATCTTGCCACAATCAAACAGTAAGATCCGTGTGATATCAGATCGTATTGGGCTTGGTTGTGACATATTATGTTGGTGTCGGGTGACCGAGGTAGGATTTTGTTATGTTAATGCCAATGAATTATCGGGATGGGATTTTGTTATGTTGATGCCAATAGGCAACCGAGAAGGGATTTTATTATGCCTATCTCAGTGGACGATCGAGGTGGGAATTTATTATGCTGGCGCTAGTGGGCGACCGAAGTGAGATTTTGTTATACCGATGCGAGTGGGTGGCCTAGTTGGGATTTTGTTATGTCGAAGCAGATGGGCTACCGAGATGGTATTCTAATATGAGATGTGTAATGATGCTGGAGCCTAAGGACTATTCTGAAGATTGATATAGGATATTTGTTTATATTTCAATTTCAGAGTAGTTCATTGGTTCATTAAATGCACTCAATAGCAGTATATGTTTCAATTTTAGCTTTTTGTACGGTACTTTTTTTTTTATTATTATAACACAATATTTTTAGTTCTTTGATTTCAGTTATTAATTTTTATTTTAGGCTACGATAGCCTACTGAGTCGTGTTAGCTCACTCCTACTTTTACTTTCATTTTTAAGCCAAGAAAAGGATAGTGAGCGAGCTTAGTAGTTTTGATGGCAGGCTCTGATGAATGTTGTAGGTATATTTGGTTAGTTTTATTTTTGATAGGCCTGACTTCTTTTTTTCTTTTTTTTTGTCGTCAAGTGTTATTGTGTGTGTATAAATATATATATGATTATATTTTGAGATTTAGTAATCTTCTATTTATATTGCTTTTAATAGTGACTTTGTGGAGTATATAATTTAGATGTATTATTTCAGTAGTTCTCCAATCAGATATTGGGTAAGTCTTGCCATAGTTGAACACTATATGCAGGGGCAAAACTAGCCCTAATTTAAAGGAGGGGAATTAATAAGGCTTGTATGTCGGGGGTTCAAGGGGGCAGCTGGGGTTCGAGTATAAAAAATGAATGAAGAGGAATAGATTACCTAAAAAATCATATAATCGAATTTTCTATTTGAAATGGAGCTCTTTGGTGTTTTGCTTGGTAGCACTGTGATACCGGGCTTGAGAGCATAACATCGCCAAAAATCAACGCAACGACATTAGAGTCTATGTTTTATAACAATTATGGATTCAACTTGTAGCATTGTGGCGCTAAATCAGAGTACTGTGGTGCTAGACCACTAACAATATTTTTATTTATATTTAATTCTAAAATCCTAAGCACTAAATCACCCATTTGCACTTGGCTTGTTGTGGAAGAAAAGAGGGAAAGGGAGAGGAAGAGAGAGAAAGTTAGGTTTTGGTCATTTTTTTGTTTGTTATTTCAATTTGGAAAAATGTTCTGATCGTTGTAAGTAACCCAAACCCCACTCCAAATTTCAATGATTTTGAGTTTCAATAATCAAATATCTCATAAATCGATAAAAATACATTTTATCCTAGTTTATTACACCTTTATAGTGTAACTTTTCATATGCGATAGATATAAATTTTATGAATGTTTTCATTGTAATATTATTGAATTTCATTGGTTAAAATGAAAGTTATGATTTTCTGAAGTTATAAAAATGCAGTTCTTCCTGCATTCTATAGATTTAAGAATTTCATATGACATTTTATGTATGAAAGAGATATTGATACAATTGATATAATATAAATGTGATATTTGCATATAAACAAGGAATGTTATCTGTAAACACTATAATTGATATTGGTTGGCTGTTAAAATATAATATCTTGTGTAGGAGAGTGGACTGATGGGCTTTCCTTTAAAATGGTTTGTAGTGTTATCTCAAATATAGCTTGTAATTGACGATTGATTACACCGACAGGCTAAGAGTGAAGACTCTTAATGATTTATTAAATGCCACCTATAATAATAATAATAATAATAATTATTATAATAATAATAAATATGATGCAATGATAATGATAATGATGATGATATACTGATATAATTAAATACACATGAAATAATAAAAACACCACCTACATCGATAGCATGGATAGATGAATCATATATTGATACATACATACATACATACATTGACAATACTGACAGATGAATCATATATCGATACGTGCATACATTGATAACATGGATTGATGAATCATATACTAATGCATTTTTATTTTGTATTTTTCTTGTATTCACTTATTGTGAGGAGCTTGAGATAGAGTATTAATTGTTAGTGATTTTCTAGCTATTATAAATTTAATTTTAAAGATCAAATATAGTGAAATATTACAATGTGAATGATATTTAATTGCTTTTACTGGATATATTGATTTATATTGATGAGTTATAGAAGCTTTGGTAGATGATTTAAAAGATAAATTATACATTTCTTCCAATGTAGATCTTAGGAATGACATCATCAACATCAACATAATGGCATGGTCTCAGGCCTTTCATGCCGAACGATCGAGTCAAGGATTCTTCCATTATACTTTCTCTCAAAATATTTCTTTGCAATCCTTCAAGCACATCTTGAATCAGTTTTGTGAGTATTTCAGATCATGGTGAATGGTGTAGGTTTGGTTCTCCATATTTACTGCTTCTCAAGGTTGTGTTGTTATTTGAGATGTGAATGTCTTCTTGTCACTAGCATCCATTTATGTTCACATCTTCGAGGATAATGGGTTCAAAAAATTTTGTGGATGATACATGACCTTTAAAACAAGTAATCTCTATGCGAGAGGCAGGGAGCCAAGTGGGGTCTAAGTGAGTATGGAGAGTAAGAGACTTAGATTTACTATAAGTAAGTAAGAGAGATCACAAAAATGTTGAGAGTTGCAAAAGATCCAAAACTTCCCAAGAATATTGACACCAGCTTATACTTTGCTTGCAATAAAATATGCTAAGGTTTGGTTTTGAATTAAGCAAAAACTAAATTTTATGCAAGTGCATGTGTCGTTTAAGTAATAAAGAGATTAGCTGAGTATCGATCATACGAGGACTTGAACTATCCTATGACTACCATAGTATTGTCTATGTGAGCCACACATTTTGTCCTACCAATTGAACTAAAAAGAGTTTTTTTAAAGTTCTTAAGGTAAGTGCTGAAATGAAAAGTTCTCTGTATAATGTTCTGAACATATGATGGAGAAAAAAATTCATGTTTGCAAAAGTTAGATTCTTCTAAAATATGATATGAATTAGAGCGAATTCACTCGTAAGTCTCTCTCGAGCATGCAAGAGATTTAAATTAAGCTTTCACTCAACTAAAATGATTCTATCTCTTAGATTTCAAAACCCTGGCCATCATATGTCTATGCATGATGGTAATAAATCACAGTTGATTTTAAGTTAGTACACATCCTATGCAAAAACTAAATGAAGAGTGAGAGAATTAAAAACCACACTTAAATAATTGTAGGAAATAGAGTCTACTTAAGCTAAAGATGATTTCTCACACCTCACAAATACAAAACTAAAGAATTAGTCAGTCATAAATTGATAAGCACACAAAATAATTTTCATTAAATAATAAATATAAGATACAAAAGGTGTTTAAGTGTAGATGTCACATAAAAATGCTTTTACAATTGATTACAAATATTGTTTGCACAATAAATTGACTTCACTTCTGTACTCTCTCTCCTTCACTCTCTACTAACACTCTAAACTAGTTTGCATAAGAAAATAATGATATACCCTCATAAATCTGGCCAAAAAACTATTTATATTAAACACCATAAATGACATAAGCGCCACAACGTTGCAAATGGTTGTAATGTAGCACTGCTTAAGTGAACTAGCATTGTGGCACTATTGGATGTCTCCACTGCGGCGCTAGGTCTAAATCAATGTGTCGATTCACTTGGTAACCAACTCAACTGATGTGCTACGGCATTGAGGCAATTTAGAGTAGCAGCTTTGCTGCTACCAGCCTAGCATTGCGATACTCCATTTACTCCACATCGATGTTGTGCTCCCTGTTATGTTGGTTAAAAATTAGGGCCTACCACATCGCTCCACTAGTCAGCGCTGGCGCTGGAGCGCTAAATTAAATTATAAAAATATAGAGATAAGGGAAACACAAAGTTCTTCTTAGATCATCTCCAACCGAAAATCTCATTTTTCACTCCAAAATGCCGGAAACTACAAAATGCCGTGATTTCATCTCCAATGGAACGCATTTTTCACACTTTTGCAGTTAACCGTCGCCTCTTTTTTTCCCGCGACAAGTTCGGTAGAGCGGTAAAAATGGCGGAGATGAACAGTGCAACGCCAATATTAGCGTCCCACTGTTCACCCGCAGCCATATAGCGGAAATTTTGCAGTTCGGCTGGAGCTGGCCGGGAGCTCCATTCAAGCGTTTGGAAGTCGGTTGGAGATGCCCTTAGAGCACTAAAAGTGCTTGATGATGCGGCGTCGTAGCGCTGGTGATCTTTTTCCAAAATTATGGTCATTTTTCTAGAATTTACTGCTCAACAATGATCAAAGAAGGGATTTTCATATTAAAACAAATACATAAATAATAACAATAATTTTCAGTGAGAAATACACAAAATATGGATCTTTACCGTTTATTATAAATTTTATATATATATTGTTAATATTTATAGTTTCAATTTAAAACATGGATAATTAATTAAAATTGTATTATGTTTCCATTATATATAAATTAATATTTAATTAAGTTTAAAAATAACATGTAATTGATAAATGTAAGATATGTTAAATTCAATAGATTTTCGTATTTAATTTTGATTAGTGTGAGAATACATTTATAACTGTTGCGTCCTGGAATATTCGCGGCGGTAGAGAAATATATGGTTTAACGTCTTAGCATTGTACGAAGATCCAGCACACAAACAGATAAGAGAAGGTGTAACATTCATAAGAGACACCAGAGTTTTTACGTGGAAAACCCCTGAAAAAGGGGGAAAAATCACGGGGCCTGGCTCAGTTTGAATGAATCCACTAGTATTTGTAGTCGATTACAAATGAGGCCCTTCATTGGGAGAAGGCCTTGGATTGATGTAGCAAATGTACATCATATAGATTATATTACATGGTAGGAGTTACATATACATGTTTGTCTAGTCGGATGGACCGTAGTCGACAGGAGACTGGGGTCAAAAAGACCGTTGTCCGTTGATGGAGGTCGGAAGGACCATAATAGGCGAAGATGGCCTGAAGGACCGTAGTCGGTAGGAGACTGGGGTCAGAAAGACCGTTGTCTGTTGATATGGGTTGGATGGACCATAGTAGGCGACAGAGGTCAGAAGGACCGTAGTCGGCAGGAGATCGGGGTTAGAAAGACAGTTGTAGTAGGGCGGTACTTTGGTAGAACTCTGGACGTCAGGTAGTGGCCCAGCAGAAGTCCAGGCCTCATGTGGTGTTCCGATAAAGCAACGACGTCAGGTGGTAGTCCGGCATAGGAGAGGGTCTTTGGCGAAGGTTAGGGCCTCTGGCGAAGGTGAGGGCCTCAGATGAAGACGTCAGGCCTGAACGTCGGGCCTTGAGCAGAACGTTGGGCCTTCAGCAGAACGTCGGGACTTGAGCAGAATGTCGGGCCTTGAGCAGAATGTCGGGCATTCAGCAGAACGTCGGGCCTGAACGTCGGGCCTTGAGATGGTGGTGCGGCGAAACTCTAGCGGTGGTCCGGCGAGGTTCCGACGGTGGTCCGGCGAGGCTCCTGCGGTGGTCCGGCGTGGTCAAGGAGGAGCTTCTTCCTTCTCTTCCTCCTATCTTATTGCTTGGACCTTCTCTCATGAGAAATGAGGGCTCTATTTATAGATTTTCTGGAGTGGCATGACCCGTAAATAGGCGTGAGATCAGGGGCGAATAGGGAGTGGTTGAATGGACGGCCGATATTGAATCCTACGATCGTGCACCAGCTGCACTCAAGAAAGCTGATAAAGAATTTTACCAACTAATTAATTAAATGATGCTACACTTTCCTAAATCCGTTGGGAATATGTACCCATCTTTATTTATTAATTAAGATATTAAAGTTTCAATTAAGAGATTAATTAAAACATCAAGCTCATATACAATATATAAGTCTATATTTAAACACTCAGGCCTTGCTTGATTTTTCGGCTCTATTTTTTCGTATTTTCGTTTTTAACTGAGCTTTCATAACAACAAATGGAGAAAAAAATTCTTCTCAAATCGGCAAAAATACGGAGGTTCACCGGAAGTTATTTTGAAGAAGTGGTTTTATCAAATAGCAAAATAATCTTTTTTTCACCGATTCAAACCGCAGACGGAGAAATTACGGAGAAACAAACCAAGCCTAAGTTATTTTCCCCATTCCAACTGTATAACCAACTTTATAAAACATTACAACCATCCTAATCAGACTCTAAGGCTTCGTTTGGGATGGCTTTCTTTCTGCTTCTTAAAACAGTTTTTTAATACAAAAATTAAATTTTTTACTAGAATGCTGCTTTAAGAAGCATTAAAAAACCTGTCCCTAAAACTTCGTTGGGAACAACTTTCTTATTGTTTTCTAAAGCAATTTTTAAATACAAAAATTTATTGAACTAAAAATTTTTATATTAAAAAAATTACTTTAAAAAATAGTAAGAAGGTTGTTACAAACGAAATCTTAGACTTTATTTGGGAAAATTTTTTAAATGCTTTTTAAAGCAACTTTTTAATATAAAATTTTAAAAAAGTTGCAAAAAATAGTGGTTAAAAGTTATTCCAAATGTACCCTAATGGGACTGCTTTCTTACTATTTTTTAAATTAAAATTTTATTTTAAAAAATTAAAAGAATCGTGTAGAAAAATATTTTTAAATAATAATAAGAAATTTTCCAAATAAAACCAAAAAGTCAAAAACTCAACCAAAAATGTAAAACAATGATAGGGGGTATAATGCAAATATTAAGTTTACGGCTGGCTAATTAGTGAATGTAAATGTCTTTCCGGCAGAGTCTCGCACACTTTCATGTAGCCCTTCTTTCCAGGGGAACGATCCTGTTCTTCAGTCCAGACCACTGGCGATCAAATCCGTTTGGCATCGCTTGAAACCCTAAACCTTCTTTTTCACGCTATCTGATTTCCCGTTTGTTTTCTTGTTTACTGTTCCGATGGCGAGGGCAGTGCTCGATTGGTCGATCTGTAGATTCAGACGTGAGTGTTTTTCGCGATTGTTTTTTTCTTCCTCTTATACCTTTGTGGTTTATGCTTTTCTTTGCTTTAGGTTTTACAGGAATTTCAAGTAGTTTATTGAACCCCAAAATCGAGTTTTTTGCGCGAATAATTGTCTTAGCATACTCGATATACTGTAAAGATCGGCAATCTAGCCATATGAACTGTAATGCAGAGCTAAAAGTGCTAACTAAGGGTTTGTTTGGCTACAAGTGGGGTTTAGTTCATGTTGTATCTTGTAAATTTCGTAACTCCAGATTTAGCAAATCCTAGATTGATGTAATAGATGTTAAATCTAATTAAATCCTAGAAAACCGTTTTACAGATATTTTCAAGATTTATAATTTAAATGAAAGTGAAGAGTAATTATAATGAGTGAAAGTGGTGTAAATCTATTAAATCCTGCAGTTCCTAGTATTTACTATTTCGGGGATTTAGCCTAAAACGATAGGAAAGTGAGATTTAAGAAGAAAGTAGGATTTATGTGACTCAGAAAATTGTTTGGCAAGATTTGTCCCATATTTAGGCAAAATCTTGCAATCCAACAACTCCTAAGTCTTAATATGTTGATAGCTTAATGTGTTTTGAAAATTTTCAGGTTCATCTCAGTCTGCTAGAGAAATCTTTGGGCTTTGTTGACAGGAAAGGCTCTGTTTAGGTCATCAATTGTTTGCAAGAAGTAGAAGTTGCTTTTTGTGTAATTCTTCATTGCACAAGTTTTTCAACAGTCAAATAGATATCTGGAAGGAATAAAAGCGTTTATCTTCTCTTTTTCGCTATTATTCTTTATCAATGGAATCAATATGGAAGCTCTCACATTTACTGGAACCAGCATCTCTGACACTCATTGTGACGGCAGTCTTTGTAACTTTTGCATCAGCATCCCGGGCTCTGAATCATGGCAAGGAAATGGAGAGGAACTTGGATTTTTCGGAGGCTTCCATCACTTTAGATAGGTCACAGGCACTAATGATACCTCTGGCTAGCTCTTGCAGTCTATTGATAATGTTCTACCTCTTCTCTTCAGTATCCCATTTGGTTACTACCTTTACTGCAGTTGCCTCAGCTTCAGCACTCTTCTTCTGTCTATCCCCTTATGTTGCGTACTTCAAGAACCTGTTAGGATTAGTGGATCCTTTTGTCTCTAGGTGCTGCTCCAAATCATTCACTCGCAGCCAAGGAATCCTTCTGCTGATTTGTGTAGGAACTGTGGTTTGCTGGCTTATTTCTGGGCACTGGCTGCTAAACAATATATTGGGAATTTGTATATGTATAGCATTTGTGAGCCATGTGAGGCTCCCCAACGTCAAGATTTGTGCTCTCTTACTTGTTTGCTTGTTTATTTATGATATTTTTTGGGTGTTCTTCTCGGAAAGGTTCTTTGGAGCAAATGTAATGGTGTCAGTTGCAACACAAAAGGCCTCCAACCCTGTTCATACGGTAGCAAACAGCTTGAGCCTCCCTGGGTTGCAGTTGATTACAAAGAAGCTAGAGCTTCCAGTGAAGCTTGTATTCCCAAGAAATCTATTGGGTGGGGTTGTACCTGGCCACAATTCAATGGACTACATGATGCTCGGTCTTGGAGACATGGTAAACCTTATTATTCATCCTCTATGTTAATTTATCTTTTTCTTTTACAATTAATCTTTTATTATCAAGTATAACCGGTTAGTCTGATAAGCATTGCACTTTTCTATTTCTGGCAATGAATCAATGCTCTGTACTGCAAAAACCAAGCTTATCACTGAACTGCTTCATACATTGTTAGGTTGAGGATGGATCAGCATTACTATATACACTTTCAATTTCTCTTGAGCTGGCTTGATGTTTAAAATGCTAATATCATCTTGTAAGAACAGTGTTTTCTACATTTTGCTTTAGCTGTTTAGAAAAGCATCATGTATATTTTGGAATCATATATATGAATAATGTTTATCATACTGCATATTAAAATTCTTGTAAACATCATGATAAACAAATTATAATCAAAATAAAACTTGAATTCACCAAGCATAGCATAATTTGATAATTAACGCTTAATTAAGCATAATTAGTTTTGAACTTTCATCAACAACACATCAACTCAATAGCACACCCGAAACAACAACAAGAGGTGTTGCTTGTTGTTGGCAATCTGATGTACCACTCACTGACGATTCTTAGAGGTGTCATTCATCAATAATGTTTATACTTATTGATGGCATCCAAAGACGTTCTTTAATGACTCTTAGAGGAGATACTCATTGTTGATGCTTTGAGGTGTCTCACTGATGATGTGATGTTATGTGCCTATGATGCTTGTCACATATTTATGCTTGGATGTGCCACTCGCTAATTATGTGCCATAATGAACCTCTGACGGACTGTTGTCAAATTGAGTCACTATTACTAGTACCACTTACCCCACTACTTTTACTAATGATGTGATGTTGTTGTTTAAACCTGAATTTTTGGCTAGCTAAAGATGCTCAGTCCAAATGTGTCCCTCGTTGACCATTTGCCATGATACACCTTTGTTGTATTAGAAGTTATCACATTTGACCACCATTACAAGTGTCATTGGCACCACTGCTCTTCCTCTTTGTGACCAAAGTTTTTTTTGACAATGATGTATTGATGTCGCTCCAATTGCTCGGAGAGTGACAAACTCTTTGTATTTCATTTGCATTGATAGTGCATATTTTCCATCTTGGCCCAAGCCCATAAATTTTCCCTTTCGGAATTTTCACCTAAAAATATTTCTTAATTGTGTGTGCTAGAAATCCTCAGTATAATATGAGCTTGAATCTATCATTTTCTTTTGGTTCTCTGGTCTTCTTCATGCATGAAAAAGCTTCTAAATTTTCATTCAATATTCAAGTCTGTCATAATGTTGAAGCTATTTTCTTTAAGGCTAAGCACAACATAATTGTTTGATGCTTTCTTGTTGTTAAGGTTTTCAATTAAGTTGCTGATTGGAATTTTTTTTTTTTTTTTGACTTAAATCGTAAAGAGAAGTGAGTATTAGCTTTAATCTGTATATTTATAAAATTATATTGTGTTAGTCCCATGAATGATGTTTTAATGTGGGTGGAGATCCTACCAGTAGATTGGTGATGTGCCCAAATGCCTGTTTGATGCCTATCAAGTTTACAGATCCTTGATATAAGAACTATTATAAGCAAATTTTGTTCTGGCAATGCTTTATGGTGCCGAATGTTGGCCATTAAAAGAGAAGCATAATACTAAGTTAAGTGTGGCAGAGATGAGAATGCTCAGGTGGATGAGCGGCTTTACCCTTAGAGATAGGATACGAAATGAGCATATACGTGAAAAGGTTGGAGTAGCTCCAGTAGAAGATAAAATTAGAGAGAGTCGCCTTAGATGGTTTGGTCACATAAAACGACGGCCTTTCGATGATCCGGTTAGGAGAGTAGAGGTATTAGATTTGACTTATGTTAAGAAAGGTAGGGGTAGACCTAAAAAGACTTGGTTAGAAAATATTAGGAATGACCTTTCTTTATTAGGTTTAAATGAGAATTTGACTTTTAATAGAACACAATGGAGAAAAAGGATTCATGTAGCCGACCCCACGTAGTGGGATAAAGGCTTGATGTTGTTGTTGTTGTTGTACTGTGCCAATTATAGGTGAATTCCTAAAAAATTTTCTCTGGTGAATTAAGGATGTATAGTTCTTTCGAATCCTTTTACGGGGAATTATGCCATTTTCTCTTTACTGCAATGGGATTAAAGCTTAATATTACTGGCCTAACATCCTCATCTTAGTGCAACAAACATCATCTGCTATGACCTATGCGCAAAATCTCCTTCTTCACTTTTTAAGCTTTCTCATGTTTATTGAGGGTTTGGTAGCTTTTTCTATTTTCCTATCACTACAAAAATTGATATACAACACACCTTATCTTTAGCTATAACTCTTCTCATCCAAATATCTAAGCAGCATGCTTTCAGTAGTTATGTTCTTATTTGATTAGGAAATGAACAATCTTACAATAATAATACTAAATAACCAACTGAGAATTTAGGGTTTCTTGACAAACTTCTCTGTTTCAATCCTTAATACTATTTAGGAGGATCTCAATATCATATATATATATGCTTCTTAGAATATTCCAAATTGATTTAGAAACTTTCAAACAATTCTTAGATTTTTCAAAAGATTCCTAAAGGTTTGTAGGGTTTCTGATGGACCGGCCGATTTGATTGGGAGGGAATCAGGAAGTTTCCTAATCAAGAGGGAGCTGTTTAGGAAGGTTCTTAATCAAAGAGAAATTATTGATGAATGTTTAAATTACAATTGTGAGGGAATTATTTAAGCAAGAGGTCTTATTTGAATTCAAAATCTAAGAGGGAATTATTTAGGAAAAATGAGGAAGAATTAAGGGGGATTGTTTAGGAAAATTTTAATTACAATTTGGAGAAAATTAATTAAGGAAATAAATCTAATTTTGAATTCAAATATGAAAGAGAATTATTTAGGGAAAGGGGGCTGATTTGAGAGGGAATTATGGGAGCCTATTTAAGGCTAACAATAGGGTGATTTCATATTATGTTTTGGGGTTTGCTGAATTTAGATTTGGGAGAGCCGGATCTTCCTCTCCAATTGAAGATCCAGGAAGATCCAACTGTATCTTACTATTTTCTTTAATATATCTTGTAATAAAAATAATTTTGGTGTGTTTTTCTTCCTAATTTTTTATTGTCGTTTGTTTATTTCGAGGAAATTGAATCCACTTACTATCAAAGTGGTATTATAGCATTTTTTTGGGACCTATGGCAGCAAAGAAAGTTGATGCCTTGGAAGAGCAACTTAAAGGAAAAGTTAGTCAATTCAAATCGGTGCTTGATGATAGAATGATATTAATGTAGGAAATTTTTTTCAACCTAGAAGGAATGATAATGAAACTATTGGAGCTTCACACTCAACCGACAACATCGGAGGCGAGAGCACCATTTATTGGATGAGGAAGTGGGGGAAACCCTTAATATAAGGACGATGAGGGAGGATCGGGAGGTAGAAGTTTTGGGGGAAGAAGAAGAGATGCCATTTTTGTAGCCACTTCCAAGGAGGGGAGAGGGTGAAGGAGTGAGATTTTTTATGGAGCTGAAATGTTTGGAAGAAGAAGAAGATAGGGAGAAGATAGAAGCACCAGACGACCACTCCTATAGCAATATCGAGAGGTGTTCCAACCAGTTCAGTGGTTGCCTCCTCCACATTAATGCGAGCATGCTATCATCTTGAAGAAAGGACTTTCACCTATCGGTTGTTGATGGTACCGTCATCCTCAAATCCTGAAGGATGAGATCGATAGGTTGATTAGAGAGATGCTGGAGAAAGGGATCATTCGACCTAGTGTCAATTCATTTTTCAGTTTAGTGCTATTGTTAAGTGCTTCAATAGCAGTTTCCTTCGTTTCACCTTGAGGAAAATGTGGCACTTTGGGATGAGAGTATTGATGGACCGACCGGTTTGATTGGGAGGGAATCAGGAAGTTTTCTAATCAAGAGGGAGTTGTTTAGGAATGTTCTTAATCAAAGGGGAATTATTTAGGAATATTTAAATTACAATTGGAAGGAATTATTTAAGCAAGAGATCTAATTTGAATTCAAAATCTAAGAGAGAATTATTTAGGGAAAATGAGGAAGAATTAAGTGGGGATTGTTTAGGAAAGTTTTAATTACAATTGGGAGGGAATTAATTAGGGAAATAAGTCTAATTTGAATTCAAATATGTAAGTGAATTATTTAGGGAAAGGGAGCTGATTTGAGAGAGAATTATGAGAGCCTATTTAAGGCTAACAATAGGGCGATTTCAGATTATATTTTGAGTTTGCTGAAATTAAAATTTCTTAGATTGTGAGGGCTCTAGCCGTCGGCTAGGGATTTGAGAGAGCCGGATCTTCCTCTCCAATTGAAGATCCAATTGTATCTTATTGTTTTCTTTCATATATCTTACAATAAAAAGACTTTTGGTGTGCTCTTCCTAATTTCTTATCATCGTTCGTTGATTTCGAGGAAATTGTATCTACTTCCTATCAGTTTCGTGATGAATTTCTCCAATCTAACCCTCAACACTAAATAAATAGTGAAAACTAAATATTGATTCAGGAGGATCTCATTATAATAATTTTTTTGTTCCAAATTGATTAGAATCTTCTAGATAATTTTTAGATTGTCAAAATAGTCCCAAAGGTTCTTAGATACAAACAACAACAACATCAAGCCTTTATCCCACTACGTGGGGTCGGCTACATGAATCATTTTTCTCCATTGTGTCCTATTAAAGGTCAAATTCTCGTTTAAATCTAATAAAGAATGGTCATTCATAATATTTTCTAACCAAGTCTTTTTAGGTCTGCCTCTACCCTTCTTAACATAAGTCAAATCTAATACCTCTACTCTCCTAGCCGGGTCATTGGAAGTCCGCCGTTTTATGTGACCAAACCATCTAAGGCGACTCTCTCTAATCTTATCTTCTACTGAAGCTACTCCAACCTTTTCACGTATATGCTCATTTCTTATCCTATCTCTAAGGGTAATGCCACTCATCCACATGAGCATCCTCATCTCTGCCACACTTAACTTACTATTATGCTTCTCTTTTAATGGCCAACATTCAGCACCATAAAGCATTGCAGGCCTCACTAGGGGTGCAACCGAGTCAAGCCGGCTCGTGAGCCGGCTCGGGCTCGAATCGTTAATGGGCTCGATGAGCCGAGCTTATCGAGCTCGCGAGTCGAGCTCGAACACGAGTTCGAGCTCGAATGCTAAACGAGCTCGAGCTCGGACGCTGGGCTGATCGGCTCGTTGGCTCGTCGAGTAGCTCGGGTCGAGTGTGTCGTGTCGCGTCTGCAGGAAGACGGGAGCGAGCGCGGGAAGCGGGAGCG